ACTTTTTTTACATTAAAACAAGAGTACGAAGAAACAAACATTCACATATTTTTAACTATCGATATAGTGTTACGTGTTTCTATAATAGTTTATATCTGTTGTTTTTTTTTTGTTTTTTTTTTTTTTCAACTCTGCGCACCGCATGTCATAATAAATAGCGTACTTAATATATCTTCCGCCGTGTGAGAAATCTTAATGACTCGCGCGAGTGAAAGCAACAATATAACCTGCGAATAATCACAATAATTTCCTTTCTATAAACTTTTCTCGGCTCTCGTCCACGCCGCGTTTATCACGCTTTTTTCCATTCTTTCCGTTCGTATTCCGCAATACAATTCCGGCGATTTCTCCGTATAACCGCATCGCATTTATTCCGCTTTCGTTCTCGGTCGGGATTTCGGGTCCATCCCGAATGCATTAGCGCGTGGCTTCGAGGGAGAGAGAAAAAATATGTACATATACGAAACCCAATTCTTCGTTTCGCGCAAAATAGACGAGAAAGAAGAAGGCGAGAACTGAAGGGGCAGCCCGGTCGACCGGGTGCTTTTTATGCATGCACCTGCATGCATACATCGATGAAGGTTAACGCATAATATGCGAACTCCGCGCTAAAAGGATAATGCCGTTGCGGGTATATATCCTGTGAACGCGCGCGATCGTGTGTTTGCTCAACGAATTCGAAATATCTTTGTGGGGAAATTTTGCACGCGCCGTTGCGCTTCTGACAGTGTTCCAGCGGCGGCGGCAACGGCGCCTGTGCATAAATCTCGACAATTACGACACGCGCTTAATTGTATTCGCCCGATTTATCCACGTGCGAGTAATTAAACACCGAAACTTATTGCGGATCGCATTCAAAGTAGATTGGCGAAACGAGGAGGGACACAGTACGCGGCGGTGTTGTTTCGTGTGATGCACTAGTGTAATGATTTCGATATATCGGCCAGCGTAATCGAATTTTTATCGAGAGATTTTATTTTACAGATAAATTATTTTTTATTCAGTTGGTTAAAATATTAAATGTAAATTGATTATAATATATACGAGATAAAAAAATATTGTCGTGACGCATTAGAGTGTTAAATGGAAAATATTTAATTTTATTATACCAAAACAATATCGAAAACCGTAAACGGGATGTTTTCAAAATCGACGATTTTGAGTTTATATATCAGCATACATGCATTTCGTTAATTCGAAATACTGCAACGTTCTAAATAACGCTGTTACTACCGAGGCCAATTAGCACGATCGCTGTGTGTCATACGTTTGTACGCAAACTACAATTTTGTTTTGAAGTTATCACGTTATTGGAGATGTCATTTCTCGTGGGACATCGGCACACTCGCATGAAAAGCCGTAACCTGTTCGCAAATTTCATTGTCCGGATTAACGTGGAGAAGCATGTGAAAGCGTTTTCTCGTTATAATCACTCTCGTCGCGCGCGCGCACAGCGAAAACGTGTCGTCAACCGGATCGCTAAATGAAATTTTCCAGGACAAAACAATCGCGAATCAAAAATCATCGTTCGAATAAATATTCACTTATCTCTTTCCCCGTCTGACTCGCCGTTTTGTCACGATCCCCCGAAGATCGATGACGCAATTTTAATTATGTCGCGATTCGCAAAATACATACATCTCATCGCGCGATAATGTTACTTCGATTAATTTTTTGGACAAATAGAGATTAAGTTTTATTAAAATTAAAATCTTCTTTATTAACGCGCATTTCGAAATTCAAATATATTTTGTACATTTATAAAACGCTGTGTGAGTGTGTTTGTGTGCGTTTTCTCGTTGATTAGTTTGCTGTAAGTTTTTAATTTATTTAATTTTTTGTTTAACCTTTCAATATTTATTTAGTCACTTATTTAATTTGCTCTTTTCGATTTCTTGTTGCTATAAAACAAGTTAGTACAAAGAATGTTAGATCTTTTAGCTGCTGAAAAAGCAAATATATCTGTCTGTAATTGGCAAACGCGTTAGAAGAATTAACGAAACGGAATCGCACGGTGGGAATGCAAATCTCAACGGATTAATGTATTTTCAAGACCCTCTTTACGTGTATCTTCAACCGCAAAAGATGATACGAGAGCAAATACGTTCAATTTCCTTACTTTAGGAAAACCGTCATTTTCTTCGAAAACTCTTCGTGTGTGCGGCGCGTCTCTCCACTCCCACGAGTATCTACTCCATCGTAAACATGTGAATCGATTGACCCTTCGTGCTAAAAACGGAAGGCAGAGGGCCGCGTCGGTTGCGCTCCCCGTTGGGGTCGCCACCCAGTATACTCTCTCTCTACGACCTAAGTCAAATCATTCGGTGAGCGTGTGGGTCGCGTATGCACACGCACATACGTGTGTACGTACACACATGTTCGGCGTTCACCGTGTATATATCTATTGCCTCCACGAGGCGTAATCCACCTTCCGTATGACGTGACGTAGCGCGGGAACGCGCCGGCGGGCCCTCCTCGGTGGCCCTCTCTCGCACTAGTCGCGGAAAAATCAATAGCGAGAGAGCGTGGTGTGGCGCGCGGCGTGGCGGCGTCACTCTTTCAGGTGGCCGCGCTTGTCTGTGTGAGGAAGGAAGCCAACCTGGCAAGGCGAGCGGGGGCCGAAGAGAGCGAGGGGGCGAACAACCGTCCGATCGAGCGTGCACCGGTGAAAACGAGTCACCTGCGAGGCACACTCTCTATCGTAGCAGGCGTGCGATCGAATTCCCGCCTTCCGCCACGAGGCATGTGTATCCAAGTATGTGTGTATGTATATACATGCGCGTACTTATGCATGTATGTATGTACGTATGCACCTATGTACGCTACTGCGCATCGACGGCGTGCGCGCAACGCTATCATTTATTGAGATGCAACTGGACCTCCTCCTGGAGGAAATCCAAATTTTAATCCTATTGAGTTTCTCGTTTTTTTCCAAGAAATTGTAGAATTTTTGTCAACCTGATACAAATAAATGTTGATTTAATATTTACGTTCTTGTTTACATAATCGATTATTACAATAATGTATATTACAATGTATATTACAATACAATTCAAGCATTTGCGGTGCGAGTAAAATTTTCGTGAAGAAAAAATATAAAATTTTCATTTTGTAATGTTTAAAAAAATCAACACAATAAAAAAAATATTATTATGAAAGCATAACGAGGATTAAATTTGCTTTGGAATCGAGAATATATCGCGAAATATTAGGGATCAAATATTATACCAACGAATGAAAACGTTCCTAATAAAAATTTAATGTTCCATCCGTATAAGTACTACACTTTTCGAGAAAAGGAAAAAGAGATCTTTTCCGTTTTATTCGCGTGTCTGTATTTTTCCCGGGAAGTTTTATACTATTCTTGATGCACACACCGTTGTTACCAAGTGCGCAGTATAACACGACACCGAGACGAGGAGAAACTTCATTGCAGTCGTTGGAAGATTAATGTAAAACAAAGTTTCCGCGAGAGACTCGTGCCGTGTAACTGGCGTAATACTTCTTTACGCAGTTCCCTTCTCGCAGTCTTCTGGAGAAACGTTCCACATCGTGTATCAAAGATTTGCTTCCATTCTATGTAGTACGTGAACAGTTGCGCCGTACAACTGTTTCAACTCCGAAACAGTTGCGTCACGCCAGCTGGCCGCTCTGCGAAGAATAACGTCACGAGAGCAATCGTGAAAAATTGCGCAAAATTACATAGTTACGTCTGATCGTTGGGAATAAAGAACTCTTGATGAACGCGTTATATTATCTTACAAGCGTAATGAATAGTACAATCACATGTATAATTGCTAACTTCGCGCTTCTCCGTTTCGTAATGATTTTGCAAAGCCGTCCGATACACAACCGTGCATTAATTCCATTTAATTCCTAAATACCTACATCAATTGCTCGTCAGACGATACTCGATATTTTCGCCGTAATGCAATAATAACATGATGCGGATCGTTATTGAAATCGCGATAAATACGCGCGTATATACAGTGCTTCCTTAAATAGATGTTCTACAATTTGCTATTTCTCTCATTTCAACGAATGAAGTGACTTATGAAACATGATAAAAATCGATATTAAGTATATGTTTATTAAGTTTTTTTGTCCAACATCCGGTTTTCACAATTTTCTCAAAAAATGATTAAAAATAAATTAACTATGTTTTTGTCAAATGAGCAACAGAACTTATCAGCAGACATTTGAAAGTTGTCAGAATTTTTGGAAAATTGTTTCAATATTCTCAAATCAAATAAAATGCGTCAAATCCACGATTCGCTTGTAGATTGCAAACAAAATTAAATTTCAGGATTAAGATTAATTTAATTTTGTCTTTGTCTTAAGAGAATTCTCTGTAACATCTGGTTTTTATATTTTATGATTTTATCTATTATCGCGTTGGGTCATTTTGAGCATGCACGCTGTATCGGACTTGCATCGAGTGCATCATTAATGAACAGTGGTTCTACACGCGGTGGTAATACGCGCGTGTCAGCGGTTGCGCGAGTAGTCGAGTACGCGCTTGCGCGCGCTATGACGCGCGAGCGTCGAAACAAGCGAGGAAGAGATATAGACGCGTATACACGATATGAGCAAGAGGGATAGAATACCGACCAATATGGCGATAATATGGGAGAGGGAGAAAACGGAAGGAAGAAAGAGAGAGAAGGGAAAACAGTGTAACGTCTAGATGGCAGGAAGAAAGAAAGGAATGAAGAAATAAAAGTGATGTCTAATTCGAGCATCCTTTTCAACAAAGTAGGAAGAAATAGGAAAGAGTTAAAGAGATAGTTTTTTTTTTCGCGAAAGCGCATGAACCGCGAGTCATTAAGCGGCAACGTGGTGAGAAAGAGAAAGAAAGGAAGAGAGAAAGAGAGAGAGAGAGAGAGAAGTGCGTCAGAAAGGGTGGTTTCCACCCCTTCGGCCATTGTACACGGCGCGGCGCGGTTAGCGTTGCGCGCTGCGGCGCTTTCGAGAAAACGACGTGTCTTTCGGACACTTACCTCGTCTTCGCCGGTGGCCACCGTGTTGACGGAGTCCATACTCTGCGACAGCGGCGCGTCCATGATGCAGGCGAGTTTGCCGGACGGTCCGGGATTGCCGGGGGCTGCGGTACGAGCGGGTGGCGGTGATGAGTCCACCGTGTCCCGTCTCGGTCGTTTTAAAGCGGGCGGCGTTATGGTTGTACCGGCGAAGACGACGGGCGCCTCCAGGACGTATCACTGGAAAATAACCTTGCCTTCGCGAGAAACACGGGGGCCGCGGCCTCCACCTCCTCCTCCTCCTCCTCCTCCTCCTCCTCCGCCTCCTCCTTCTTCTCCTCCACGCCTTCTCTCCTTCCCTGACCCGGTCTGTCTTTTCTCTCCCTCCTGGTCGGCTTCTCTCTTTCTTCTTTCTTCTTTTCTCGTGTTTCTACCTGTTTCTTCTTTGTTTCCTTCTTTTCTTTTTTCTTCTTTGCTTCTTTTCGCGATCCTGACCCGACTCACTTTTTCTTCCGCTTCCTGCCGCAGCTCTCTGCCAGCGCCACCTCCGGTTACCTTACGACGACGTCGTTGCACCTGTCACACGCTGTCGCTGCAAGGAAGTCGTAGCAGCGTAACAACGACAAGAGAGAGAGAGAGGAGAGAGGAGAGAGATAGAGAAATACGACTGTATATCTATATGAAGTGCGGAGCACGAGCGTGTACGGCCTCTGTTGCGCGTTTATGCGCCTGCGAGCGGCATGTATGTACGTGTACGCCTGGCCTGCAGGTGTTGTTCCCACGCGTCTATTTTAGAGCAATCGATACACCAGCAGCGTGCCCGCCGCGAAGGAGGAGCAGGAAAGCACTTGGTGAACGTGATTGACGAACGGATGCGAAGGCAATATTCCTCATCTATCGGTGAACAGTAGCGGCCCATGCGCCGGATGGTGATACGAGCGCGCCGACGATGACGATGACGACGATGATCTGGCCAACGAACTGAACGTGCCTGCTCGACTGCACGTTACAACGAGGAAAAGGGCAACGGCAACGGCGAGGATGACGATGACAACGAGGTTGTGCGAGGCGTAGCGATGCGACTTGCCACGCACCGGGTGGTTGGCACGTAGCAACGCTCCGAAGTGCCAGCGACGCTCGTAGGTACCAGCGACGATCGGATACGGCTGGCAGACTACGGAGTCCAACTTGTCGTACTCCACCTCCTGCTCCTCTCTCCCTCTCTCTCTCGACACGGTTTTCTGTCTTTCGGTCACTTTATCAGTGCGCCCCGTACGGTGCGCACACACGATCGCGGTTCGTAGCGAGTTTCATGCGCGAGCGCGAACGTGTTGTAACAACGATGCCGGTGTGTCACGGGTGACGGATGATATCTTCTTCTTCAGGAGCGCGAGAGCTCCACTTGTAAGGAACGATGGTAAATCGGGGGGAAGAGAAGGGAGAATCAGGGCGATGTTTCGGTTAACGAAAAGCGCGCAACGTAATCGAAACGTGAATGAACACACCACCGCGTCCAGGTGTCAAGGCAAGTTAAAGAGTGACAGAATAATAAGAATTTTGTTACGTGAGCGCTGCGCGACACAACTGGTACGCAGGTTGCCGACAGACTGACGGAGCGTGAACGAGCGCGATGGCGGTGAGGGACAGGAGGTGAGGATAGGGTGGGGGTGGCCCGCGGGCCACTGGGTCGGGGTAGGTGAGTGGGTGGTAAGCAGAGGTAGTGAGAAGGGAAAGGGGTTCGGATCGAGCGTCTGTGCGACGGTGGTACGAGAGAGGGGACAGTTTGCTCGCGATTCAGATGAGGCAGACAGGGGGGTAAGAGGCGTGCCCCTGAAGGGGTACTAGCCGCGGCGCTTCTCCCTCAACTTCTCTCTCTTCTCTCTCTCTTTCTCTTTCTTTCTTCTTCCCTCATTCGCCGCCGGAAAAGGCGACGAGAAAGCGAAGCTGCACTTCGACGAAGGGATGACCGTCGGTTGCGAGGGGAAACGCGTGACGATAGGGGTGCGTTAGGGTCTTCCGCACGTGCTCTTGGATCATCTTCGAGGAAAAAAAAGACATTGTTTCGGGACGTGTTGAAATTCGAGCGTGTCTCGAGAAAGTGGAAGTGCTCTTCGCGTAATGATAGCGATAACACACAATAATAAAAGTAGAATATGTTATAAATACATATTAAACTATACTTGAAAGGGCAGATTCGTTAAAATTAAATTTTGAAATTTTTACCTGATGAATATCTTACATAACTAATAAAAAAATTCTCTTTATCCGTGACTTGTTATATCTTCTTACTTATTCTTACAGAAAAACAACTATTCGAATTTTTAATAACAAACAAGTTAAAGTACTCTTATTTAAAAATTATGAACTTACGACTTTAAAAATAAAAACCATAGGTAATAACTTTGACTATTGCGAGAGCACACACACATCATAATTTACATTTGAAAAACGAAATAGGTTTTCTTCAGAAGTTTCTGAACATTTATAATGACGAGCGCCTTCGTTACATACTGTTACAACAAACTGTATTATAACAAAATAGCCGTATATATAATTATTGAAGTTATATTATTAAAATAAGTTGCAACAAAGAGGTCAAGGGAGAGAAGATGCGCCTCGGAGGGAAATCCCTTCGCCGTGTTTGCTACAAAAGGCGACTGAAAGCAAAGTGTAACAAAGGAATAGTGTCTGCTGTCGACAAAAACAATGGCTAATGCTGAAGATGCGCATTGAAGTATAAAACACGCGAAGTCTATCTCTGAAAAAACTGTGTGTTAAAGTAAGTGCTACAAGTTATATTGAAATCTACATGTAGGTAAAAAATGTACACATATACGGATTTTTTCTCACTTATAGAGATATTCAATTTTTTTCTCGAGTTCTTTTCTGCTTCTTTCTAACTGACATTTTCTATGTGTAACGCGATTTTATATTCGCAGGGAATATTAAATTTAAACAATATGACGTTACGTGTGCAGTGTACGTAAAAATAGAATTTGTTCAGATCGCGGAAAATTCCGGATTCGTGCGCACGCGAAGGAGCTATATAATTCGCGTGGATGCTCCAAGAAGCAAATTGCGAGGTGTAACGATGCGTCGAAGGTAACGGCGTATGTACTTTCTTCCGAAGCGCATCGCGCGCGCGTTATGCGCTCGACGGCGTCTCGCGTCTCAGATCGTTCTTTCTGTTTCTCTTTTGAACGAGTCGGCAAGTAGCACGAGCCGCGCGCGCGTAGCTCCGTTCTACACGAGGAACTCCGTGACTACACGCTTTCCCCCGTGTAACTAACAGGTGGAAGCCGCTCGGAACGCGCAGCTTTTCTCGAGATTAGCAGGTGGAGGATACCGTGTCGCAGATGATTCAGAAACAAGTTCACGCGTAGAAGAGAAGAGAGAGACGGGGAGAGGACAGATGGACGCGATACGTGAGCTGCTTTTGTTCCGACTACTTCCAGAATTATGATACGACGGCGTCCTGAACTTCCGTCGCACGAGAGCGAACAACGCGACCAGGAAGATTCTTGCGCGTTTGCGCGCGAACACCGAGACAAAGAAAACCATGTTTTGCGCGAGATATGTTTTTTTTTTTTTTTTTTTTTTTTTTTTTTTTTTTTTTTATAACGGCTTATATAAAATGACTATAAATATCGTGTTGAGACAATGCGAGAAGAATTGCATTCGTCGTCGATCGAAACAAGAGATTTCTCGTTTCTCAATGCGCAATAACTTATGCGCTACCAAAGAAGTCCGAAAGTCTCGATTTGGGAATTTTCATGAAACGTCGGATTTGTACAAACGTTGCAAATATTTTGGAAAAATACGGTGATTTTTTTTTCAGCGAATATTCTGTCTCTGCCATTTTTTTCACGGTCAACGTAACGCGAAACAGAACGACATGTTCGCCTATTATCGGCAATATCGCTATTGGCGAAATCTGTTTCTCACGGTTGCATGTAAACTGACTGAAATTCTGTGAAAAACCTATTACGAGAGAGAAAAAAACTCGAGTCGCGTGGTCTATTACTACCAGACATGTAAAGCGGCCACGGTTGCATGTTCTGCGTGTTCGAGTTGTGCGCGATGTATAAACCGTAGCACACAGCGCAAGTAGACTCTCTATTATTGATGGTTTATTGCTCGAATCGACCGATGGTACCGCGCGAGCACCGAGCGTAGTGTGTGCATCGGCACACATGCGCCGGTCGATCGGCGAAAATATGCAGAATTATTTATTCGCCACGCGCAATTATTTCTTTATCCTTGGCCGGAACTATTGCGTCGTGTTTACTATTTCATGAGGAATTAGATCTGCGCCAAAGTCAAGTCTCCGTGTTTTCGCGCAAGGGTTAGTTTCGCATAAAATTTTGATAAAAACCTGAGCGCGCACAAATTTTAAAACAAAATTGATTATTATTCTGACACACTTTCATCATATGTATTTTTTCTATTTTCGCCCTTACTTTTATTCTTAATTTTCTACTTGCAAAGTTTTTTTAATCTTATTACGTGTACTATTAACATTTGTCATACGACGAATGAATTTAATTTGTAGATAAAAAAAATATAAAGAAATCGTTTTAAACAAATACAAAAAAGTGAAATTTTTTTTAAAACTAATAAGAACACCTTAATGATAAAATAAAAATTATGACATCGATTTTAATTATAAATCCGCAAACGGAAATTACGTCACGCCGTTGGGAATTAACGTATTAGATTTCTCCGCGAGGGGCTTCTGATTGAGCGCTTCGGGAACGTATTTTCGATAGCCCCGGTCTCTTGCACATGTCCCATCCACGAGAAGTGCTTTGGATGCGAACTGACTGCTTGAGTTAGTCCGACTGCAACATCCATTTTGAATATTTTACAAGATGAGACTGGTCGATTTCTGTGCTTGCAGTAAGTGCGGCTACCTTGCCGCACGAAAATCGTTAGCCGGTGTATATAAATATAACAGTGACGCGATTCAAGCATTTCTCTTAATCCAGAACAAAGAGTCGTTGACCTTTCTTCAAAACATATTATATTACATGGTGTTTTCTTTTGCTCTCCTTGCGTAAAAATAAAATTTTTTTTGCCTCAACATTTGGAAAAAATTATCTCGTTAAAGATTTGTGTCATTAAATTTGAAGTTTGAGATCTTCTTTGAAACACCCTCTATATGACAGACGTGTGTCTTGATTACATCACATTAGACCGTATTACAATGAATCAGCAAACGTGCGACGATTTGGCGACAACTGCGCAAATAATTTGTATTACGAGTAGTCATGATTGCTTGAAACAATCGTCGACTTCCTGTGTTATTTGAGTTATTTTTTTAAGAAAAATATTCCACAGTTCACTCGTGAGAGTTAGCGCGATGTGTGAACTTAATGTAACACGGCATTTTTTGTAATCTCTACTGGGTGTATTTTTCGCGAAACACGATAGATGAGCCGTGTGTTTATTATTAGAGATTATATTGTCAAGTATTACATTTAAATAAAAATGGTAATAAATCGCCTTATCACACATTTGTGTGTATAACATAAAAAGTGTGTCAATTATATCGATTTGGAAAATTCATGCGAGATTGTGATAAAAAATATAACATTTTCAATATATAAATAAACGTCTGCGTTATTTAATGAAACACAATGATCATATTGTTTAATCATAAAAATAAACAAAATGCAAGCAGTGTTCTGGACAGAGGAAGAGAGAGAGAGAGAGAGAAAGAGTCAACGAGCGAGCAAGAAAAAGAGAGAAAGAGAGAGAGAACATAAATTTTTATGCATGAAAGAATTGACAATAAATAATGAAATTCTACATATTCTAAGATGATAATGTTGCAACTTACGCTCTGCAGAACGCTAATAAAGGACTGAACTACACTGATCACGTCGATGTTGCCGGTTGCACAGAAATAGCTCGTTAGTGCGTGACACAAATATGAACGTTGAACCGTGATAAATTGCACACACTGTTAAATACACTACAACGTATTTACTAACAATTGTTGGCACTTTCACACGGTAATAATCACGAGAAACGCGGTACGATTCAAGCAAAAACTTCCGCAAGTCGCCGTAAAGATTCACGAAACTGTCCGTGATTCAAAACTCTCGAGTTCAAGATGGCTCCCGAATCGAAATTCGAGTGTATCGAGGATCGATATATCGAAAGTCGAAGTCGACATCGATTTGCGAGAATCGAGGATACTCGCGGTTTTATTGCTTCTCCCCTCTACTGTGAAAAATTGGCGGGTAAAGCATCTGACGTGATGCCACATGTGCGTGACAAGCTGTGTACTGTATAGTTGTATACGTATGCAGGAAATTGTTTTTCTTTGAAAATCATTGTATGACGTGTGAATATTTGTAATTCGAACATGTTTGTGCACAGGCGATTCTTGTGACATTAATAAACGATATTTCTGTCATTAGTCTGCGATAATAACACGTGAGTATGCAAGGTTAGATTTGGTTGATATTTGTGTGTGTCAGCTCTGAATAATTTGTAACGTCTTTAAATAAAATTTTGAAAACTTCAACTTTTTCGTAAAATCTTAAAAATTGGAGACAACAATATTTTGTTTTATATGCGTTTAGAAAAGTAAAGTTTTATGTCAATTGTAATATATTAATACAACTAAAATAAATATTTTATATATAAAACACACAGAATAAAAATTTACAGAAACTTCATTAGATTGTTGCACGAAGCCATGAATGTTTAATGAGGTTTTTGTTCTGTGTGTGGATATATTTTTTTACTTAGCAAGTTTTATATTAAAAACTTGCAACTTGTCATATGCAGGTTAATAAGACGCAGATTTCATTCCAGGATTTGAAAAATATGGAGAACGAAGATAGCGATTGTGATTTAGATATCTTGAATAATCTCATATCAAATAGCAATGAAGAAATTGAACAATCTGAGCAGCTTCAGCAGTTTGAATCAGAACAGACTAAATTGTCTGATCCAAAGAAAACTTTAACAGAATTGCAATTTAGTTTCTTAGATTCTACACCCAGTAACATACACACTGAAACCAAACCGACTGATGAGAAAACCAGCAGTGAGATTTATGATGACAAGCTGGATTCATCAGATGATGAAGACAGGCGTTATTTTGAAGAACAAAAGTATTCTAATTATGGACGTGAGATAAAACAGTTGTTAAAAGAATGTTCCTCACAAAAGACTGAACGTTCTGCAAACTTAAAATCTGAGAACAATAAGACTTTTAATTTTAATGATAAGAATAAAACTTTTGATTTCAATAACGCGATTAAAAGTAGCAATAACGGCGGTGTAACAAAGGATGTATATAGCGATCCCTTTTTCGGAATAAGAATAGTTAGTCCTCTTATATCGTCTGCCGAATTGAAAGACCGTATGCAAGGTAAAATAGCTGTGACTGTATCAAGAATAAAGAGCCACCTTATTTCTGATAATGTGAACAATGACTGGGTGATCGCCGGTGTATTAATTAACAAATCCGCCACAAAAACCTCGCAGAAAGGAACCTCCTACTGCATTTGGAAAATAAGCGATTTGTCGGATGATTTGAAGACTGTTTCTATTTTTCTATTCAGTAACGCTTACAAACAATTGTGGAAAACGATTATCGGCAGTGTAATAGGTATCCTCAATCCGAATGTACTCGAAAGCAAAGACAATATCGATCAAGCGACACTGTCGATCGATAATCCTCAGAAGATGATGATACTTGGAACGTCGAAAGATATGGGCAAGTGCAAGTCAGTTAAGAAGAACGGCGATTCTTGCACCGCTATCGTAAATTTAAGTCGTTGCGAGTACTGCGTCTATCACGTGAAGCAAGAGTACAAAAAGTGTGCTCGACGCGCGGACCTGCAATCGAGTAACACCGGGTACAGATTCACAGGAGATACGATGAAACGCATGAACAAACAAGACGCGATGCGACAACCTAACGGAATGGCATCGTTCGTGCCCGTATTTGCCAAACCGAACGCGAAGCTGAATGAGAAAGACCGCTTGCGTCTGGAATTGTTGTCCGAGACTGCTTCGAGTAAGAGTAAAGAGAAAAGTGAGGCAAAACCGGAATTTGATAATACGGATGTTAAGAAAAAGGCTGTGATTGTCGAACTGACTAACAAGCAGTCGAGGAAGGACTTTGAACGGCTCAACAAATTGAGGGGCTGGCAACCCTCTAAGCAGGTAATGATCCAATCAACACCTAATGGAACAGTTCTGTGTTCCAACCCGGTACAACCCAAGGAAAGTAGTAACTCTACACCGATCAAACCTAAGATCGGTGTCGCGAATAAAAAGGTCAGTCTGGCTTCTTTGTCTTCAAGACCGCAACTGGGAGTGGGATGTAGTCAAGGTACAATAGATTTTTCCGAGCCGATCACCAAGCAGCACATACGTGCCGCCAAAATGAACGCGATCAAATGGGTGCAGGAGAACGGGAAGATTAAAGCAAAAAGTCCTAATCAAATCGACAAGAGCTCGAGAGAGAAGTTGGAGAAGAATGCGAAGCGTCCGAGAGAGAATAACGAGCAGGAGGAACGGGACGCGAAGAAAACAAAAATAAGTGACAAGTTCAAAGAAATGATGGAAGCAAAGTCCTCGCATACGGATCTGATTGAGAAATCGTATGACGAGGAGCAAGAGAAGTACTTCAACAAGTTAGAGGCGAAGGAAAAAATGGAAGAGAAGATGATGACTACTTACAAGGTCGATTGTAAAGCCGTAAGGTGTACAATATGTAAATATACGGCGTTCTCGGCGTCGGACGTGTGCAAGGAGCAAAGACACCCGATACGCGTGATTGACGCCGTCAAGAGATTCTTCAAGTGTGCTGATTGCGGCAATCGAACCGTCAGTCTGGATCGTATACCATCGTACAGTTGCGGGAAGTGCAACAGCTCGAATTGGGCTAGAGCACCTATGATGGACGAGAAAAAGACTGCCATCGCCGCAGAAACTTTGTCCATACGTGGCGCAGAAGAGAAGTTTTTGGGTTCAGTGGTAAGAGACGCTAATCTCAACCTTCTCGTTCCGGACGAATGAACGAGAATGATTCGATTGTCAACATAGTGTGTTGTTATTGAAGAACTGCCATAAATATATCAATATGGATCTATAAAAAGTCTAGAGAGAAATTATGAAATAATTACATAGACCTGTGAATTTAAATCGTTTTGAATTTGTTTCGAAGTGCTCTTTTGCTTTCTCCTTTAAATTGTACGGACGTTCTTGAGGTCAATTTTGAATTCCAGAAAAGGACTACTTAAAATATTATTACATTCTGTCTCTCAAACAAATTTCACAGGCCTGTGTTATGAAATAAAACAAAGTCAATTATTGTAAATAGAATAGCGGTTAGCGGAACTCTAGCCATCTGAATAAATGTTCAAAGTATTAAATTTTTTTATCTAAAAATGAAGAGAGCAACAAAAATTTTGTTATCCACGAGCTCAATATTTCTAACGTATCGCATCTTAAAATCTATAAATGCAAAACATTTTATGTCCTTTTATTTATTGTCATTATTATCAGTTTCCTCTTTTTTCTTCTTTTTTTTCACTTTATGAAATGTACAAATATAAAGAAATCCTCTAAAATTGTATTTCTTGCACATTTCCAAAATGAAATACATCGAATTCTCTCCGTCCGAAATGTACACAGAAACGTTTCCGATACACAACCAGGTACAATTGTATAAAAAACATTATATATCATTTTGACTACGTTCTTCACTAAATTACGTTTGAATTTTACGTTTAGGCTGAGGAGAGTCTTTGCTGCCTTTCTATATTCGATAGGGCCTTGTTTCGTACGAAGATACTTTTCTCATAACAAGAAAAGTACTGTGCTTCGTCTTCCTAAGTGGGATACGAATTGTGTAAAAAGGTGGACATCAGTAAATTTCTAGATATAAAGAATTGCTATTGGGACCCGGAAGCATCGCGTTGACATAAACTATCACAGATCAGCGTTGTTGAACTTTGATACTTACATTTTTGTGTCTAAACAATACATAGATTTAAAGAGCATTTGATTTACAAACTGATCTCTTGTGAGAAGTGTTATGTCAGTGTAACAATTCCGGACTCTCATAACCAACTGTTTGTATGAGAAACATAGATTGTATTTTTTTTTTTTTTCACTCATGTTTACTGTTTAATATCCTATAGTTGTCCAGTTCTATATTCGGCATTTTATATTACGATGACACGTTACTCTTCCTTGTATATAAAAACTTCGAGTAAAATTATGCGCGTGAGAAAAGGAAGATTAGAAATAATGGCTATTCGACGAATTTCACTATAGTATTATTTACGAATAAACCGCTAATTATTGTTTTCCGAGACTTTTTATCTTTCGTGGCACGATAACATCGATTTATCGTATCTTCTGCTATCTTCGGATGTATGTTTAATCGTTAATTTTTAAGAATCTCAAGTCGACGATCTCGTTAAATGAAGTATGGACCAAAACATGTGTTACGAGATATTATACACATGCTTCAATATGAGATAACAATGGCGAAAATAAGCGACACAGTCTTTTTATAGTACATATATGCAATTAATAAATGCAATTATGACAATTTTCAATGGTTGCACCAATTCCCATCACAATTCGAGTTTGGACGATCTAGATTTCTAGTATATTCGTGAGCGTAGGATTTTTACGTTGCTTCTTTGATTTATAAAACATCCCAACGGAATGCGCATAAAAGTGACTCATCGAAAATTGATGCAATTTTATATAAAAAGGCATTGAGGAGTGAAACCGAAGCGGGATTACTACTGAGAATTAATAATCACATCGGTTAGTTACGTACTGCAAACAGACTGCCTCGCTTCTCGATAGAATTGTTTTCGCTAATGTCCTTCATTTTTCATAAATAACGCATGTGCACGTACATGGAATGTTATCATTATTTCAATCTCCCTCTTTGTCACCTGACAAAGCATAGATCTCACAGGAAATGAGCAGCCATACCATAGAAAAACTTCTCTTCCACCAAAGTCAGATTTTATTTTTAAACCTATAGTCAGATTTTATTTTTAAACCATAGGTCTGCATAAGGGAGAAAACTACTTTTTCAAAGCGAAAGAAGCCGAATCTGTTTTTACAAAGCATATTAGTAGTAGCAAAAAAAGTTTGAAACAAAAACAAAAGATACTTTTGCGCACAAAAAGTTTACAGATTATAAAAGCACGTGTTCAAAATCGTGTTGGCAACATGTTCGGTACAGACGTAAGAGAAACGCGTTTAAAAAAATCTAATTTAATATCACTTAAAATATATCAGTTTTGCAAAACCCCCCATTCGTGAATATATTCGGCCTTCTTTTGCGTCTCAAAAAAAAAGTGGCTTTCTCGCTTAGGAATACCGGGCTCCAGCGCAGATGCATTGTGTGCTACACATATACGTAAACGTGAAGCGTCACATAAAATTGTGTCTTGAAAAATCGACCTGAATAAAATTCACAATGATTACATTTTCATATTGCCGTGAATATCGCAATTTACAAAATCTGATGAAGTTTTGGGAGAGGAAAGGGGAACAACCAGTTCCGATTAAGAGATATTTCACTAGCAAAATACATAGGAATAAAATAATCAATGACGAATATGTGTGAGCAGATTATACAACTATGCTTATAGAGATCATAGGCAAGCCATAATCTAAGTACGTCATCGATTCAGTTATTAAAGCAACTCGCATGGACGATATTTCCGTGTATCTTTTACCTTAAGACAAAGATTACAAGGCTTTTCCTATTCTCTCTTTCTTTCTCTCTTTCGCACTTTCTCCTAACATACTCTCTTTCTCTCTCACTTTCATTCATTGATATATTTATCGAGTTCTTAATTTACTATTACTTAAAACTCCTGGATATCCGTTTCGGTCATATTGAATTATAAACGTCAGAAGTGACACATTGTGTGAACTTTTGTCACGCAAGTTACATTCGAGACGATCTAATTTTTACACGTCACTGGAGAATTTTATCAATTTATTCTCTCGCGAATGTTGATGGCAAAACTCACACGATATTTCGCTTCTGTCGTCACAATTCGATAATATTGCAACAGATAGCCAAAAGTTTTAAATCGGATGTTCCGCTAAGCAGAAACGTAGTCGCACCGATGTATAGAAATAAATAGCTATCTAGATTCTCTTCTAATGAGAAGATATCTTCACATATAAAAATTTGAAGAAACGTTAAGCCGGCAATTAACACGAGTGTCTTGAGAGACAATACACAGATACAAATATTTTCGAACCATCATGTTCTGGAATTCGTTGTGCACATATCGCATAGTCGAATATCTCTCGAACGTTCCACTTTGATGAAGTTCTCTTGTTCTCGCCTGCTTTTGTCTCTGCAAGGTGTCAGAATATTACATATCGTAAATAATGTAAATCTATTATTAATTAATGATACGTTGTTTCCGTCGGAAGAATCTCATAATATTCGAGACCTTTGAAGATCCTTTTGTTTTTTCTTTCTTATCTCTCTTTCTTTCTCTCTCTTTCTCTCTCTCTCTCTCTCTCTCTCTCTACACACTCTTTCGTAAAGAATACTTCACCAAAATTGCACGTTACACTCTTTCCACATTTATACATACATTATTTATTACAAAGGCATCGTACGAATAAGCAAAATTAAATTAACAGTGTTAAAATAAATTTCGTAATATTTTCAATAACTGCGGTTTTTTAAATATGTATTGCAGAGAATCATCTTTTCTCTTCATTGTGAAGTGCACTATAACAATGAAAACTTCGATACACTCGCGAAGCGTTTCCTTATGTACAACTTGTGTGAATGTACAAAAATCTAAGAGCCAAGAACCAGCAATGGAGCAATGTAAAATTGCGAGGAATTATCTGCTCTTACGTTTATTTAAGTGTGTATCACTGCATAAGACGGAAATACTTATTTACTCCGTGGATCGTGTACGCGACCTCAACTTATGTCTAAGGCAACGGTGCCGTCTTTTTTTTTTTTTTTTCTTTAAATTGACATCTATTTACAGAACTCGTCTCGTTATCCATATGAATTTTGCAAATCGGTGTAGAATGCACGATACGCAACTGCATGTTTATATTATAATCAGTTTATTATAGCTTTTCTTTCATGATTGTGTCTGAACAAAATAATGCTACAACCGCTATTGTAATTCAAATACTCATTTCTCGTAAAATCTATGATATAAGATGACAAAAATACCAATTTAATATAAAAAAAAAAAAAAATCGTGACCGAATCACCGTACAATATTCGCGCGACATTCGGCAATGTGTACAGCGTGCAATTCAGTTGTTTAAACGAATCCCTATGAATAATTAAAGATCATAAAATCGTAATACAAGGTGGAGAATGTTATAATGAGAGTAGGCAGGTATCAAGCTGGCTTAATAAAGTGTCACAGTCTTCGAATTGCCTTTCCTTTCGTAGACATGGATTGCATCTGGTATGCCCCATATCAGCTGGTGCTCTTCTCTTGTGTGTATCGGTTACGATCTGATTTCCGGTAAACTCTAGAGAGTAATTGCGACGTGCAAGCATCGTGATTAAATTTTGGAAACATGCCCGTTTATGCCTCCCTCTTGTAATATCGAACAAGAGAGAACATACATTCATATTCCTTCTGCTTGCGACGCTAAGAGAATCAAGTGTTTGTTGAGAGTCACGAACTTAGTAGTCGTCCAAATCAAAGCTATCGATCTCGATATCGTCCAGCTGCATACTTTGAAAATCCACTTTGTACCGCAAAATACCTGAAAAACATACGTTTGAGGATACACGTCAGGCGGCAACAACAAAATTATCGCTTAAAAACTTTTTTCGCTAAAAAAACAATATCTTTATATGAAACACATCAAATTACAATAAAAACCAACTATAAAACAAAAATACTATTGAATTATTGACATATAAGCACATGTGTGTAAATAGATAAATATAAATAAAAATAGTTTATGTAGCTTTAATGTGTACTCGAAGAGATGTCTACGTGTCAAATTGAATCAACTTAAAGTTTTTGTATAACAGTATCTTTTCTTAAATAAATCATATGCTCTAATACTTTATATTTTGCGCGCGCGCGCACGTGTAATGACATATGTATTGAAGTATTTTATATATTGTGTTTTAGATATATACTGTTGTATGAGTATTATCTATATCTTTTTAATACTTATAAATGTCAGATTTTAGAATATACTTTGTTTTGTAATAAAGAACAAGTACTATACCTTTCCCAATATGCAAGCTAACAAAAGTAATACACCGATTAATACTTGAAAAGTATCAAATACTATTTTATGATATATATTAAAGAGCACAATTATTTGTAAATATAATAATGAACATAATCATATGATACGTATGCTCATTATCAGAGATAACATTTTTTATTTACTCATAAAACATCTTTCACACTCTTGTAGTTTCAAAAATAAAATATATTATTCAAGTTTCTAAGGCACGTGTTATCTATGATAGTGAACTTCTCTGTGTACATTGCTTATTATTTAACATGCAAATATGTAATTATTGAAATCTATTACACTATCATATCGTTTGCATTATATAAAGCATGGGCAAAGCGCACGTCAAAAAGAAAAATATAAAAAACTGTAATAGAAAAATATCTAATATTTCATTATGTAACATTTATACACACTATAGTATGTAATGTTAAAATTTCTCTTCGCAAATACTATCTTCCTGTTTCAAATATTCACACAATAAGAGTTATGTGATAAGTTGATGTTTACTACAAAAATAAGTGTTTTAAATAATATATATTATAAAATTGAAATATAATATGAATTCTGTATATTATGTAGGAAATAATTTTCTAAAGATAAGAAAGTTATATACTTTTATATCAATAATGCAAATGTGATAACTTTGTTATACTGAATTAATGTAAAAAAAGTCAGAGTTTGCGGACTGTTAAATTCCTCCTTGAAACAAGTGTACATACATGCGCATGACCTAAAAAAACTGTGATTACTAGTATAGTTCAGACTATACAACGTCTATAGCATAGCACAATTGCAATATGTATAAGTAGTAAATTATGATACACATACGTCGTATGTGTGCACAAAATGAAATGAAGGAAATGACGATCAAAATTGCGCCAAAATGTGCAATATAAAAAATTCTACCAAGAAACAAATGAGATATTGTAAGAAATGACATGCGTACAAAAAACATTATAGCATAATAGTAAATAAAAAATATAGTGATTCGTAATAATTGAAAATCAAATATATATACGCACACACTGCACATTTTTTTCATTCACCAAAACTCTCTCTCTCTCTCTTTCTTTTGTATAATTCACATACTCAAGTGATAATTAATTGAATCGAGAATTAATAAATGTGTACGTGAGATGTTACATGTTTATTAAGTAAATCTTAGTCAATGAAACAATTGTTGGATAATCTTCAAAAAACAACAATCTATGTACACATAAATTTAAATAGTTATAGTTTTAGTGATATAATGTGAAAAATTTGTTCATCAATTGTTGTAGCTGAAAGCTCATACATCTAAAAACAAAAGCGTTATTAATTAGTTTTATTCAACACATGTCGCGACTTTTAATATTTGGACTTTTAATGCGTTATCATACGAAAAGATCGAAATTGTGTTACACAAATAAAAATATGACTTTATGTAAATTTGATGTCAGGCAGCATTTATCTTTCCATTGAATCAACCACCTTGTATATCAAATGTTGCAATACCAACTACTTTCTCCAACAGACCAACAACAGCGTACAGATCTAATAACGCGATATAAAAAAATAGAAGACTAGAAAATTTCCACTCATCCCCAAAGAAAGACAGCAAAGATTTTTTTGTGAAAATAATATGTACATCTCGTTTTATAATCGAAATATAAACGAGAACTAAAAAAAGATCTATTACCATTCAAACATTTCGAGAGACACATATGCATATACTACTCAGATCTGTACAGAAGAACCAAACTCTATTCAGTGAGAAACCCAATGGAAGAAACTGTGAACTTTTTTGGACAAATTTATCTTTACATTTAACTTGATAAATATAGTTACTTTTACTTTCTTGTGTTATAAAAAGCGACAACATGTAACATCTCAAAAGGTCTTAAACTTGTAAGGTATTCACTTATGTGCGATTGACTTTATTTTTGTAATTATTAATATCTTATTTATAGGTAAACCGTGTAATATTTATATTCTAGACAGAGAAAAAACTACACAACAATAAAATGTGCAATTTCTTGCTCTCGAAGCTATCAGAAAAGAAAATACTTCAGAAAGCCGCTTTAACTATATACGTTTGAGAGAAGTCAAGATAATTTCAATATATATCTTACATACAACCTAATAAAGTTATGTTTATAGAAATAACATAATACAGAAGATGAAATCCAATGGATAACGCGGCAAATGATAAATTTGTCCAGCATTGCAAGTAATACGCTCTATGATACACGAAATGTAAATGAACGCACGCAAGACAGAGAAAGAGCTACCTGGTCTCGATTTTGAGTAATTCATGGGTGAAATTAGTAATCATCGAGGTCAACATCATCAAGAGGCTCATCGGCCTGCAGTGACTGGAAATCAACTTTGTAGCGGAGAATTCCTATGCACCAACATATATATATATATGTATACTCCATAATTAGTTCGATAGGATTTACTTTCCGTGCAAAAACCTTCTTTTGTATGAGTTAAATCAATCTTATTTCAAGGGCATTCTTTCTACTCATAGAATGCAACTACATCGTGATGTACCAACGTATGTACAAAGTTTCACAGCAAGTCACAAATGTGCATTAAAGACAGCCTATCCATCATTGCTAATTATTATTTTAAGCGTTTCAAATTTTTTGAAGCACAAAAGTCTGTTTAATGTTCTTTCGCAATTCTCTTTTATTTTTTTTTTTTCCCCATTTCGTTTCACTTTTGTATTATTTAAACGTTTCTCTCGGTGCGTAATGACGTTTTGTACATTTTTTAAATTATTTATAATGTAAATTTATAGATATTTTATGACAGAAAGGTAGGATCTTCCTTACGATGATAAATAAGTGAAAAAGTAACTTACCTCCAATGCCACCAAACCCTCTCACAAACTGCGAACCTTCCTGAGACTTGTCTGTGATAATTTCCAAGGTGGCACCGAAACTTTTATAATTATTCGCAAGCCATTCGAGCAAGGGTTGACATTCCACGAGTTCCAGCTCTACCCCGCTCTACAAATAAAACCAAAAAACCACTTAACAATGAAAAATACTTTGCCCTAAGTTAGATTTAAAAAAAATTAAAAAGTTTGTTTTTATTTATATTATAAACAATATAATTTTAATGCTAACCTCCTTATCAGTGAAGTGAGTTTTGTCTTTTTCTTGTTCTGGAGTTAGATGAAGTACTTTTTCCTCCGCATTTGTATGATTTTTGAGGACATAACGTTGAATATCTAAATTTTCCCAACAAATTAAAGTTTCGACACTACCTAATTCCAAAGCTCTTAACGTGTCTTCTACACCGAAACAGTATTTGCCGGTTTCTTGAGATATTTCATCGAAATAACGACCTAGTCAGAAAAATAATTCAATAATACACATTATTAGATACATTTAAATATCAACACTGTAGTTAACAAAGCATCGATTTACCAATTAATTTTTTTTCTTGAATAAATTTTACATTTTGCAACGATTCAGCAGCTAATTCAATAGCCTGGTTAAAACCATTTTCACCACCGTACGACACGTCTACTAATTTTATAACTTTTGCTTGCAATCTCTGAAAGAACACAAATATGTTGCTTTAAATTAAATATACATACACACATACGATTCCTGCTTTGATAAAAACAAAGAATAATCTTGCTTACTGGATCAAACATGTCAGATTGACTAAGTTCTGTCTTAAAGTCGGCACTACCCGCCAGAATTAATCCAGCAATATTAGGTTTGTCATTAGTGATGTATAATTGAGTAGCGACTTCGGCCACCTTTCGAACATAATTATGTCGTTTTTCCATACGTAATCGGGCAAAACGCAACGCAGACTGACCTCCTCTACCTAAAATTAATCTCCTTTATCATAGCGTGTCCAATAAAAATTGCCTTGCGTTCAGTTTTGGAAAAATCGAAAAGTAATCGACTTTCATTTTTTTTCTTTTTTAGGATACGTCACATACCATGCTTCTTGGGGAGGTCCACAGTAAATTTATGTAATACCTCGCGTGTGTTCCCTTGTAGCGTGCCAAAGAGTGCGCCATTACCATCCATTACTATAAATCCAAATTTGTTGTCATCGGCAAGTAATGCCGTGAGTGCTTCTGTGTGAAACTGCAAGTGCAACATGGTTCACAATAACTGATGACATATACTCACAAGTATAGGCATCATGCAATATATTTGTGTACCTTATTATCACAAAGATATAAAGAAGTATTAATAGGCTTGAAAGGTTCAAAATCGATGTTAACTTTCTTTTCTTTCCCTTCCTCAGTTACAATAGTTCCACAATAAATTACCAGGCCATTTGGAGGCACTATAAAATAAATTAATGTAAATTTCTACATATGTGTTAATTGTATAAATCGATATTACACATAATACATAAATAATTCAAATTTATTTATAGGTTGAGTCTTTTCTTTAATAAGAAGATAAAAATAAAATGAGTTTAAACTAAAGAGAAAAATTTTATATATAGTATACAAGTAAAAAAATATAGTTATACCTTTAGTATATAGTTTTAGCCTATGCTGTACTGATGTGATTGCACCCAAAACAGACAATCTATTTACACGAGATTTTATATTTGATGCTGTGCCGAATTCATCAGCCAGCATCTTGCTTACTCTCGATATTTGGTCCTTCGGAGGTATGATTAAAGAAATCATACTTGTACCATTCCTGAAAAAACAGACTCTTCAGTATTTCCCAACATTACACGAGTATTGCTAAATATTGTGAAAGACTTATCGTGAAGAAAATCTGCTTATATAATTTACTTATCTTATTTGTACAGACAAGAAATCTACTATTCTTTTTACAATATAAATTTTTTATCAAGTTGCAGTATACGTTGCTAACTGTTAATCGCTATTGAAATGACCTTGTATGCGAGGTAAAAGACTCTAGATTGCAAATTGAGCACATGCTTCTTAAAGCCATATGTCTGGGTCATCTGTGTAGTGGTAGCATTTGATAGCACATGGTCGGAACGGGGGCGTCATTGATCTTTACGTACCCTCTGGCCATCTCCAAGCTCTTTATGAGCTTCTTGATTTTCCAGATCTCGACATTGCGGTCGGCGGATGTCTCTTCGTTCGACATCGCTGATGCGCGTGAGGACGCGTGGTCGCGGCGTTACGGTGTGTCCGATTCTGGAAGATTTGTCGCTGCTTGCGCGCGCTCTAGTTTGCCCGATACGGGACGAGGTGACAGGCGGACAATGTGGATCCCACGTAGACGATGGGAAACCGGCCTGTGTGTGACGAATTTTTCTTTCTTTCTCTCTCTTTCTCTCTATCTCTCTCTTTCTCTCTCTGCGAAAATCACGAATCGGAGGATTATCAATAGTCTCACGGAGAAAAAATACCGCACCGAACCAGTTCGCACCGGATTATGTCAACCACGAAGAAACGTGGTCGACATAGCCATGCGACGAGGATGGCCGTGCCGTCTCTCTTTTTCCTTTCTCTCTCTCTCTCTCTCTCTTTCGACGTTCTCGCGTGCGGACACTAAAAAAAAACGCTCTCTCGAGGTTTAATCTCGCGCCGCGCGGCCACGCTTGTCTCTTTCACACACACTCACTTTTTTTGAGAAATCGTTAATCGTGCGTACCCGCAGGCGGCCAATGTGGACGACGTGCAGTGGACAGGTCCTTTTTAGCGGTGACACGGTGAAGACCACGCGGGTGCGAGCTTCGGAATGCACACGTCGGCCATGCGATTAAGCACAGCGGAAACGTCAGTGGACGTGCCGCACACGAGACAAAATGGGAAGCAAAAAGACCTCGAGGCCGCCCAGTCACGTCTACGAACGCGAACGGCCGCAAGTCGCGTTTGCAAGTTCCGCGAATTTGTCTGATTATTGGCTGACGAGAGAGCTAGCGTGTGCCCTCAGTCCAACATTTTGTTCGAAGGTTAGACCTCGTCCACACTGGCCGCTCGTAGCGGGAAAATCCATATACAAATCCCGACAAATAGCAAGTTTGCTAAACTTGAGATTGACTCGTTCTGATTGGTTCAATTAAAATACAAATTTCAGAACGGAATCAAAATTGCGCCACATGCAGCAATGGTTTTTAATAATAAGAGTCTGCAAAAGCTGACGGCAATGTTTTTTTTTTGACTCGAGCAGGTGACTTGTTTCGTTTCTCTCTTTTTACGTCTTGTACTATCGCTCACAATTTTATGTTTCACCTTTCTGCCAGCTAGACGACAGAGGCGCTGTTAATTGCCATTACATTTACATAAAATTATCGACTACGTAAGTAGTTCTATAATATCGCCACAGCGCCTAACGCCGAAAGTGCGCACTAAACGTCAACTTTACGAAGGTAACTCAATATTTCCTGTAATTATTTGCGTCGTAAGGATACAAATAAGGAACGAGATGTTTTAATTCATCGATCGACCAATCGATGAATTTGAAAAACATGGTCCAAATATTCAAATTAAGGAATTCGAGCCGCCATGATCAATTTCGCTTGCCGTTCGTTTGGATGGCGCCATAATATTCTCGTACCGATACGGGACTGAAGTTTTCCCATCTGTCGCAATCAACTCTCCGTTCAATCTTCTCCCGCGTAAGCGATGAGAAATGTTGCGACTACTGCCAAGGTGTTGTAAACTGTACGCGTGTCTGGTTTACACTTGTCATCGATAAGTTTTGCGTGTCGTGTTGTCCCGTCGTCGACTCGCGCTCCGCATTACGTGAACGTCTCGTTTTCGCCAGCGTAATTTTTGCATACAAGAGAGCGGTGCACTGTGGGCCAGCAATGGTGGGCGCGTGATTTTGAACAATTCGAGCTATCGAAGGAACGCGCAGGTATGTGTCCTTGATACGCAACGTGTCGCATTATTTTCATCTTTTCGAAGCCACGTCGGGCTTCCAAACGCTGAAGTAAATCGGACCCTTTGCTATCCCGAACCGCGATTTTGCTGATTTAATTTGTTTGTCCAGTTTTGTTTCGAACGCTTTGAGGTTATGTCTCGTATTACGTGTATATATGAGCTTCGCGCCACCGTGTTTTGTGATCGTCGCGACGTTCCGTCATCGAGTTTCTAATTGGGACTTGGTTTGTTGGACTCCTGCGATTTGTCGTTCACAAAATCAAATTTTCAAGTGCGCTCGAAAATCAGCTTTGCAAAAATGGCGCGTTCCGCTAGTTAAATGGCGCTGATGTTCCACGGCGACTTCGCGCTTCGAACTTATTTTTTTTTTTTTTTTTTTTTTGGGGCATATGTGTTTATTCGAATTTCTTTGACATGTATTCGAATTCTCTTGTTCGAAATTTCACTTGATTATCGATAAGCAGCTGACACTTGCCGCGCGAGTTTTAATTACTCAGATTTAAATCTTTGCGTATTTTGAAATACGTAATTATTTGATTACGTTTCAATATAAATGTAAGTGATAAAAGTACTCGCGACCAGATGCAAACGTTCGAAATTAATAATTTAATAATAATAAATTATATTCGATATTAATATATTGTTATATAAATTTTGATAAAATAAGTAAAATAAATAAATATGATTTTTTGTATCTTCTTTGTATTATAGTGATAAGTTGTTTTGTGTTTTAAATTTTTTTCAGGTTTATATTTACATATATATTTATAATTTATATATTTATATATATAACAACTTAAATATTTCTTAAATTTAACTATTGAGCTATTTTAAAGGCCAATGGTGTGACTTGGAGTCATCGTCATGTCCACTAACAAAGAGCAAACTGCAAGGGCCTTAGTGGAGCCCTTAGCCTTGGATTCGCGTACATTAGGAGATAGCGATCTCAGTGCGCTGAGTATGTCTCACAACAATGAACAATACATGTCGAACGACTTTGAAGCCTTCACAAACATTCAAGCTGAACTTGAGTGTATGAACGCGGAAGAAGTTATGGCAGCAGATGATGAGCAGATAATAATTGAAGAAAATGTTGAGCCTGAAACAATAGTATCCGATGTAGAAATGTCAGACATATCGGAGCAAGTACAGAGTGAACATATTTATACAATGGCTAATCAAAACAGTCAAGATAATGTACAGTCATCACATAATATAACATTTCAAACAAAGCCTACCTTGCAGAGAGTGCCTGTGTCTACTGTTCAGGTAGTATTTTTTTTTCTCTAATTGCATTTTTATCAAATTAGTTGTCTAAACTATAATATTCACATTAATTTTCTTTTAGACAAAGTCGTCTATTGGTCAAACTACACAGAGTCAATCGATTATGATAGTTTCACCTGCAAGTGGACAAGGCACCAGTCAAATTCTGAAGATATCACATCCACCGACGGCTTCGGCCGAACAATTGCAATCCTTAGCTCAGACTCTTTTAACTGGTAAATCCGTAGATGGAAGTATCGTTCAGATAAGATCGAGTCAACCTACTAAGTGCATTACAACAACCAGTTCATCAGGAAATATCACAGTCAGTAATGTACAAAGTCTTAAGATAACACAACCGACATTGAAGCGAGGAACGCAGAGTATCGACTCCGGACGTAATGTAAGAAATTAAAATTTTTTTCAATTATGTTTTTATAAATTTTATAAATAAAATTGTATATATATTTATATTTTAAATTACAATTAAAAGTTCAAAGCACACTAAAAAAATTAATTTAATGTTATTCAAAGTTTATGAATATTTTAATAAATTATTTTACAGATATATACAAAGATGATATTAACAGGAAATCAAGTACAACCTGCTGCTCAGCAAGTTATTATCGCAAGTCCACAAAATGAACATCAGACGGTTCCGGGAATCAAATTTCTTAATAATAATTCTTCTACCTACGGCACAACAACTTCGACAAAAACCATAACATTAGCACAAGCTCAACAAATGGGTATACTCCCTGCTAATAAAATGCAACATATTTTACCATCGTCCCCTCATTCAATATATAAGGTATATTATATAAATTCTAACATAATATACAATTTGTGTCGCAATTTATGTATTTTTTTCCTTTTCTTCCTAAAAAATGTTTTTACGTTTATCTTTTCAAAGGAAAGAAACACAATATTGGGTAAGTTGTTGGAAAACTCACCCTGCGCGCAACAGAAAGTAACTATAAATCTACCTACTAATATTGTAAAATCGCCAACAAAAATTCTACCTGCGCCATCGGGAAATATTCAGATAAAATCATCGACGTCAACGAATCAGCAAGCTACATTTGTTTCATCCAAGCCGTCTATACAACAAAGTCCACAGAAAGTGATCATCAAACAGGTTAATTTTATAAAATTTTATAAATATTTTTTTCTCTATTTTTCAAAATATATAAAACTGATAAATGTTGTGTATAACAAAACATGTCTTTATTTATAGAGTTCTTTGAAACCTGGCACTATGACACTTGGAAGTGGACAATTTATTAGAATACCTCCTAATCAGAATATTGTAACTGGATCGAACCAAGTTCACCAAATTCAATTACCCAGACAAGTACATTACTTAATTTTTTTTTTTTTTCCGTAGTAATTTGTGATCGTATGTGTAATGTCATATTTTCGCAGGTGCAATATGTAAGATTAATCAGTACTCCTTCAACAGTACCTACCAATGTTATTACTATAGGCAAATCAAAGCCTACTGCAATTCAAACTATGGGTATCGGTCAGAAGATAGGAAGTCAACCGGCAACCATAAAAGTATGTGCAAATTTAAATAGTATTAGTTATTTTTTATAAAATAATTTGAAAAAAAAAATTATCTTCGGCTTGTGTGCTATGGGATTTAGTTGTTGTGTAATATATTTAAAATGTGCATAAATCTAATATTTAGTTTTTTTTCATCAGGTTTTGCCGTTAAATTCTAGCAATCAATCGCTGAAAACCGTCACGCCAAAAGTAACTGTGGCAAGTAGTGCACAAAGATTACTCATGCCTGCAACAGCTACTGTCGCGACTGCCGTCAGTAACCAGCCGAAAAACACAGTAACGATTCCTGCGTCAGCATTAACACAGTTAACGTCTGGACAGGCAGTTTTGTCTACTAATCAAAGTGTTGGAAACATTGTTGTTCTTCCCGCTCAATATATTCAGCAACAGGTTCGATCACATTTTTAATTCCAGCAGAATCTCTCTTAGTTCAACATCTCTCGACTCTCAAATTATGCTATTAAATAAAAGATACTGATTCCAGTTTTTATAAAATTATGTATATTATATGTATATAGAAATATACAAGAGTATTTTGTGTATATATATATATATATATATATAAATTATTATTTTTGTTGAGACAGTCAACAGATGATGCAAAGTTAAAGTCTCCACAAGCGACGCCGGACATTGTGGGAAGTTCACAAAGTTCCATACCGACTTTATGTATGATTGACAACAAAACTTCTCATAAAGGACTTTATCGGTCTGATAGCAATGTCGAGGCAAACGGCATTAGGCCACGAAAACCATGCAATTGCACCAAGTCACAATGCCTTAAGCTGTAAGTATTTTCTTAAAGTGTAAGAAACTTCAACTCTTAAAAGTTTTACGTAAACACCAATTTTTATCAAAATTCAACTTTTTTTTAACATCTTAAAAACTTTTATTGAATATTTCATCTCTGATTACTATTACATAGGTGTATATAGATTTTCCATCGTCTTCTTTCTTTTGTTATCATCGTAATATTGTAGTTTGAAGCATAACTTGAAAAATACATTTATTGAAATATAATATATATAAGCGCGTAAAATATATATTTTATTTCAAAAAACTATTTTTACATGTACATATAATCGGAGTAGACACATGTTATTTACAAAATTAAAAAATCAAAAAACGTAGTTTTGCGTTTTTAACCTATATATAAGAGTATTTAATTTTATTTTAAAAATACACTATTTGTATCATTTCAACGAAAAATCTGAATGAGTGTAATACAAAATATTTTTTTTGTTACAGGTATTGCGATTGTTTCGCAAATGGCGAATTTTGTCACATGTGTAATTGCAATAATTGTTCGAATAATCTTGGAAACGAGGAGGAGAGACAGCGTGCAATTAAATCCTGTCTGGAGCGCAATCCCAATGCTTTTCGGCCGAAAATCGGAAAAGTCCGTGAAACTGGCGATGATATAAGAAGACATAATAAGGGTTGCAATTGCAAGCGTAGTGGTTGTCTTAAGAATTATTGTGAATGTTATGAGGTATTTTGAGATCTATATGTAAGAACTATAAAAATTATTCAACAGATTTGAATATATTTATATAATAATGGACATTTAAAATTTTACTTTATAAAACATCTATATTTAACTGTTTTTTGTCTTTTAGGCTAAAATACCATGTTCCGCAAATTGCAAGTGTATAGGTTGTCGCAATATCGAGGATCCAATAATATTGGGCAATAAAAGAACTTTGAAAAATCTGGCAGAAGCAGCTGAAGTGAGAACGACTCAATTTAAAGTAGATAGAACACGACTGCAGTTATCAGAGATGGCATTTAGGCCACCTGCTTTGTCCAATACTGGTACAAGGTTCGTAATGAGATCTTACAAATGTTATGCTCACGCATTTATTCCTTTACTAAAAATCTATTTTGTAATTTTTATACACGTATCTTTGCATAAATTTTTACCATAGTTTTTTATATATTTACTTTATATTTTTGTTACAGACAACCGTTTAATTTCCTCACGGACAAAGTGGTTGAGATAACATGTCAGTGCTTAATAGCCCAAGCTGACGAGGCAGAACGCAACATGTTAGACGAAGAGACGTCCCAGCGTCTTATCATCGAAGAATTCGGTCGATGTTTAAAAGAGATCATTGAATCGGCGCATAAAGCTGAAACTACCTAGCACGTCTATTCGCAAGATACCTTTTGCAAATCTTCGTTTGTCATTATTATGGGAATTGGGTAGAACTAAAAGGAAAGCATAATGCAAATGTTGTTACCAAAGATGTTATCATACGAGATAAAAAGTAAATTTTTTTCCAGCAAATTTTTAAAGTTCTATCACTGTATTCATTGTCAAACATCTTGTATGGGTCTCTTTTTATAGAGAATCTGACTGAGTTCTATTATTTGATGATCGGTAATGTGTTTAATACGTCTGTATGGTATTCCAAGGAGAGAAAATAAGATTAAGAAATAATATTGAATTGCATTTCATATATTCATAGATATAATACATTTTTATGTAAAATAATATGTTTAACAGTACAATTAAAATAATTATATATTTATGTATCTGTATGTACCATAAAACTTCTAATGTATTTTTTGTCACAACTTATTTTTAATCACAGAAAAAAAGAATCTTAAAATCTTATAAGTGCTTAAGCTCACCAACTTTTATTTTGCATATATACTTCGATTAATAATAGTACAAATCTATAAAAGAGTAAATTAATATTTATTAGTCTAGATATGTGATTGTGCGAGTTAGGCTCTTATAATAATTCTCTTTTTTTCTGTGATTATATATTATTATATAAAATCTTGTTCTAATTTGCAACTTATTTAATTTCAAATATACTAGGAATATTAGATTTTAATAACTAAATATATTTCAAGTATAAAGTTCAGCAAATAAAAATTCTTGATATAAATAATGTAATTCTGTTGTATAATCGTATGTATTTTTTGTTAAAGAGAGTTTAGTTTGTCTTTAAGTTGCAATTGCAATATTTGGACAACATTTTTCAACAGCTCAATATCGATCGAAACGAACAGCATCGTTAGAAGTTTACGAGAAGATGTGCGATATCTTTATAAAACATTCTGTATTATATGTGTGTTTATTCAATATTAAAATGTTACTATTAAACTGCAGCAACAGTTTATATATTCACATGCATTTGCATTTTTCATGTAGAATATATAATTAACTGCAATTCAATTTACTTGTCTATCTTTTATGTTGACAGAACAATAGTTTTGCTTTTGTTTTTTCAACATTTTTTTTCGTTTTTTATAAATTGCAATTCTTGTTCGATGTTTTAAATCATTATTACATATATACAACATGAAGAGTGCAACGTGACGGAAATATTAAAGGTTATTGGTTTTGATAATAATTTGCTAATTTACATCAGGTATGTATATGTGTGTATGTATTCGCAATGATATTACATGATATTTAATATAAATAATATGTTGTATAATATAAATATAGAATGCCTAATAATTTTGTGTGTGTACGCATGAAGAAGTGTGTGTGGTTAAAGAGAAATTTTAATATTTGTAAAATTTATTCAATTTACGTCTATATGATTTATATTATATAAATTATGATACTTGATTTTTAACTCTGTAGGTTCTACATATGTATAATATTACTTGAGACTTTAGATGTATATGTAATCATATTTCTAAACATAAACGAGAAAAATTGCAAAAAATTGTTTATTATAAAAAAGTAATTATTATTGATATTATGTAGCTTTCCTCTTGTAAATATTAGTAGAGAATAAATTTAAAAAAAACTTTGTTAACATAAAAGACGGTTGCAAGTATGTTACATTTATATGCTTATTGCGTTATATATATATTAATGCTTTTACATCCATATTCACAAATAAATTTTATAATAAATTACTTTTAAATCTTTTTAAACTACAGGTAACAGTCTGGATACAGAAACGTCGCTGTTTAAACATTAGAGAAGAATTTGATTTTTTAATAAAAACAAAAATAGTTTTATCATATATGTATATTTACATAATTTGCGTACACGCGTTCTAAAATATATATTATACCTAAAATTTGACAATCTTATTTTTTGTCTTCACTTTATCATTGTTATCTTTTTCTTTAACAATTTCGCTTAAAGATTCTAAAGCAGAATCATTAATTTTTTCTACTGTAATGGCGTTTTCCTCTTTGGCCTTTACCAAGTCAGGGCAATCTTTTTTCAAGTGCGTCACAGCTCCGCAAATTTTGCAACAACCACCATTGGGATAAACTCCTTGCGGATTGTCCGGACATTGCACAGCAATATGTCCTTGTTCACGACAAATAAAGCATTTGGCGTATCTGTAGGTGGCATCCTTGTTGACTTTGCATTCAAAATGCGTGTGCTCCGTTGAGCCGCATTTGAAGCAGATGCCCGTGCCTTCTTCGTTGCCAAGCTCTGGGCAATCTGACAAATTGTGTCCAGATTTGCGACAGTTGAAGCAAACGTGTTTTTTAACGCGTGATAGGGCTTTCTCAGCCTTACGCCTCTCCAGCTTTATCGCTATATCTATTTCAAGTTTTGGTATACCTATGTGCAATATTAAAATATAATATTGTTGATACATGATTTAACTGATAAATTCATAATTTACATTAAAATAAATTTTATATATTAACTTTTAGCTTTTTAAAGCTAAATTTTTCGAATTTTAAAAATAAATTCTTAGATTTAACTTTCCATTTGTGTTTGAGTTCTTGAAATTTGAAATTAGTAGATGATATTTATGTGATACACAGTTATAATAATTATACTTACCCTTCATTGTCATTTGTTGTTTAAGATCTGCTAGTCTCTCTGCATCTTCCTTTTTAACAGGAAATCCATCATACTTGACAATTTCAGTTTCTACGCCATTAATTATCATTTTTATAGCACCAATATCTGGCTTTCTCCTTTTGTAGTTTCCTTCTTGTTTACTTTTCTTTTCTTTTCCTTTGTAATTAGATATTTTGTCTGATGTACTATTACCTTCGCAACCACTGTTAGTTGTTTTCAATTTTCTTTTAAGATTCCTCTTTTGTCGTTTGCTTAACACAGTAAAATTTGATTGTGCTTCATCTTGATTTACTTTCTCTTCAGATGGTGAATCTTTGAAATCTTGTTCTTCTTTTTCTTGTTTCTTTTTTTTAGGAAACATACCTTTTTTATCATGTATTTGCTTGCTTCTTGTATCTTCTGTGTGTTCTGTTTGTTGTAAGTTTTCTTTACTATTATTTTTAGATGCAACAATATTATTATTTTTAGAATTTTCTATTGTATTTGTACAAAGTTCAGTTGACTTTGATTTCTTACATTCTTTTTTCTCGCGTGTCTTTTCACATTTTGAGAAATCAGAATTAATATTTCTATTTGCAATGCTATCTTCTGTATCTCTTTCATGATGCTTTATTGATTCCTTTGATGATTTTTTCTTTTCCTTCTTTTCACTGAGATGTTTACTAAATTCTGCCCAATTGTTATTAATATTTTTGTTGGTCTCATTTTCCTCATAATCCTTCAACAATTCCTTTGCTGTTCTTTTCTTTTTCAAAGATTCCTTGTTTTTGTCTTCTAATTGTTGTTTCATTACCATCCATGGAGTAGCTTCATTGGGTAATCTTTCATTTGATGCTTTAGATCCTTTTGCCCTTGCATATCTAGTCATTTTTGTAAACACTAAAAATATGAATTCCTTATAAATCTCAAATGTATGTAAATAAAAAACAACGTTCTGTTCCTTAAACTTATCGCACAGCTGCGCACAGTTGTAACATATATGTGAAATTTCTTAGCGTATATGACAGATAAATAATAATTTATAATTGCTATTAACAGCAAACACGTGACATATGGTTTTTTACGCAAAATAAAATTTTTCTTACCGGTTTTTAAAATGTTAACAACACGTGGTCTCCACTATCTTAGGAAAGTAATCAACAATGGCCGCGTTCAGCTTTGACTATATACAGAGATAAGATTGAGAGCAGCCAGGCTCATAAGAGAATGTATAATTGCTTTTCCGCCCTGTATATCAGCGCAATGTCCATGAGTGGTGCACATTGGCAACTACGTACCCATGTTTACGAACAACATGTTGTCGGTACGTATGTTATGTTCAAACCTGGTTCAAACCGGCCAGGATGTGCACAATCTAACTGGTCAGGAAATGCTAAATTAACCAATAGAATTGTTTGAATTCTAATAACTTGTATTTTTTGAGAATAGTTTTTTGAGAATAATTTTTTGAGCAGAGACGCGTTTTGCAACTATATAGCCTTAAGGTTTTGTTAAACCCAGTTTTGTTAAACATATTCACTGATTGATTCGTGACATAGCACGTGACCATGGCACGTGACTAACGTAACTTATTACACGTTTTCGTTTACATCGCTATAGACGGTGATAACGAGCAATTTAGCGTGTGCGTTTTTGTGGTTAGTATAAATTTAAATACATATTTTAGGTTTTAATATAAATATCTTTAATATAAATTAAATGTTTAGGTTTCTTAAATCTTTTGCGAAAAAATGGCGGAGTTTGTGGAAAAACGATGTGAGGACATGATTCCTGAATTGGAACAAATGGAAAAACTCAAACTCTTTGACAGAAAAGAAATTCGGTAAGTGAAAGTATATTATCAGATTGCACAAATATGTATTTACGATCTGATTGTAATAAGACTCATAGTTAATTTTGATAATTTTTTTCAGGAATATAGCTAAAAAATGGAAAGAATACGAATACAAGATACACCGACACGAGAAGTGCAAGGAAGATTATCTTCGATACATACAATATGAAATGAATCTTTTAAAATTGATTAAACAGCGCAGGGATGTAGGTAGCTGAGTCTTACTGTTCTTAGATTTTGTATATATATATATACATATATCAAATTCTAGTTCAATAATTTTTAAATAATCTTATGACTGGTTATTGTTTATATAATTTGGTGCAATTCTGTTATTTAGAAATATAAGATCACACAGAAAAAGTCTGATATTGATTATGCCATAACTAACAAAATTAATAATTTGTACAAAGACGCAATATCAAGATTTCAAGATGACCATAGATTTTGGATTGCTTACATGAAATTTTGCAAACATGTGGTAAGTAATAAATTTTTGCTACATATATATACTTTTGTACATCTTAACTAATACAAAAATATATTAGCATTTTCATAGTGATATTAGCACAATGTTAAGCAGAATGTTGCAAATACATGGTGATAAACCAGAATGCTGGCATATAGCAGCAACTTGGGAATTAGAAGAAAAAAAAAATAAGCACAATGCTCAGCAGTTTCTTCTCAGAGGCTTACAACTTCATCCTGAATCTCAGTTATTATACATTGATGCTTTCAAGTAACTATATATGTATATCAATAAATTTTTTTGTAGCTGGTCATTTAGTCTTAGTCAAAGCATATATGTCTGCATTTTTTTGTATAGATTAGAACTAAACAATCAGCCTACCATTGTCGAGAACCAGGAAAGTAATTTGACATCAGATGAGTTAACAGTCACATTGAAAAAAGCTTATGTCATTTATCAACAAGCTTTTGAGAATATTAAGGATATTAAATTTATAGTGGAGTTGCTTAATATTGCAAAAGACTATGACAACACGGAGAACTTGCAAAAGAAAATGATTTGGTATAGACGGTATTTTAATAAATTCAAGTTAAATATGATTGATGTAACATGATTAGTCTCTGGTTACAGTGACATGATTAAGGAATATGCTCACGAGGCTCTAATGTGGGATACAATGGCGCGTCGTGAATTCCAAGGTTTGGTTCAGCCGAGTTTCACTGACACGTCGATGGAGCTTGAGACTACCAAAACACCACCTTCTTTAAGATGTCGCATTACGTCTTGCAACAAAGTCTATCAGACTGCTGTAAAAAAGATCAAAACCGAAGAGATGTGGTCGCTATACATAGAATGTCTGTTGGAGATCAATAGCGATGTAGAATCACTTCCAAATTTCAAGAAAAAGCTCCTAAAGATTGCTCTGATGCAAGCTCATCGCGCTAAAAAACTTAGGGAAAAATACTACTTAATATGGGTTTGTTGTTTTCTTTACTTATACAATGTAAACTGTGATTATCTTAATGCTCTAAAGATAATTATTTTGTGTAGATCGATATGTTGAGCGTTAACAAAGATCTGGACGAGAACGTGCGGAAAAAGTTGAACGAAGTGTTGCGTGAAGCTACCAAAATTGTAACAAACAGCGTTAATCTTTGGCAAGTGCGAATTAATACTTTGTTGCAGGATGGTCATGAGGAAGAAGCGGACTCTATACTTCCCACGGTAATTATCATGCGAATTTACAATTTAATTTATGTTCGATATAATTCTGTCATTTGTCACTTGATGTAAGGCGACACGAATGTTGGGCGAGAAAGCGCTATCTCTATGGAGACTGCGGATTTTGCACGCCCAGATAAAAGGATCGGAGCAAACCGAAAAAATATTCCAAGCTGCTTTAAAGGCACATCCGAAGGTCGCCAAAGACATTGGACCTACGTGGCTTGAATGGCTTGTTTTAGTAAAAGGTAATCAAATTGTAATATATCAATTGTGATATCTCTATGTTTTCTGTATTTAAGAGAGTGATAGAATGTATATATATATATATATATAACAAGTATAAACATATATATCTATGCTGTATTTTTATTCTAGGGATTTGCGCTGCTCGTAAAGCATATAAGAATCTTTGCTTACAATCTATCGAAAACTCGTTGGAATTACATAAACAAATGGCAGCATTGGAACTTGTGCAACCAAAAGCTTCGCTGGAGGATATGCGAAAACCTTACGATAATGCGATCCTTTACTTCGGAAAAAATAATATATCCATCTGGTTGGATTACATCACGTTCGAGATAAATTACGGAGAACCGAAAACAATTTCCAAGATATATGACAGAGCGATCAAAACGTTAGATCGCAGCTTGACGTCTTCCTTTATAGAAGAATACACGAAGGCTAAGGAAAAATTTGTATGATAAATACATCATGTGTATATGATGAAATATATAAACTATATGTACGTTTCTTTTTGTACAAACTGTAATTATCGAGTTGTTTATACCTTTCACAGATCATTATTAGATTAAGATAATGTGTAACAAAAGATGATTTAAAAAATCTGCTATTTTTATTTTTCTTATAACTAGTACAACACAGGCACGCGCTACGCGCTCGCTATTGTCATTTTTATTTTAACGTGTTGTGTAAGTTAACACAATCTGTTACCGCGATGACAGCTAGTATATACGTCTTATAAAACATAATATACATATGAGAGATGTCAGAAATAACGCGTGAAAATCAAACTCGAAAAATAGTGAGAGAGAAGTGGAAAAACACACAACACGTGATAGAAAAAAAAGTAAAAAAAAGAATATTATATATATTATATATAAAACTCTATATCTATATATAATACACACATATATATACCGTAATCACGTGATCGGGGTCAGTGACCCCACCAAGGCCGCGCGGCCGAGGTCAGTGACCCCGCCAAGGCCGCGCGGCCGAGGTCAGTGACCCCGCCAAAGTCGCGTGGCGGAGGTCAGTGACATTACTGTAGTATGTATATAATATATATAATACAATATAAAGTATAATATTATAAAAATAAAATAATAATATTATAAATATATAATAAATTATATGTATAATATGTATTATTTAATGTTATATATAATATAAATTACAGTCACGTTATTTTCACGTGTTGTTTTTCTACTCTTTCCTGTCACATGACTTTAGTTATGTTTTTAATTTTCTCTACATATACGAAAAATGCCTTTTTTAATATAGGATTTAATTTTTGAAAGATGATAAAAATATAATGTGTAGAATCGATTTAACATACGTTTGCATTCGTATTTTTATTGTATTTTATTTATCTACACTTTTTATGGGATCTTTAATTTATAAAATTACTACAATTGACCGATTATTCCGCTAAAATTGTTCAGTCGCATTTAATCATTTAGTAAAATTGACCAATCACGATTAACTTAATTGGCCGATCCCAACAATGTGCAAAAAACAAGAAACCCTTTTCAACCTTGGATTAACCTGCACTCTGGTACTGATGGTAACGCAGGAAATTGACTTCTCCGATAAGGTCGCAAAATGGAGTCCATTCCAAGAACGCATGAAGGTTTCTTTTATATTTGTTGTTCTTTCTTAATTAATTAGTGCTTTAGTATTTTAAAGTATACATTAGTTTAATGTTAAAGACTTTATTTGTCTTAATAGAGAATAAGTATTAATATAAGTGTTTATTTTCATTTCCAAGCTAGCATAACCTTCTTTTTTGTGGTTATACGCACGTATACATTTTGTATTTATTTATTTTGCTCGATATTGCTCAAATTAGAGACAAGCTTTTTTTAACTCGAAAATTTGTGTATTTGTTTATTGCGATCAGTCAATTAGCTTTATTTGCGTTCGGTTTTGCATATCCGACATCTTTGATTTGCAGTTGTTGTATGTGAACTTCTGTTTGCAGATATCGAGGCGCAAATAAGGGAAATTCAATCGAAAAAAAAGGAGATTTCGAACAATGCATCCGAAAAGGAGCAACAAGTCGGTTTGGGGAAAACTGGCTTTTATGACCAAGACATTTATGATGGCAGCAACAACAAATTTGACGGCTATGTTACATCAATCGCGGCAAACGATGAAATCGAGGTATTGCAAATTAAATGTATTTTTAAATGATTAACAAGCTTATATATATGTATAATTTGTTATTTTAAGATACATTAAAATGATAAATTTTTATTCCTTTAGTTTTTGTAATTAAACTCTTTTTGTTTTTATTTTGGATAGGATTATGATCCATTCGCAGACAGACGAATTTCCACCTTAGCTGATAAAAGAGAAGAGGAGAAGAATTATGATCCGTTTGCAGATAGACGAAGACCAACTATAGCTGATAGAGAAGATGAATATAGACAGAAAAGACAGAGAATGATCATCTCTCCTGAGAGAGTTGATCCTTTTGCAGAAGGTAAGTTTTTCTTTAAAAATAATCCGAAAACTATGATGTATTTCTATAACTTTGATGTATTTCAACAATTTATATTATGTCATTTGTATAGGTGGCAAGACTCCTGATATTGGTTCCAGAACTTACACTGAGATTATGCGAGAACAAATGCTTAAAGGTGAAGAAATGGAGGTATGTTATTACACTCCATGTGTTTTTTTAACAAAATTCTATTAGGTATATAGAATTTATATTTATTTATAGTATATTTTGTTAAAAGTATAGTTTTTTTCTTTTTTCTTTGTATAGTTGAGAAAAAGATTAGCAGAAAAGGCAAAAGATGGTACCCTAAAAGCTAATGGTGAATCTAAATTAGCACCAAAGAAGAGAGGACGTTGGGATCAAACAGATGATGCTCCAGCAACAAAGAAGTTATCTAGCGTTGCAGCAACACCAACTTGGGATAATGCAGATGTACGTATACTGGTTTATTTCTTTTCTTTTATAGAATGTTTATAATTGTATTCCATTTGTTTAATTGTTTACTCATTGCGTATAAAATTTATATATATTAAATTTAATATTTTCACATAAGTTTTGTAGCTTGAAACTTTCTATTATTTTTTTTATATGATTTATTTCAGGTGACACCAGCTGCTATTAGGTGGGATGAAACTCCGGGACATGGTAAAGGAGCAGAAACTCCTGGAGCTACTCCAGGAGTGAGTACAAGAATGTGGGATGCAACACCAGCTCACGCAACACCAGGAGCTGCTACGCCGGGTAGAGAAACACCCTCTCATGAAAAAACCGTGACAAGTCGAAGAAACCGCTGGGATGAAACTCCGAAAACCGAACGAGGTTTACACATTATCTTACATATATTATTTTTTACATATATTGTTTTTTTTAACTCAATTTAGGTCATAATATATATAAAACAATTGTTTTTAATATAGAAACTCCTGGACATGGCAGTGGCTGGGCAGAGACTCCAAGAACTGATCGAGTCGCTGGAGACTTGATACAGGAAACCCCGACGCCTTCAGCAAGCAAAAGGCGAAGTCGATGGGATGAAACACCATCGAATCAAACACCTGGCTCGATGACGCCACAAACTCCGGCGACGCCTCTCACTACACCCCATCAAGCGACGATACTGACTCCAAGTGCCGTCACACCGACGGGTCCGAAAGCAATGGGTCTGGCTACTCCGACTCCGGGACATTTGATGTCTATGACACCCGAACAACTGCAGGCATATCGCTGGGAACGTGAGATAGATGAGCGAAATAGACCTCTATCGGATGAGGAACTGGATGCGATGTTTCCACCTGGATACAAGATATTACAGCCACCGGCAGGTAAGATAAAAGACTTTCCATTGCAAGTATTTTATTCTTTAATATATTTTAGAAATATGCTCATAGATTTCAGAAAAGTAAGCAAAATATTTTAAAATTACTGCAAATTTTATAGAATCTAATGAAGAACACCACGCTTTTTTCTAGGATACATACCTATCCGTACGCCCGCTAGGAAGCTCACAGCAACACCAACACCCATTGCTGGCACACCTCAAGGTTTCTTTATTCAAACGGAAAACAAAGATGCCAAATACATGGACAATCAACCGAAAGGCAATTTACCGTTTATGAAACCAGAAGACACGCAATATTTTGACAAGTTGTTAGTCGATGTTGACGAAGAAACATTGAGTCCTGAGGAACAAAAAGAGAGAAAAATTATGAAACTTTTACTAAAGATAAAGAACGGAACTCCTCCTATGCGAAAAGCTGCTTTGAGACAAATTACTGATAAGGCGAGAGAATTCGGAGCTGGTCCCCTCTTTAATCAGATTCTTCCACTTCTCATGTCACCTACTCTGGAGGATCAAGAACGTCACTTGTTGGTCAAAGTTATTGATCGTATTCTGTATAAACTGGATGATTTAGTACGGCCGTACGTGCATAAGGTAATTAAATTATAATTTATAATCATATTAATAAAAATTAATTATTTTTGGTATTGAAAAATAACAATCATTCATTTATATAAATAATTGTTTTCTTTTTTTGTTCAATTGTTATGTGTTATCATTGTTTATAGATTCTCGTCGTCATCGAACCTCTTCTAATCGATGAAGATTACTATGCTCGCGTCGAAGGTCGAGAAATTATTTCGAATTTGGCAAAGGCCGCTGGTCTGGCTACAATGATTTCCACAATGAGACCAGATATCGATAATATCGACGAATACGTACGTAACACAACAGCAAGAGCATTTGCCGTTGTCGCTTCTGCTCTTGGAATACCTTCACTTCTGCCATTCTTGAAAGCCGTTTGTCGCAGCAAGAAATCGTGGCAAGCACGACACACTGGTATCAAGATCGTACAACAAATTGCTATCTTAATGGGTTGCGCTATTTTGCCACACTTGAAGAGCTTGGTGGAAATTATAGAACACGGTAAGTAAATTACAACATGCGCGATGACTTTACTATTAAATTTGTACACATACATCAGTTTTAACTTCCGAACTTTTTTTGGAAAATAATTATGACGTGTAATATGTTTCAGGTCTGGTGGACGAGCAACAAAAAGTACGAACTATTACTGCGTTAGCTATCGCTGCTTTGGCTGAAGCTGCAACACCATACGGTATCGAAAGCTTCGACTCGGTGCTAAAACCCCTGTGGAAAGGTATCCGAACGCATAGAGGTAAAGGTCTAGCTGCGTTTTTGAAGGCTATCGGTTATCTCATACCTCTGATGGACGCAGAATATGCGAATTATTACACTAGGGAAGTAATGTTAATTCTTATACGCGAATTCCAGTCTCCTGATGAAGAGATGAAAAAGATCGTGTTGAAGGTAAAATAATGATTTTATTTACTAAAGAAACATACACATACATAGGTTGCATCATATCTTATATATTATTGACAATTTGCAATTTTGCATAAAAATAGGTAGTCAAACAATGTTGCGCGACAGATGGTGTGGAAGCTCAGTACATAAAGGACGAAATTCTGCCTCACTTCTTCAAACACTTTTGGAATCATCGTATGGCATTGGATCGTCGAAATTACAGACAGGTAATATGAGAGAGAAATATTTCAATAATTCTAAACATATAAAAAGTAGTTGCATGTATACTAAAATATATAAAATTGCAGCTTGTGGACACAACCGTGGAAATAGCCAACAAAGTGGGCGCATCAGAGATTATAAACAGAGTAGTGGACGATTTAAAGGACGAAAATGAACAGTATAGAAAAATGGTGATGGAAACAATCGAGAAAATAATGGGCAATTTGGGAGCGGCGGATGTCGACTCTCGTTTAGAGGAACAGCTGATCGATGGAATTCTCTACGCTTTTCAAGAACAAACAACAGAGGTTTGTTAAACTTTATAAAAGCTATGCTATATAAATTATGTTCATTGACTTGTATGAAAAAACATAAATAGTACAAAAATAATCTATAAAAAATGTATTTTATTTATAGGATGTTGTCATGCTGAACGGTTTTGGTACTATCGTGAATACGCTAGGTAAGAGAGTAAAGGCGTATCTTCCCCAAATATGCGGTACGATCTTGTGGAGATTGAACAACAAATCTGCAAAAGTCCGACAACAAGCTGCGGATCTTATTTCGCGTATTGCCGTGGTAATGAAGACTTGTCAAGAGGTAAGAAATGCTTTGTATATAACATTCTTTAAAATTTTACATGATCCTTGAGAAATTATTATCTGACGTACAATATTTGTAGGAAAAATTGATGGGACACTTGGGAGTTGTCTTGTATGAATATTTAGGCGAGGAATATCCGGAAGTACTGGGTAGCATCTTGGGAGCGTTAAAAGCCATCGTGAACGTTATAGGAATGACCAAAATGACACCGCCTATCAAAGATCTTTTACCGAGACTCACGCCTATTCTGAAAAACAGACATGAGAAAGTGCAGGAAAATTGTATCGACCTCGTGGGTAGAATCGCGGATCGAGGTCCTGAGTACGTTTCTGCTCGAGAATGGATGAGAATATGCTTTGAACTGTTGGAATTGCTGAAAGCGCATAAAAAGGCCATCAGAAGAGCGACAGTAAATACGTTTGGTTATATTGCCAAAGCTATTGGGTAAGCTCGATACTTATTTGTATATATTTTATGAATGATCTGTATACAGAATATTTTATCTTTTTTTCTTTTTCGAATAGGCCGCACGATGTCTTAGCGACGCTTCTAAACAATTTGAAAGTCCAGGAACGTCAGAATCGTGTTTGCACCACGGTCGCTATTGCTATTGTTGCTGAAACTTGCAGTCCTTTTACAGTATTGCCCGCGTTGATGAACGAATATAGAGTACCTGAGTTGAATGTGCAGAACGGAGTGTTGAAATCTTTGTCGTTTTTGTTCGAATACATCGGTGAGATGGGTAAAGATTACATCTACGCCGTTAGTCCATTGTTGGAAGATGCGCTCATGGATAGGTAAGAGACAATGTACTTTTATTATATCTTTTTGTTTGTTTTATAATTTTTTTCACAATACTGCTGTTTAGGATTTATATATTGTTCTTAAACTACTTTTAAAACACTGATTTCTTCTTCTTTCTTTTTTTACTAGGGATTTAGTACACAGGCAGACTGCGTGCGCCGCCATTAAACACATGGCATTAGGCGTTTACGGATTTGGATGCGAAGATGCGTTAATCCACTTACTGAATCATGTGTGGCCCAATGTTTTCGAGACGTCGCCGCATTTGGTGCAAGCCTTTATGGATGCTGTGGACGGACTACGCGTTGCACTTGGTCCAATTAAGATACTGCAGTACACATTACAGGTGCGTATATAGTAATCGCGTTGATTCCAGTGAAAGTTAAAAGTAAAAAAACGATTATATATGTATTATCTCTTTTGTTGCAGGGTTTATTCCATCCGGCTCGCAAAGTTCGCGACGTATACTGGAAAATATATAATTCCCTTTACATAGGTGGACAAGATGCTCTTGTGGCTGGTTATCCTCGAATCATGAACGATCCAAAGAACCAGTACATAAGATATGAATTAGATTATGTATTGTAATAGACACTGTTTAGCTGGAAAGATACACACACATATATATATATAATAATTTCTAATAATTTATAATAATCATTCGTGTGTAATAAGAACAGTTTTCTCTGAAGAATGACGGTTTGGATGAGTTACTCAAAACTATAAAATTGAAACCTTCTGTCATAAAAAATATCTTAGTAAAAAAATACAATTAAATTTGTGGATTCAGTAAATAACTTTATAGAAGAAGAGGAGATGTTCAATGCAAATGCTGACAAGTTAGATTTGTTTTAATGTAGAAACGTAAGTAATGTTACTTTATAAAAACGGATGAATATAAAATATGATATGCGATTCGTGTAAAACTTGATGGGCTTTATATTTATTTTCATTAAAATAAAAAAATTAAAATTTCGTTAAATACGAAATAAAGTTACAAATTTGTTTACTAGTTTCTTTTTTTATGACGTTCAATGATTTTCTGATGTTTGAATTTTTTGAACTTACTCTACTCTAAATTGTCCAGCATTTCTCTGTTTAATGTCAAATTTCCTCTGTTTTTTTTTTTACAGAAGTGAACTATAAACAATTTATATTCATAGTCGGATCTTACGTTTGACATAATCTTATTTTTTACGTATGCTCCTAAATGTATTTATAAGAAACGATTATGAATACCTGCGTACCGCCCTATGAGCAATATTCATATATAACATGCTATGTACCAGTTCGTTCTTTAGGGATTAAGATCTTATGTGTGTACATAAGATCTTAAATATTTATATAATTTATATATAGATATATAAAATATATGGAAAATTCTTTGTTCGAACTTATTCAATCTCTCAGTGAGTTACTTATAATTAGGTAGTATATTTCATTAATCGACGAATATATGTTACACCACCATGACACAATAATTTTATATTTCCTTTAATTGATGAGTGTAATTATTCATAATTATATATATTTCGACTAACTTTCTATTATGTCCACATATAGCAAACAAAAAAAATGAAATAAACATTTTTTATTAAAATGAATAATTTCTCATGTCCATTTTATTAATTCTCATTGGTTAAAAGTCTAAATTTTAAAGTAATGGCGGACGCGCAGTAGTCAAACAAAGATGTAGTTGGCTGTCTATTTGGGAAGGGGTACACGTTCCGATGTATTTTAGAGTTTAGTGGTCTAACTTATGTGTGATATACATAACAAGATCTTTCAACTGCATCAGTCTTCGCAAAATGTTGTTGGATTACCGCCTTGATGATTCCGAATTTACATACTGATTCATCGCGTCATCGTTATGCTCGGTTGCTATTGCAAGGGCGTGGCATAATTTGTAAGATCCGTACGAGATCCACGCTGATCCACGCTCATTTTCATAAAAGGCTATGTTACGTTCGCTGACGTCGGATTGGTCGTCACGGTTTAAAATCTGACAAGATTATGGATGTGTCAACTGTATACTAGTCCCATAGGTAGTTCTTCAACATCATTTTGTCATTTATTTAATTAGGTATAATTATTTAATTACTTTGATATAACAAGCAGTATTATTCATCACTTGATTGTATGAAATTATAGAGTTCTTATGAAAACTGATTAATTTTGGGAAAAGAATACTTATTTTATGAGTAAAATAAGTTTTAATATAATAACAATGTATATGTATAAAATCTTTAAATACATCTAAAATAATAATAGAAAAACAGAAACATAATATCCACTAAAAGAAGCAAAATAGAAAAATTGTATAAATTGATAAACAAATAACTTAATATGATAGAAAACTGAAGTACTGTTAGTGTGTATTGTATTTGTATCAAAATATTTTCATTAATTTTTATTATTATACGCGTTCCCCTTTTTTAATGTTTTAAAAACAGAGATCGTTGTAAAGCAGATTGAACTCAGGAGAATAAAAAGAAAATATACGAAGTATATTTATCAACGTCAAAAAACGTAATCGTCCTCTTCCGTTAAAATATGCCAGGGTAAGCATTTATAATCCTTGAAAAACATTGACTTTACGCATATAGATGTATATATAACACAATTTTATATTTTATTTTCTAACATATAAAGAAGCAAATTATTTGTACTAACAACAAATAATTGATAAAATGTATGGAGTTAACACTGTTGTATATTCATGTATTTAAGTTGCTTCTCTTGCGTAACAGAATTAATTAATGACAGATTAAAATTTATGGAATATATATGATGTCTTGCAGGGTTACAGATATGTCCTTGGATCACATGTTTTGTTCTCGCTGCAGAGAAGGCTTTGCCACACATGAGAAAATTGTTAACTCAAATGGGGAATTATGGCATCCTCAATGTTTTGTGTAAGTACATACATATGTGTTTATATGTTTAAATATGTTATGTTTCCTCTGCTATTTTCCACAAAACAAGAGTATATTCTTTAAAAGAACAATATGTGAATCTATAGCTCTCATATGGATCGCTCTATTTTTACAGGTGCGCACAGTGCTTCCGCCCATTCCCAGATGGGATTTTCTATGAATTTGAAGGATATAAATATTGTGAACATGACTTTCATGTTTTGTTTGCCCCATGCTGCGGCAAATGTGGTAAGTTGTGACTTTAAATTTATTCAGCTGTTACAATTTCTAAATATTAATTCTGTGATATATAACGTGTGCTTAAATACAATATATGTAATCAAGGATCTTTTTAACAGGTGAGTTTGTTATCGGTCGAGTAATTAAGGCAATGAATTCGAACTGGCATCCTCAGTGCTTCCGCTGCGAAGAGTGCAATGGCGAATTGGCAGATGCAGGCTTTATCAAGTGTCAAGGCAGAGCGTTGTGTCATACATGCAATGCCAGAGTGAAGGCTGATGTACTCGGAAAGCACATATGCCATCAGTGCCAGTATGTGTAGCTCTTTTGTGTAAATTATTGTATAAAACATTTTCTCAATCCTATTTTTTTTTTTCAAGATAATGACAATTGTTTCGTTTGATTAATATTGAATTGTTTGTTTTTTATAGCGGAGTAATCGATGATAAGCCTTTACGATTCCGCGGTGAGCTTTATCATCCGTATCACTTTAACTGTACAGCTTGCGGCGTAGAATTGAATTCCGAAGCCAGGGAAGTACGTTCTCGACCTGGTTATGCCGCCAATGAAATGGTAAGATGTGATACAAAGAACAAATCAAGATACAAAATATAATTTGTTCTCTATTCTCAAATTAATAAATACAAAAAGTGCACGAAATATTTACTTATACATTTAATATATTTTTAATACATTTATAGAACGAATTGTATTGTTTGCGCTGCCACGATAAAATGGGAATTCCAATTTGCGGTGCTTGTCGACGTCCCATTGAAGAGCGCGTCGTAACAGCCCTCGGCAAGCACTGGCACGTTGAGCATTTTGTTTGTGCAAAATGCGAGAAACCTTTCCTTGGTCATCGTCATTACGAGAAAAAAGGTCTCGCTTACTGCGAGACTCATTATCATCAGTTGTTCGGGAATCTCTGTTTCGTTTGTAATCAAGTTATTTCTGGAGATGGTACGTGTGTATTAAGTGATAAAAATGTATTAACCGCATAGATAAAGCTTAATTTAAGAAAATCTATCTGGTTTGGATTAGAACCTTTTAAATTACAGTCAAATTTTAATTTAACACGATATATCTTTCTTTCCAGTTTTTACAGCACTGAACAAGGCGTGGTGCGTTCACCACTTTGCGTGTGCATTTTGTGACCAAAAGATGAATCAGAAGACGAAGTTCTTCGAATTCGATCTGAAACCCGCGTGCAAGAAGTGTTACGATAAATTTCCGCAAGAATTGAAGAAACGCATGCGACGTATGTACGATCTGAATCCCAAGAGAATTCCACCAGCATAAATTCGCCTCTCAAAGAGAGAGACAGTTTGACAGTTAATTAAATACTCATCTGCGCTATTGTGCCTTATTATTCGTTTTAATATTGATGTACAAAATATATATTTAATCTTTTATCACTTTATAAGTTACATGGAAAATATCAGAACTACTTCAACGCTTTATTTACTTTGATATGAAGAGTTATTGATCATATTTTAACCACTTCTTATTGAGAGAAATTATTTGTTAATCTTGACTGAAAGAATTTTGAAAAAAGGGTGCAATATTATGGAAACATTTTTTCAGGTTAGACGAAACGCCTATTTTAATTGATATGTAACACATGTACTTGCAATTATCTTAGCTAATCTAGATAATATATAAATAAATATGTGAAATATTTTTAAAAAACCTATTTGTATTAAATATACAAATGTGTCTAAATATAACAACAAATATACAATAACTTAAAAAAATGTTTTTGTAAATTAAATTACTGGGGAATGTTAAAGTAAACATCAAGTCCATTATTTAATGTGGAAGTAATGAAGTTTTTATTTACAAATCAAGGCATTACCGTTAATTTTATGTTGATACGCGTGTTCCTTGTTTTCTCTTCTCACACTCGTCATAGTATCTTCAACTTGTCCAAAAAGGTCATAAGAATATAAAAAAATAATCGTTTCGCACACGTTTTATTGTTTTTGTCAATTTGTTTTTTAGTTTTTCTATGCCAAGTATTTTTAGTTTTTCGTAAATAATTTTGCGTCAAATACTTATTAAAAGAATTTTAAAATACTTTGCATTTACTTACTTTCAATTTAATCTTAGAATACTAACATATGTAACAAAAAAAAAAGCATTTAAAGTAACATTTTTTTCTGTATCTGTCATTAAAGTGTGTGTTATTTTTATCTTGATTATTTTCGGTAAAAATTGCAACATATATCCGGAACTACGTGATTCGCGCAATTGAAGAAGGTAAAAATAGATGATTAGTATTCTAAGATTAACGCTGCGTTTAGCGCTAAATGTGGTCGATTGATCCTGAACTTCAACGCGGCATGATAATCGATTCCGCACATACACATTTAGATACATACATAGTTTAATGACGTCAAAAGCAAGGGAATATATAGCGATTCCCGTACAATGATCTATACTTACAAAAACGTGTAAAATGATAAAAAAAAGATACATGTAAAATAATATTAAAAATTATTCGAATAACTACGCAACGATATTTCACATCTTTCATGATTGTATAGGGGTTTCTTCTTTTTTGTAGAGTTGTCAAGAGAAAACTCTTTCTTGTATTCGTAAAAAAAAACCTATACAAACTTCGCATATAATCGTAAACGCAAATAATAAAATAATTATCGTACCGCTTTAATACAAATGTCGCTTTTAATGCAATCGTGGATCAAGGATCAGTCACACATTTAGTGCTGTAAATGTACGGTTTGGATGATAACAATTTTCGCAAAAGCAAGTGTTGTGATCGCATGCATACTCGTCGTCACAAATAGCGCTGAATATGACCGCCTGATAATTGTTATACCTAGTTGTACCTTACGAAAATTCATAGCTCAACGTATAGCAAAGCTGAAAAGCGGATAGCCACATTTAGCGCTAATTGCAGAACGTGAATACCGGGCCAGAAATACATCGCGATATAAGTCTGCTTTTGCATCTTCTTATTTAAACGTCGCTGATACGTCGATGCGACTATCCGATTCCGAAGTTCGGTTTGTGTAATATAATCGTATAAAATTCTTATTCTGAGAGATGTGTGTAATCAGATAGCCGCATTTTTTCGCGTTAAAATCGGTGTAAATAGAACTATATGCTACTTTATTGCGACGAAAGGCAAATACGGGCCTTTTTAAATGGATTAACAACAAATCGCGAAGAAAAAATTCTTTTATATAATTTGCACAATAATAATAATAATAGTAATAATAATAATAATAATAATTGTTCCTAATTTTTTTTACGGCACGCAAAAACCGCGCGCATTCGGCTCTGTTTTCTGATTTTTCTTTTGTTAACAAATTTTCTTGTATTCGAATATAAAAAAGTCTCGACTTTTCGAATCGCGGCGGCCGTCGCTCGGCGAAAGCCTCGCAAGCTATTCTCTTTTCTCTTCTCTTTTTACACGCATACACACGCACACGCAAACACATACAAACGTACATCCACACATGCACACGTGCATCCTCTGCTTCTGCCGTTTTCTGGATGTATATGTATACATATATATATATACATATATAGATATACATATATACACACACGCGCGTGTATGTATATATACGATATATATATTACACTTTTTTTTTTTGTCGCTTTATTATGCACAGCAAGGCGGTATGAAATCTCGACTGCGATTTCAAGAGGGAGAGAACATTATTGGCAACGCTTTCTTTACTCGTGTTTCTTTTACAATAATGCTGTAATATAGCTAAAATGCATCTTTAGATCCTGGAATCTCTAGATTCTTCTGGTTGTTCTCGGTTGTAATTTTGATCTATCTTTGCGCATTCCTAGATTCTCAGACTCTACACGGCTTTCAAGTCTTCGGATCTTTTAATTCTTTGGAACTCTAGCTCGTCCAATGTTTTAAAACAGTTTCACGATTCTGCGATACGATATTTTTGTCATGCGTCTTTTTCATATATATATATATATAAACGTTGCTCGCTTTTCTGTGCCAATTTTTTCACTTCTCGAATCTTTGATAGCTTTCAATTCTTCTCCGATCGGATATTACATCTCGCATTAGATATCTAGTGATTACATCTTTAAAAATTCCACCACTCTTCTATCCACGATCCTTTCTTAATTACTAATTAATTACACTAATGATTTTTTGTTGTTGTTATCACACAATGTTAAATCATTGCACATATCGATAAATTTGTAGATTTCTAAATCCTCGCAGTCTCAGATTTTAGAATGCTCATGTTTAATCCTAATATCGGATGATCTTTTGTTTTGCTAGATAAATTCAATGAATTTTTTACACATTTTTCTTATGTGTTTCGCATTCGCGCGCAAACATTTTTACACACCTATAGATTCTCGGATCCTTGGATCGTGCACAGATTTGTTCCGGAGCAGATGTATGAACAATCATGTGTACGGAGTCGTTTCGATGGGCGTTACACAACAAGAGAGAACATTACATTATACATTCGCGCGTAAATAACGGTTTACAAGAAACATTACACTTACTAAGTACAGAAGGATGGAAGAATTGGAAGCCACATCAAAAATCTGTTTGCTAAAATTTTCTCCTACATAAATAGAAAACGATAATCCGAACGATCGGATTTCTCCGGAGCTATCGATAAAATCAATAACAATTCTTAAAACGGTATAAAATACAGGGTAGTCCAAAAATCCGACTACGATAATCGCACTCGGGAGATACAATAACTCGAAAGCTTGAGAATAATAAATGTGTGATGTGATTTTACATGATTATTTATTTTCTATTATTTTTTTGGTATGTATAAAAACTGTCTTAGTTGAAAGTCTTACAATTTTTCAGAGTTTAGCCAACTCTTTGTATTAAGACAAAGTATTAAGACAGATCTTTAAATTCAACTGAAAGCACCAAGAAAAATAATTCTTATTTATAACTTTCAAACCAAAAAAAGATTAGAAAGCTAATCTTTTTACTTTCAAATTATGTAAATCCAGAAGAAATCTCGTTTTTCTCAGTTGTGCTGTGACTTTTGATCCGCCCTGTATTCAGAATAGGAATAAAAAATAAAACAGCAGATGCAGCCGAGCTTGTCATAGGCTGGTATTGATAATCAATACTAACTCATTAATAAATATATCAATAATAATATCGTCACTTCAATGCAAGAATTGAAAACATTTAACGATTTTCATTTAGAATGGGTTTTGTAAAATGTTGTTTTTTTTTTAATTTTAGGAAAAAAAGTGCAATCTGTTAGTAGCAATAGTGCATGCAGAGTAAAGAATACTTTTGCACTGGAGTGTTGACATTATTGTCGATATCTATAATAATATTTTATGTATATATAATAATATAATATTAACAGAGGTAAAAAGCACAAAGAGAATAACAATTTGAATCGGTTATGGTAGTACAATGCACTTTGTACATTTGTTATGCTCGGTCAAGCAGATGATTGTTTATAAATATTACACGTTACTAATATATGCACATAGAGATGTATCGTCGCTTATCTATTGCCCTTCAAAGAGCTACATCTAAATTATTCTAATTTGTTAATGACATTATCGTGCAACTCATTTCATTGGAGCGAGAAAATGTTGTTACATTCGCAATGTAAAAAACCCTATGCAATAAAAAGTACAATATCTAATTTTTCAAAATAAACTTCAATTTTACAACATAAACTTTCTCATTTTCAGAGTTTTGTTTTCTTTTTGAATATATTTTAAAAAATGATAATTATGAATAATTATAAGAGATTTATTTAAAGAAATGCGATAAAAATTTTTGTTTATTATATTTAAGAAAAATTAATTACTTTTACATATAAGTCTTAAATAAATAAGATGAAAATTTTGATAAAAAGAAAAATTCCACTTAAGCATTTTCTGCTCCAAAAAAAACGAATGATCAAATATGACGTAACCTCATTAGTTTGGAGGGAAAGAATGATATGCATTGGCCCAGTTTTTAGTTTCTCAATATTGGCAATATGATTCATGTGCTATTTTATCCTTGATTACTTAATTTGTTTTCTCCTCTTTTTTTAAGCACATTATTTAATTTATACACATTTATGCGATCAATTAACATTTCTTTCAATGAATTTAGCAAGTTTTAAACTCTGCGCACCTTTTTTTATTACCACCATTAAAAAAATTAAAACCTTTTGGCAAACATTTAAAAAAGACTTATGCTGCTATAGATTGAAACCAGAAATTAATATATTCACAGACATGCGAGACTAGTTAAAATATTTTATTCGAATAAATATTTCTGAAAGAAGTACAATTGTATATTTAATAAGACTGATGACAATATAAGACTGATAAAATGAAGTAAAAATAGACATTTTCGCAAATATATAGAGAGAGTTGATAAGAAAAATGGAGGTACGTACCCTGCAAAATTTCATCATTAAATGTCATCGTTTTAAATGCTACCCATACAGAACGGAGTTCCATTAAAGGTGTGTATCAGTAGCAGGAAATATCTACCGCGATATCGAAAAGCAATATCGCTAAAAACAGAAACTTAAATTTTTTTTTTAAACTTATTTTCAATTTTTTTTTCTTTTTTGTCTAAAAGCCGTAATTTTTTAATAAATGTTTTATACAAGAATACATATAAGTGACATACTTAAATATAATGCTTAATAAAAACCTTCATGATTTTACGCGCATCTTGCACGATGAATTCTAGGATGATAATTTGTCTTCTGCGTGACAAAAATTCTTAAGTAATTTTTGTCGTCGTTCACAAAGTTTATCTTGTCTTTTTGATATAAATATAGAAGTAAAAGTTTTTACTCAATTCAACATGCGAAAAACAGTTGTTTTTCCTTTTTGGCAGTGTAAAGTGTTTACTATCAACAACACCATGTTAAAAGTTTGATCTTTTTCAAGTATTATAAATGTTTTCGAAATGATAAATATCCTTTTAACAGAATTTCCTCCGATTTTTTTTTTTTTTTTTTTGAAATCTTAGTTTTCTGTACGTGATATTTCTTCACCGAGTCAAAAAATCTGGGAAACAATCTTTTTCAGAATAAATTTACACGCCGATATTCATAATCCGATCTTGTATTTAAAATCGTTTTAAGTTCATCTTAAGATGCTGTAAGTTTTTATTGGCATTGGACCATTCCAGAAGATCTTTAAGAAGATAAACTTAAGCCAATCTTAAATCTAATATCCGACTATGAATACCGATCTTAAACTTCTGTAATGTTTAAAGCTTTAAAAAGTTATACACACGCGCGCGTGTATAAATTTTTTTTAAAACTTTAAAGATTATTAACTGTTTAGATATTAGTATCATATGACCTTTAAAACACTTGTGTAACTTTATATGTATATATTGAGATCTATAAATGTGTTAGCGCTATATTTCTTTTAAAATACAGTGTAGAACTCTTTTTATATTAATTTAAAGTTAAAATAATAAAAATATTTTTATCTTAAAGTCTTAACCAACACAATGTGCATTTGTAATTCTACCTGTTACTGTTACTCTCCTTTTTTCAACTCGTTCTGTAAGTGTTACGTCAAAAGCATTCGAAAACTTAGGTGGAGCGTTCTTTTTTTTCTTTTTATATAATTGAAATCTAATTCAATAAAGCTTGCAGTGTTTCAGTTCAAATAAAGAAATAAAATGAACGGCAACATCACGGCCCATCAAACGACTCAGAGCGATTTCTTTTCTTTTTTTTTCTCCATTCTCTCTCCTCTCTCTTTCTCTTACCTATATTTTAATATCCTTTCAAAACGAGATATATCATCGACGAAACACTCTATATCATTCTTCTCTCTCGCAATCAATCACTTTTCCCGCAAGCAAATTCTGCTTCATGCTAACTCCTGGTTTTATCCTTCATTAAGTCTTTTTTACCGAGTACATAATTCAGCCTACTCACACAGGATCGATACGATTCGTCATCTGACTTTTAGTGCAAAATGGAAGAACACTCGCGCTTCGAAGCTATAACTCAATCCTCGTCGCGTTGCTCGCCAGGAAGAAGGATACCAGCAGCTGTGACTGTATCAACTTGGATGACGCGCTTTTTTAAGATATAAGGCATTCGGCTCCCGCTGATTGGAGTGATTTTCCCGAAGGTCAACGTGGGGGGACGCTTCGAGGTCCGTCGCCACATAGCGAGTGAGTCACGTGCAGCAGTCCCCTAAGGATCCTCCGGAAAGTGCATTGAGCGACAAGACTGGCTGCGATGCCAGAATTCAGACGGGGCTAGGAAGCAGCCAGTGAGCCTGATCCCGCCTGACTCTGATTGCTTTGCACTGCCTGCGCAGGCATCTGATTGTAAGGATGATTGCTGTTGCATAGCACTGTGTAGACGTTCTCTACATTGCTGAGCCTCTCGAAGAAGGGAATCAAGTCCAGTAGTTCCGAGTCCGTCATGTCATCAAACCAGGACGCCACTGGAACCTATAAAAGTTAGTGTTTTTTAATATTAGTTGAATCTATTGATTATTTAAGTGTAAAATTCTTAGTTCCAGTAGTTATATTTGATTGCATGTGGCAATAAAAATAACCTTTACTATATCAGAATAAATTGAGTTTTCTTATTCTTTATAACTTACTGCGTTATCTGGATGGAAAATGTAACTGGCAGGACTATTATCTACGATAATAATGTGCTGTAAATCCCGACCTAATTTGTTCAAATCCTTAACATAATTTCCTCTGTGAAATACACAGGATTCTCTGAATAATCTCGCTCTGAATACACCCCATCGATCTAAAAGATCTGCGACTGGATCTGCATACTGTAAAACATCATACAATAAAACAACGCATATATTAAAACATTCTTATTCTGTTTCTTTTTTCATTTTGGACATACCTTGGCCAAGCTTGCAGTGAATAATACACATTCGTATAATTCACCCATTCTCTGCAAAAACTCATCTACATAAGGCCTCTTTAAAACATATACTTGATGTACCGTTCCATCAATCTCTACAGGAACAACAAAGTCTGCATTGTTGATTGGCTTGAAAGAACTATGCACCAGAGTCTCGTCCAAATCGATTACCATGCACTTCTTGTGCATATCTTGATGCCTGACAGGTGGTAGAAGGAACCTTGGGGATCCGGTGCCTGGTGGTGGCGAACCACGGCCATCCCCCTGCAAAGAACTCGCATTGGAGCTCCTTGAACTACCACCTCGACCCCTCCCGAAGCAGCAGAGCAAAGTGCGCAGAAATCCACGTCTTCTCGTCCTTCTGCCACTCGCCTGACTATTGTTGGCTGCTTCATTTTCTCGAGGTAATTGAGCTAGTGGATAGAAAAACAAGACAATCATTCATCACATATTGATTTATGCAAATATCATAGAAATTTTACATATTTACATATTATAATTCTTCACAGAAGTTTGTCTTAAAAAAATATATACAAAATGCCACTTTTGCTGTATAAATATTGCAGAACAAAATTAATAATCTAATCAAAATTAAGATTTTAACACTTTGTAGCTATATAATATTAAAAGCAGTAAGTTTTTATAAATAAACTTGATAAAAAAAAGATATATCAAAAATATATCTTAGTGGAAAAATATAACAGATATGATATAGAAAAATAGCATATATATATATATATATATATATATATATATATAGAGAGAGAGAGAGAGAGAGAGAGAGAGAGAGAGAGAGAATGTATATACATAGTAATACAGAAACAATAGAAATATGTATACACATGTATAATATATGTACAACATAACAGCTCAATATCTATATATTTATTTAAATTGTGACAACACAATAGAAAATTAAAGATTTTATGTAAAACATATCAATTGTTATCTTGGACTTTAAATCTCAATTATACAAAAATGAGATCGTTAAATTATGAAACATTTATCTACATATCAGAATAAGATACATGATAAAGATTATTGCTGTAATTAACCTTTTAAACTAAGCTTTTTGCTGTTTTCTTTGCGAATTGCCTTCAGAAAGCGTATTAAAACACGAAAGGTAAAAGAGCATAACAAAAAAAAAAAAAAAAAAAAAAAAAAAAAAAAAAATTAGAAAATTTACAACACTATGTTTGAAGAACATATGAGCATGATGACAAGATTTAAAAGAAGGGTGAGATGATATAAACAGTGGAAAAGCAGAAGGGGGATAGAGATGTGCGGGGACGCACGAGAGAAGTTGCTCGCGAAGTGAAAAAAAAGGAGGGATATATATAAGAAGTGAAGTTAGGGCGAGAAGAGAAACGCGGATTCGGATGCCGTAACAGGTGCAGGGGGAACGAAATCCCGGCAGCATCTGGCGGAGGTAAATGTAGCGAGAACGCGGGAAGAGGAGGGTGGCATGAAGATTAATACGCGTTACGCACCTTTTTCGCTGCTGAACGCGCTTATCTCGTCATCCCGCGACACTTGGGTGATAATGGACGATGCGTCCATTTAAACATTAGTCAGTGGTCCCTGCGTGCTGGATCGCGAATTCCGTTAACGCGCGCGCGCGCGCCAGCCGACGGACGGACAGACGGGCGAGCGAGCTAGCTAGCGCGAGCGCGACGAAGACGGGAGCGAGCGAGACGCAGCAGTTATCGGGACGCACGTGCGAGAGAGAGGAAGAGAGAAAGCGAGAGGTGAACACGCACACGGGATAACCTCACTCTCTCGCTCGTGGCGCGCGGAGTTCCCCCGGCGCCTCGCGTCCTTCCCCACCGCCGCCGTTGTCACCGTGAGGGCCCCTCCACCGCTACTACGAAGATCACCGCGCGACGAATGGAGACGCATAGGCGCAGAAACAACACGCTTCGCGAAAAATAACACGCGCCACTGTACAATGCGTGAAGGGCCCTGCGGTGGAATGTCCCTACGAAAATCCACACACGCACATTAATCGCGCGAACTCTTCGGAGGGACGATGATGCGCCTTGATGATTCGAAATGACGTTGCGAGTCTCGTCGGGGCTATCTTCATTCTCCCTCGATCATCCCCGAGATTCTCTCTTGTGAGAGAGAGAGAGACGCACACGTGCGCACTGAACTTACACTCTCGCGACACTCTGGCGACGCGCGCCTTTCCTTTTTCACGCGCCACACCTATCGCTCGTTGCGTAGTTCATTGCTATTCCAATGGTGCACCGATCTGGCGCGCTTCGGACACCGCTTCTCGTGAAACACACGCGACAACCGACGATACGGATGATGCCGATGATATGATTTACTCGCGGAACGCGTGATTTCAACCGTCGTGTGTATGTATGCATATATATGTACACTGTCGACGCGCGCAACTACGACTTACGGGAGAGACTCCGCCGGGGATATGTCGGCACTTGTGGCCTTGAGCGCGAATGAAAGTCTGCTTTTTGAACTGGACCGACGTTCACAGCTTCACCTGTGGAACCGTTGTGGACTTGCTACTAACGATTCTAATGAAATGAACGAGAACTCTATACACGAGTCAAACATCGTTCACACGAAATGTGTTGTTACAAACTCTGCACTGTATAAAAATATACACGTAATTTATATATATATATAAAAAAAAAAAAAAAGTAAATTATGTAAGATTCGGATTTTGGTTTTGCGGTAAAAAAAAAACTTTTGCGTAAAAACCAAGAAATGTTTAAATGAAAATTCCAAAGCATTCAAATTCACAATATCTCGGTCAAATGTGTTTTGATGGAATCGTACATATAAAGCTATATATAACTCGCAACAAGTTACAAGAATGTAATTCGTACGTCTGACACACGAACTTGATACATCTCCCGTCTAATATAATACTCGTGCAAATGTGCACATATGGGAATACGTAACAGATAACAGAAGATAACTGTACATCGAAAAAATCTACACACAGAAACGTTATGGAGAATTTTCATCGGCGTGTAATATGCACGCGAAACCCGATGTCCAATAGAAGTTCACGATTTCTAGGGATTTTAGTTTTAACATCTTCGTTTATAGAAATAAAATCTTTTTACTGGTAGAGACGCCACTTGTGACAAAACATGCGAATTTTGCCCCCTTTATTATATACTTTTAAATTTTAATTCGACGAGTCATAATCGAACGTGTGAGCGCTCTTTGCGATCAATAATTAAATTTATTACATTATGTACATGTGTTATTCGCATCAAACAATCTCTTCAGTTTTTAATCATCTTTCCAGTTGTACCGTTCTTAAACACGGCTTGCCATATCTTCTCCTGGCTTCTTGGAGAAATGCATTTTCCATTTGTCTTACAATTTCATTAAAAAATAAATTTGACAATTGTGAGTAAATAGCAGATTTAAACTTGAAGGAGAGGGAGAAGTCAATCACACATGTATCAGAATTGTTTTTCAATCCGGGGCTAAAAAGCCACAAAGTATCCAAGTGATCAAACAATCTGCCATCCCTACATTCTGCTTTAACTAGTCTCGGATATATCATAGTTACCTTTGAAGTATAACTTTCATTTATGGGAGGAAATCCTATTACTAAATTGGCCTTTAGAAAGTCTTCAGTTTTCAAAGTAACTTCAGATTTTTTGCAAAATGGTAAAAAGTTCTTGTAATTTTCTACATCGGCGACCACATAGAACATTTTTTCCATTGAAAACCTAAATAACAAAATGTTACATTAATGTCATATTAAAGCAGTGTATGTAAGAACATATTTTTTTTAAATGTTATTTTACCCTACTAATTTGCGACCTTCATATTCTTTGGTTTTGCCGTTTATTTGTGTTATGTACATCCGCTGCGTGTTCAAATCAAAGACATTATATTTACATAACAATGTTGCCTGCTTTAAATATTGTACGCACCTAAAATTTATACATGTATTACTACTTACTAAAATAACGTATAAGATTATTGTATATATAATGTTTTAATTAAGATAACACACAAATTATGTCTGCTAGATTCAGAATTTTTAACATACTTCTGATAATTTATTAACTTTTTTATCTTTAACGCATTCAGACAAAAATGAATAAAATATAAAAAATAAAATGTATTATTACCTGCGCATGTTGAATATAAACAATGATATCAAACTATTTGGCAATTATTTTTGGTATTTAATAATACCAAAACTCCATAACCTCTAAATCGGTTCTAATGTCATCCTACGTTTAGCTTGAATTATTTCCGATTTTTATCATTTCTACAGTTAAAAACTAGTCATCATTTTTTATGCACAAGTGTTTATTATACATGTTTCACAGTTCAAATATGAGCTTATAGAATAGTTGACTTGTGACACACCACTGGAAAAAAAAAAAATGCATCATCTATACTTGCTGGCTTATGTAATCTACTACACAATATTTTGTATGTCAAATATATTGAAACTAAAAATGAATAACTACGGACTCGTTTGTGTAATTTTTAAAAAAAGTAAAAATAAACATGACGCACAATTCGAATTTATCTTATCTTAGATATTCATATTCGAAGATTCAAGTAATTTGGCAAATCGACCAATCGTGGCCTTGTTTGGTTATTACTGACAGTACTGAAAATCTATAAGTCACGTCACGTATTATACTATAGTTTTACAAGTGTTGCCAATGTAACAAAACAGAACTTGTACACTGAGTTCAAAAGGAAAAAGATACCTGTAGCAGACGAAAACTCGTTCTGTTTCGCGCATTTCTTTGATCAGAAAGTCGCCGAACTCCAAAGTCATTGGCTGTCAGCGAGTATCTCGCCAATCCCACGCGCAATGCTATTCCCCATTTTGCCTGTTGTTCTTTTCCTATGCGCAGAAAGAGGTACCTTCTCTCTTTGAACTCAGTGTGGGTTCTTGAAGAGCCAAACGTACGTGATCAATGCGTTGCGCGATAAAGAATGTCGATCGATTTCCACTACACTAGCGGATCGATGTGAAGGGTTGTAATTGTCATTTGATCGCGGAAATGGCTTTGCTGTAACAAACAACAACACATGAAAAAGTTGTAACATATTGAGCGTTCGACTCCGCGGCACGATCCGAGTAATAATGGAGAGGTTAACTCGTCACGACGAATTGCCAGGACTGACTCGGGAATAAACGGTTGCGCGGGAAAAAATGATGGATACATGGTATGTTTTACTTCAAAATTTATCATCAAGGCAATTACATTCGAACCGTATAGTTCACTTCGTTTGCGTTTGTTTACTGTTCTATTTGCACACGCGCAAGTAGAGACGTATAATCTCTGTGTTAATGACTCATCAATAACTCGCAACGATTTATATCTATTACGCAGGTGATAAAGTTCATCAATTTTTATGTAGACATTGATTTCAATTGTTCGAGATGTACATACACGTAAAAAAAAGCGTAAATTATTTTAGTTCATGACTTTGTAATCTGTGACATATGGCAAGTGACAAACTGGGCTAAAGAACTCTGTTTCTTGTTTTTTTTTTTCAGGTTTCAAATATTATAACACAATGTGAGAATTAAATTGTTGCTACTTACAAGGCATAACCACATAAAAGAAAAATAATGGAGAAAGTTGTACTAAGGAGTGGATTGAACCAAATGTTACTTATTTATAGTATAATGGTTGCAGTATTTTCTTTAATTATACAAGAATGGATAGATCTCAAACCTTTGCCAATGTATGTTTCCATCTCATGGGCTATATTACTGGCAATCACATCTGTGTGGCTGAGCTGCTATTTACTACGTCTTACACTAAAAGCTAACAGTCCACTTAATTTGGAGTTTATGAACAAATGGATTTACCAGAAACTGGGAAGTCACTTGAGATTACATTTCTTGATAGAAAAGGATGAGAGTGTAATTGAGGATAAAAATGAGACACAAAAGTGTTCAAGTTCTGCACAAGAGGGTAGAGTAAAATGTAACAATAACACTAGCTCACAACATTCCTGTAAAACTTCTTCAATGACAAAAAAGAAGCTGGATATAAAAAACATGACACACCAACTTAATGAAAAGGGCATAGAAATCTGGTATAAAAATATAAGTAATGACAAATCATTTTCCGACAAAACGCAGAATTTGTTGAGCAAATTGCTGAAGAAACTTGTTTGGAAGGCTGATCTAATGGGCAAAGTAACACTTACCAATAAGTTGGCAAATATAATGCTGTTACATTTGAAGGAATATCGTAGGTATGAATGTAGAAATTATTTCTATATAACTTTGCTGACTAAAACAGTTACGTATCACTTGTAACATGTGCATTTCACAGGGCATTACGTCGAATTGAGAAGGGTGCTACCGCAAATGTAGAAGAAGCGTACAAATATTTACATCCTGGTTCCCGAAGCGCGTCGACGTTAGAGCACATGTTGCATCGTTTAGTCACTGTCCTAGCACAAGAGTTTCTACAGTGGGAATTAAATAGTTCATTACCATGCAAACTTTTACAAGCTATTTTAGCGAAAAAACTTTTAACAACTATAGACACGATAAGCTGTCCAAATTGGTTGATCAAGAACTTATTAAGTTTGTTGGATGCTCCGTCAGAAAAAAAGTCTATTACTCCAGTTAAACAAGACATTAATGTGCGTTAAAGTGATGCCATAATCAAGTATTACGATGACTAAAAAAAAACTTTATTATTCTCAACTCCATTTTCTCTCAGGGCACCATAAGTATTGCTCTGAGTGACGGCATCGCATCCGCGACAGCGGCTGTAATTCCACAGCCGCTACCAAAATCTGCGCCTAAGTCTAGTCTATCCGCAACTGTTATGAGCGAAAATGAGAAGGCAGCTTCACAGGCAGCTCCAGAAAGACCGATTTTGTGCTTAGAAGGTCTCTCTACAGAGCACAGAGGACTCTGGGGAGACAGCATAACAGACACAGATTTAGATTTAGAAGAGGACAAAATATCACCGGTGTATGAAGAACCGACGGACTTCGCGACAACCATCGCCAGGCTTAGAAACTTGCTGCAGCAAAAATCCACGGCGACCACACCACTGTAAGAGTGCAACTCGGTGAAAACGTTTGGTCTTGAATAAACGTCATATTACATGTCTATGTTTTCAGACATGCTGAAGAAAAATCTTACATAGTATATGAAGGAAATCAATTTACGAATTTGTCGATTCCGTGGACCGAGTTTCACACTGCGACTGACGGTTCGCAACAATTGTATTATTGTATACAGTTCGACGATATCGAACAACGTGGAGTAGATCTGTTCGAAACTACCACTGCTACTGTCAGGCGACAATATTCCGATTTCGTTCAGTTACATATGAGTTTGGAAGAGGTAAGAACAAGTATAAAAATTTATATTTAAGTTTTGAATTTAATCGCATAACATTTGCGAATTCTAGATTCCCTCATTAGCTAATGTTATGTCGGACTTGGTATTACCGGAAGGTGGGCGTGTCGAATTAGAAACTTATTTGAAGATACTGTGTACGCGGGTGGCAAACGAATGTCCGCCGCAATTGCGTCACTTTCTTCGGCCGAGCAGTAGTGCGAACAAGAAAGCGGATGCGGTGGCTCCCCGTTTGGATCGATTTCTCGCCAAGACCGTAACTGGCGTATTCAACACACTGAAGACAGTTGTGCCAGGCTTCGAATTGGATCAAGAAGAGGAGACTCCTCTTCTACCTACTCTGATGCCTCTGTCTGACATACCTTGGAGATTTGTCGAGGATATAAAGTCGGTAATGGAACTTAAATTTATTTATCACAAATATCGAAATAAACTGTGTGAAATATATAAATACATACTTTAAAAATATTTATTTGTTACAGAAAAGTCTAGCTTGTAAACTTCAGCAGCTAATAGCGGAAAGAACGGAGTATTGTACAGTAGATACAGCTTACGAAGCGGTCGACTCAATGGAGGCCAGTGGTGATTCAGAGTTGCTGGATTGTTGGTTGGAAGCCGTTAACACTTCGTACGACGGTAATATCTTTGACTTGTATTCAGAAACTTATGTGTCTCATAGTCATAAAAATATAAATATACGTTCTTTCTTTTCAGATGAAGGAGATGAGCTGGATTCTAATTTAACGCTGACGTGTACAATGATAGATCTGATTTGCGAGCTTTTAGCAGGAATAGAAAGTAACAATACGTTACAGCAAGAAGCTGTTGTCAGATGGACTAAACTGCTATTTGGAAACATTTCGGAGCCAGTTCTACAGGTGCGATTTCTGAAAAACAATTGTTGATGTATTGAATGTTTTATTAACTCAAAATTCTCTTGCAGAAAACGATTTTTTGGTTATTCGATTCTCTAGACAATTCTTCGCTAAATTGCAATGCACCGCACAATGTCAAATCGAATGAAATTGATGCGGAGTCGAAATCCAAGTTGGTAAATTTACTGAGAACGAAAATTCCGAATGATATAAAGTGGATATTTGGTGAGGACGATGTACACAAAGCTCTGGAATATCTGCTAAATTCGTGCGGAAACAAAAAGATCAATATGGATGTGATTATGCAGATGCTCGATGCGGTAGTATCGGAATTGTTGGTTTCTTGCAAAAAGCACCACGATACAGCGATAAATTGATTTTTCTTTGATTTTGTTTCATAAGAGGAACAAAAAGGTACTTCGAAACAAGTGCATTGGTCTATTCTCTTGACTTGATGTTCAAGAATCATTGAGATACACATCTATATCAAAAAAATACTTGTGTCTACAAAAATTGATGTGCCATATCTTGACTGCTTACATATTTTATATATATATAACAACCAAATTTTTTAATACGAAGACTGTACCTGACCAAGTATTCACAATATGCCAAGTATTTCTTTCATTAGAGAAAACTGATTTCTGTCAATTATAATGTAAAATGAATCATTATAAAAGAAAAGGTCTCATATCTTTAAACCGGGCTTATTGTAACACCATCAGTATTTATATTTAATGATTGTTTTTCTAGGAAGAGAAAATTAACATGCTTCTGTGAAACAAACAAATGGTGCATTGTTATACAAATATGTTTATAAATACACTTAGCTCTATTATCACATTCCAAAGATCATTAGATATCATATGTATAAAATATAGATGTACACAAGTTGAGTATTTAATTACATGTTTATTTATGTACAAATATATGCTCAAGTATATTATAATCACTTAATTTCCCTTGGTTGTTTCCGATGAAGTTTTTTGTTTTTCTAACTGTGCTCTGAAATCAATTAATTTTTCACAAAATTGATAAACTTTAAATAAGATATTCCACAATTATCAATTTCAATTTTTAAACAAATTTAAACTATTTTTATATATGCTTTTATTATAAAACTTGTACCAAAGAGTAATCTTGTCTGTTTTGCATGGGGAAAACTAGTTAATCGCTAAATTAGTAAACAAGTACCTCAACTGTTGATTGAAATCGTCCTCGACATCATCATCGTCCCAATTATCCTCCCAGACACTGATATCCGCGCCATCCTCATCTTTTGCTGTCCAATCTATAATCAATGAATCAGCGATTTTAAGGTTAGATCGCATAAGTATTAACGAAAATAAATATAAAAATTTACCTTCGGTGGGGAATTCCTCAAATTCATCATCCTCCTCGAGCAATCCGAGATCGACTTTCGTTTTGTCGTTCTTAATGTCCGTCATTTTTACAGGATTATCGATAAGCACAATTGTTTTCAAACGCTTATGTGATATTTATTATCACACAACGCACGCACTCGAAAAGCATCAAAAACTGAAGAGCAGCCAGGCGTATAAAAGTTTGACGGTTTTCCGAATCGTAACTTAGCGCATGTCCACGAGTGGTGCACATTGACAACTACGTAGCGATGTACACGAACGAATTGTCGATACGTACGCTATGTCAAAACATGGTTCTAATCCGTGCTGCAGATTAATCGAGATACCGAGATGGACTACCCTTTCAGCCACGAGCCATAAATGCACCAAACCAATCAAGATTAATCGAGATTGGTCATACTGATTCGTGGTTACTATTTCTCGAAGTTCCTAGCAAAACCGAGCTGGCAGAACTGATCGATGATCTTCACCGATCTCGTTTGTTGCGTCAAACGTCACGTTAAACGTCAAACTTTACTTCGTGTTGACTCTATTCCGTGTTTCTTTTTGTCGGCGACAAACGTGTGGATTTTTGAAGATGCCGCTGTACCGATATACGCACGCGATTCTGTGCAGAATACCGTTGTCGCTGCGAACGCGGGGCGAAGTGACACTCGACGAAGCTAGGACCCAACATCTAGCTCTGGCACAACTCCTACGCGAGCTCGACATTGACGTCGTAGAAATGCCGCCGGATGAGAATTCGCCGCTCTGTGTCTTCGTCGAGGACATAGCCGTCATCTGCAACGGCATCGCCCTGATCGCCCGGCCGAGCGAACCGTCGCGTCTTAAAGAGGTACGTCCGGAATTATCCAAGTTAATGATGATAGCAATCTCAACTCGTTAACTCATAGAGTGCTGACACACTAAATTCATATATAGGATTTTGTTTCATCAACTTTATTTTCTTCGCGCGAGATAGAACTTATTTCTATATAAAATACTTTCTTTCTTCCAGCTTGATACCATTAGAGCTGTTTTGAAGAAAGAACTAGAAATACCACTCATAGAGATCAGTGATAAAAGTGCTCGCTTGGATGGTGGAGACGTTCTCTTCACAGGCAAGTTTCACTTCACATTCTGTAAAACTACATCTGAATTTAATTTATACTTAAATCTTATTTAGAAAATCGTATTTCTAGATGTTAACTATATCCAAATATTTTTTTTATTACAGGTAGAGAATTTTTTGTTGGACTGTCTCATTTTACAAATGAAGCAGGAGCACGAGCAGTTGCCGCAGCATTTCCAGAATATCCATGTGTTCCCATCAAGGTCAGTACATAAAGTTACTTTTTATAAAGTAATGTGTATATACATGTTATATAAAAAACAACTAATGATCTATTGTACATATAAAACAATTAAAACAATTTCTCTTGATATAAAACATCATATACTGCATGTGTATCAATGTCTCATTAGATTGTCTTGAACAGTCAGTGTTAGAGTCAATTACTCAGTATGTGTGCGCTACATTATACGTGTGAAAATAGTATGTTAGAGAGATATGTATGTATCGATTTTTTAAAACAAACTTCTATTCTTCTTGATGTAATGTTTGTTTGTAATATACTATTTTTTATTCACGTCTAAAAAAGAGTATTTTTGTATATTTCATATTTTATATACAGAGTATTTTATTAATATTTTATAAAGCACTTCAAAAACAGATCTAGTATTTGATGCATCTTTATAGTGAATTTCGGTATCAATGAAACACTGTGCATTAAAAATATACATAAATGCATGCATTTATCATGAATAACAATTCAATGCGATTTATAAAAACAAATCACAGTACATATTTCTAGTAATATATGTTTATCGGAAGTTTTTATCGCGCCATTATCAATAAAGAAACTATCATATTCATTCACCTCATTTTTCTAATGTTTATTTAAGGTGGGTGATGGTGGTGAAGAGGTAATAGTGGAGAGTCTCACTTCAGCTCCTCTTCAGGTTTGGGTGCATTAAACTGACCCTTTTGATATTTCATTGATTAAATATAAAAAATCAAAAAAAAAAAAAAGAAACTAACTTCACAAGTTAGAATGCACGATATTAAGAAAATTTTTTTTTACGTACGTAATTGCAAACTTTTACGATCGCTTTGGAATCGAAAAACAATTTACAGGTTTTGGCTTTGCACTTGAACCACCCACAAAATATTACCACAGGTGTATTCACTCATATTCGCACGCACTTAGGTTTATTTACTTTCAAATCACAATATGTGATATATCTGATGTATACCATTTTTCATTTTGTTTCAACTGTTGTGCTTCGTTACAGATATTAAATCAAATACCATTTAAGAGCGTATGTAGAATACGTATTTGCACTTTTCTGTAAGTTACATGAAACACAATGCACGATTTTACACCAAATACAGCGCACCATTTCACCCATTAAGAATCTTTATAAACATTTATCTTTAATACATTAAAATGTATCAAAAGAGATTTGTGTTTTACATAGTGTGTAAACATACATTATAAAAAAAAATTAACACGTGTGAATATATTCAATAAAATAAGATCTGTAAAATACAATTAAATATATTAAATATAATAGTAAAACAACTATATGAATATATTGATTACACAATTATATGATGTATGTGTACGATTTTCATACAATAACATGCGTCGAAGTAATAATTCGTAATATTCTTGTCTTTAGGTGCCAGTAAACACACGTTTGAAATCACTAGTTACGATGGCTGGTCCAGATATTATATGCGTAGGAGCTGGAAAGGAATCTCAAGAAGTTCTCAAGGTATGTGAATCATCGTACATTTGTATGTACATTAAAATAGAACAACTCTTTCTTTTTCTCTCTTTATTAATGTGAAATAATAATATGAAAATAAAAAATTATTGTTTCCAATATTTTGTATTTAAAACAATGTATTTTTCTATCAAACTAAACCAGTCATTTTGAAAGAAATATTATTCTCATTCTTATATTTAAAAATTTGTAAAAAATAGTTTGCGTAATATACTTATTTGTATAAAATTTTTTAATTTTGTATCTTTTTGATCTATAGAGAATCGAACGGGAGGCGACATACAATTACAAAACATTAACCGTACCCGAGGACGAGGCCGCAAACGTGCTTTACGTGAACGGCACCCTCATACATCGATCGGAGGATGAGATTCCGCAGTCTAGTAAGGTTTTTGCTGAAAAGGTAGAGTTTCCGACTAGATCACTGCGTATGTCTGAACTGGCAAAGGTCAGCTCCGGTTTGTCCTCATGTTGTTTACTGGTCCGCAGACCACGGCACATTCGCAGCATTTAAATGAGAAACGAGAGTAAGATCCGTTTTGCGATTTGATCGCATAACGTCACTGATATATTCGCGGACATAAAACGTGAGACCAAGTTTACCATTTTTGTTTCCAAATCTGTGAACGAATACATGATGCAATGCATGACAAATGACGAGACGTGTCATAACGTTTTGATAAGTATTTTTTAATTAATTTAAAAGAGTTATATCGTATATTATTTTGTATCTTGCAGGAAAAGAAACATTTAGTATTCGAAGAGATTAATATATATATATATATATATATACATATTACATATAATTTTTATATATTTAGAATATATATATATATATAGAAAGAGAGAGAAAAAAGTAATATATATATATTATTAATTCATATTTTATATCATTTATTTATATCTACGCTTTTTTGCAAGAAACTTTGCCATTTATTTAAACTTTTTTTATATATGTTATTTTATTTTCACTTGCAGCTGTAGATTACTTCGTAAATATTAGCGTTTTCTAGCATTTTTATTTTTTGTTTATTTTATAGTTATTTTCTTTACGCTATATCCAAAAAAAATATATTGTCAAGCTGTGTAATCCTTGCATCTTATAGAAATCTTGATATAATGAAACTTCAAAGTATTGCACATACCACAATATATGGCACAAATTCGATTTTATATGTACGAATAGTTGGAATATTGATTTTTATTATTAACAAAAAATCAAATTAACTTGTAATTTGTAAATCACAAATGTGTTTAACATTTGTGTGCTATAACATGATAGATAATTTGACATTTTTGCAAAGTTGTTTCTTTTTAAGAAGAAATATGATCAATTATATCAATATTCTGACTTCGACACATTTGTAACTAGTCTGAAACGTGTTCACGCGTTGAGAAGCATACGAATAGAAAACTCTCTATCACGTATTGCAAATACTGTATCACAAAGTTATCGATATACAAAAGCACTGATACATATATAGTTGTTATAATGGAAATTATATTAACACATCAAAGTTAGACTCAATTTAAAAGTTTAAACACAATACAATTGGCGTCAAATTTCCGTATTATATAAAATGTAATACATATAAGATGTTGCGCAATGTGCTTGAATCTCTTTCCTTAGATCGTGAGCATATATAACATATATAAATATATAAATATATAAATATATAAATATATAAATATATAAATATATATATATATATATATATATATATATATATATCGTCAGTACCATAATATATTGCAGTATTGTAAAAGATATAAGCTAGGACTGCGATATTGTCTTACATGTTGTTGCAACAGTCTAGCATTTTGTACGTTAAATAATCTCTTAGACCACATGTATCTGTAATACTTTTCCAATTTTTTTATATGATCACACTCTGCATCTTTCAAGTATTTACCTTTTATACTATTTTACACTAAGCTTTTTTTTATGCTTTTATAAATAAAAACTATATCGATAATATATGAAACACATATACAAGTGTAGAGTTTTTAATCGGAATCTCCGTGTGGGATCATATTTCATAAAAAAAAAAAGTTTGTTAAAACTTTATGAGTTTATGTAGAGAAATATAGGAATATCTTGAATACGTAAAAAAAATGTATTTGATCTGTTTTTGCCAAAGAGAATGTTTTTTTTTTTAAATCCGATTATATACACGCGCACACACACAATACGGTTATAAGACGCAAACACACAGGTGGCATGTCGAACAATAAAAATAATGTTACAAAGTATATTTGTCACTTTTATCATTGTGTATTTTAAGTTTTTATACAATATAAGTCGGTCCTTTTCGAAATCGAGGAATATGTCAGTTTAACGATTCCAAACAAAAAAAATAGTACTTAGTGTCTCGCTAGTCTGTTATAACGCGTCTGTTTTCAAAAAAGATTGCACTGTACAACAAATTGAATACTTTTTGTCTTGTTTCTTAATGACGGGAGGTGAGATATTTTGATGTGTTCTGAATTCGAGTTCGAAATTCTGAGATCAGACTCGAATTTTCGGCACATAAATAAAAATCACCTTTCTTCGCTAATAAGCAAAAACAATAACTTGCACAATATCATATGTTGTACAGTATTTGTATAGGCACACACTCTTTAAAAGTAGTTTACTTACAAATACAATAATAGTGATTTTATATTAATCAAATCTACATGCGCAGAGATGATAAATATTTTACATTCGCTTATAATACTGTGATATCATTCGTCGTTGCGCACTAGCAGTTCATTGCACTTTTGCGTATAAAATTTCGTCATCTTTCTTACTTGTCTTGTTCTTACGAATAAAATGTTAAAACCGAAGTGTGGTTACCTCGAACCAGCAAGAACGGCGGCATGTCGCGCGTAAGTGTCTCAAGCCACGCCATGTAAAGAGGTGCCGACACAGCACCTTTCCGAGGCATTGGTAATGTCCTACGTGAAAAGCGACAAGATTAGATAAAATCGATTAACGGTCTGATGAAACGTGTAACGGTCTGTCAAACGTAGAAATGCGCAAACTTACATAACGACCAAGTTGGCTTCCATAGAATTTTCAAGCAGTAACTCGCGCAATCTGAGATGTCTGTTAGTTTTTTCTCTCATCGCCATAAGCTCCGAATCTTTAATATCTGAAATTTAAAAAATCTCGATTAGTGACAAATATTCAACGTACGATTGACACGACTTTTGCGAAATTATGAAACAAACTCGTATCGTCGTCGGAATTTTTCGAATCCGTTGTTTCCTGAAAACCGGCTATTAACGAGTCAAAAAAGGTTTTTGTACTAGGTTGTGCCGGCTTTGAAATATCTGGTATCACTTTCAAGGCGGAATAATCTATCCGGAATTTCGACAGAAGACTCGCCATACTGTAAAAAATTTAGCAACATTAATTAATCGAAGAGAAATTATTCTGCACAAAAGTTATCAGCGAAAAACGTACCTTCTCTGCTCATATTCCAGTTCGGAATTCTTATTGGCAAGCGCGAACACCCGTAATTTACAGTTGGACCAATTACGCCTTGTGCTGATAATGTATGGCAATAGTAGCGTCAAGCCACCGTCGTCATATAGCCACCACACGTCGATAGTACCTTTTTTGTGCTTCTTCTGAAATTTCGTCACTACATTAAGTATGTTCGTGATTGGCACTATGTTTGGTCGAGTTTCACGCTGTTCCTCGGAAGATGCGTTGGGATATTCGTTGATTGTTTTGGAACGTCTCGGTGTAGGACTGCCGGGTATCGATATATCAGAAGTACTGCTAGCTGCAACGATCATTATTCGCGATCTTAAGACTTCTTTTTTTTTAAATCAAAAATTTGATCGTTAAAAAGATTTTGAGAAACCTTGACTAAGTTGTGAGAAACTCTGATTGCCCCGTATTGACGTAGGCGCGAGTCTCTTTTGGTCCTCAACGTCTCCGACAACAGCGCTGCAATCTAAGCCCTCCTGAAGCCGAAGAAGCGCTACTGCTATATGCATATCCAAAGCTTTGCTACGAAGAAAAACATAACACAACTATAGCTTTTATAAAATAAAACCAAGACGTTAAAATTAATTATAGAAGTGTAGCAACACTTACTGCATAACATTGAAGTACATATTCAGATTCTCTCGGGGACAGATGGTCCAGTCTTGTTTGTAACCCATCAACAGGATGTTGGGTTTCATTTTCCCAAGACCGGAAGCCTGCAAGAGAGAAGTGGCGCCGTCTTGGAAGCTCGCTCCATCTATCAGAGAGTAAAACGCCTTGATTTTGTTTGCTCTGAGCCAAGAATTGCACTTCTGTATCATGCTGTTGCGCGTCTTGTACGATATGGGTGGCTGAGGAGCACATGAATTGAAAAAACAACGTTAAAAATCATATACTTTATGTGTGAACAATAAAGAAGAAAGTGAAAACGGTATACACCTCAATGATATGGCCGCAAATAAATAAACTCTGATGTTTGGTGATATGATGAGCGAAATCGACCAATGACGATCTCGCATCAGGCGCGCCGGTGAGAACCAAAAGTTGCGGTCTATAATTTTTCACGTGTTCTTCCACTCGATCCAGCTGTTGTACGGCGGTCAACGCGTTGTTGTAAGTCTGGGCTTGTGTAGTCGAGCCCCAATTTACATCTGTAAATAATAATATTTACATGAGTAGAACAATTCGATCCAAATTGTTACGTGTAATTTACTCTTCTTAATAAACTTACCAGGTTTTCTGTATGAGACTACTAAATATAATGCTAAAACTACGCATAATGTTATCAAAGCTGTCCACCATGAGATCAGGAACATCACAGACACGCAAAGAATAGCACCAGCAAGACTGAGCCACATATTATAATACTGAAACAAAAATTGACCAAGTTAAAAGAAACAGGAGCATAATATTACAGTAGATATTATCACTCCGTTACTGCACCTTGAACGTCGGCCTCCATCCGATCGGCTTAGCCAGGGAAGCATGGAAAGTACTAAAATTAATAAGAGTGTAAGCAGCCAGGAAGAAGTTCGAGATTAACGGCGCGATGGCATTCAGTTCACCTGAAGAGAAATTTGTTTATATATATATACATATATATCCGAAAATAAGTTTCAGTGAAAAGTTTTTTTGCCGACTTACCGATCAAGATAAAAGCGACGGCGATAACGAAAGTGAGGAAGTAACCGCGAATCGGTTCCTTGTCCTTTTCCCCGCTAAACCACGCAATACCCGGATATAATTTATCGAGACAGAGCGCTTGGAATACTTTTGGCGCCGAGACTAAAGATGCTAAGGCACTTGAAATCGTTGCCGCAAAGCAACCGAAATAGATGATTAGACCGAAACCGGAAACTAATTGAATTACCTGCAATAATTGACAATACGCTCTTAAATAATCATGATTTTATTACTTCAACTATTCTAACAAATTTATCAACAAAATGAGAAGTTATTAAGTTATTTTTATTTATAATGGCAATGAGGAAAATACCTCGAAGCTGTTATGACTGCCGTATTTGCATCCTCCGGTACAGTTAAAAGCAGTTCCGTATACACTCCAGGTACGAGTAACATTCTCAACGATAACTGTGCTGTTTTCGATAGTTTCATTACCTGCATCGAGCATTGACACAGCCGAAAGAGAATTATTGTACACAGTCCATAAATCAGTAACGTTGCCAGACGCGTCTCGCGTAACGGTCCATCCAACCATAATCGCCATTATTAGATATGACAGCGACGTACATACGATTGCCAATAACGTGCCTTTCGGAATTGACGTTTGCGGATCCTGTCGAATCCAAAATGAGTTTCAACTTCAGCGAAACAAGATTTTCGCTTTCTTTGCGTTCTTCAATTCACATCATTGCAAATTAAAAAAAAAAGAAAAAAAAATACAAAAACGTTCTCATCTAACAAGCAACCAATCGACTTAATTGCGAAGTACAGTAATATCCTTGATCGAACACGCAGATTGATGAATAATCAGATATGATGTATAATCGCGTTCCGCAAATCACAACGAGAGATTCAAGAGACTTAGCGATATTCTAAAAGTAAAAATATTTTTCATAGAGAAAAGACCAAGTCACCTTCAAGTCACCGGATATATTCGCACCTGCCAGGATACCTGTTGCCGCTGGAAAGAAGATCGCCAGGACTGAAAAAAAACCGTGTTCCTTGCCTTCGGAATATCTGTAATTCTGATAGAAGTTCTCCTTAAACAGTTCGGCTGAAAAATGACGAATAAGCGACGAAAATTAACAATTCGATCGATCGCATATTAATTACAGATAATTATAGGTATGAGCGCAGCGTATAAAAAGAGAATATAACGTGATGTTTTTTTTTTTTACCGTTATACCCAATGAATCCTTTAGCCCTTTCCACGTCGCTCTTGGGACCGATGAAGGTGCCGATCACAAAATCGGCGATAGCCAAAAGAAGAATAACGAGTAAAACTAATTGAGCCTTGGCTTCCCATTCCAGGCCAATTATCACGATTATCAGAAGAAGAACTATCGTTATGCAGCCTGAAATTTTCGCGAGTCATTTCACGTTATTCTCGAACAAGAGAGTTTGATATAGCGCGATTTTATTACAAATCACTGAAAGTAATTTTATATATCGTTCGCACGAACCTATTATTCTGATATCCGTGGTCGCGCAGTCGTATATGCAAACCCCGAAGTACGATTTCAGAAAATCCACCATGCTCTCGCAAAATCCAACGACGTACATCGAACAGGCGACGGCGTTCGCCAGAGAAAATATAAGACCTATGGAGCCGCCAAATTCGGGTCCCAACGATCTGGAAATCATGTAATATGTTCCACCTGCAAAAAAAGAAGTAAAACAAGAAATAAATCACCGTGCATGCTTCAATCCTGTCACCGATAAGAGAGAGCAATTAATTTAAAAAAAAATCTCTTATATTTTATTTGAAAAAATTTCTCTTATGTTCGTATTATGTTTGTTTTTCGATATTTCTTACGGATTTTAACTATATTTAGTTTCGTATCGCACACATACCTCCTTTGATGAGACCGTTTGTGCTGATCGCGGACATCGACAAAGCCGTGATCGTCGTGACTATTGTGGTCGTGATGATCAATAGAATTGCCTGACCTGGAGCATCATCAACGACGATAAGTGAGAGGAATTTAATTAAACGCGAGACGGTTCTCAATACGGACAACGAGAATTATTCACCTATTCCGGTCTGTGCTACGACCCACGAGAGTCGCAGGAAAAGCATCACACCCCAGATGTTGAGGAGACATCGTATCAGCACCCCTTGAATCCATCCGAACTTTACTCTGCTTGTGGCTTTCACTTGCGGGACGGTTAACGTGTGCGAGCCCGCCGTACCCTGTGCATTTATGAGAATAATAGCACATGCATTCTGTCTCATTTGAAGTTTTCGTTTAAAACTTTATTGAAAAAAAAAATATATATATATATATTCGTATTTGTTGTACCAATGTATTGTGTAGCCAAAAGCAAAAAAGACAGAGAAAATAGTATGGATTATCGGAAGCTCGCTGTTTCTTCATGCGTGATTGCAGTCATAAAACTGACTCTGAACACAGTTCGTAATTATGCGAGAAATTATCCGTGCCGTCAAAATGAGATGTCTTCATCAATGCGGCGGGTAATTGACGTACCGAGAAGTCGCCAAGGTCGTCTTTTATAAACGAATCCGAAATGATTTCTCGCAGATGAGACGATTTTACGCTTCACGAAACAACACACACACACACGCATACACATTTCGGGGAACAATCGGTGAGATTTACAATTTCACAGACATTTATCGAATCGTTGAAGGTGATCTTGATCCGGAGAAGAAAGATCCGCCACTTGACGACCCAATGAAGTCTAACGATTTACGTAACCGAGTCTTGCAGTCCGCGACATGACATATCGCCGCCGATTAGGTTTATGCATGTACGCGTAAGGTATGGCGAACAAAATTTCAATTTGAAAAGTTCTCAGTGACCTCACGTTTGAACATCATTACGAATATAATTACTTTTGCACAATTTATTTGTTATAAACGCTTTATTTGTGCGTGTACTCGAGATAAGCGGAGAAAAATAAAAAATGCTAGAAAGGTCGAGACTTTTCGTGGCGATTGATCAAATGTCACGTACTTGTGTACATATGTAAATACGTACATATATACGAGCGTACGCATATGTGTACACGAAGAATAACACATAAGAGCGTAAGTGGGTTAAGGCGATGTATGTGACATATAGGAAGAATAAAGACCCTCTATTGAGGTAAGTCTCCTCTCACATTCTCTAGTGCATTACTGTGTGTGTGTGTGTGTGCGCGCGCGTGTGTGTGTGTTCATATACGTATCGTCTACTACAAGCACAGCCAAATAACAATGGTAACATGCCTATTCCTGAGGGGCCCGCGATTTATTCGGAGTACGCGTTTTGCAGGGCCCATTCATACATCGCTATATCGAGCCGCGAGTGTAAACGATTGAATTGGCCGTTCGCGAAGTTGTGCCGTGCGAATCGCACAGAATTGTTTTTGAAAGAAAAATATTTTATAATGTTTTCTTGTCAAAAAGAAACACAGGAAACGTAAAGAAGTAACGTGGATATCCATGCGAAATACAACATTGGCATTGGTATGATCAATTCTTTTTTAACTAATGATATGTTCTTATCAACATCTCATATATGTGTAAAATCCTCTCTCACAATCTCTTATAAATAAATTAAAAATTACAAATTTAAATATTAAGAGATCGATTCAAGTTGGCAGTCGAGACGAAGTCGCGAAATCGCATTTATTGAAACTTTCCATTAATTGCTCATTCGTTGACGTAATTTTGTATGTAAATATACGCTTGCACATCCGGAAATTGTTTGCAAGCGACGCGAGTATTGCGCGCGATTCGATCGTGGAGTTCTTGTGCAAAATCAACGCGTAACATGTCGTAACGCCATTTAAAGTAGGCATCTTGAGAATCAATCTCGTGTGCAAATAGGGTAAACCACTCTAAAACGACTGGCGATCTTACAGACCTGTCAATTTTTTTTTGTTCAAGAATGCCAAGTAGGAGGACTTTAAAATGTAATGTCGCTATGAAAATTTCAAATTAATCTATGATGTTAAAAATAAATAGACAAGAATGTTAAAAAAGACCAGAAAAAAATCAGTAAATTTTGTAAGTCTCATTGGAAAAGCGTAACTGTAGGTTTGTCGGTTTACCCTAACTGTAAACGACGTTAGCATGAAGATAAAGCCTTTCGCCTTAGAGCGCTTTCCAGTGCTAAGTCGTGTACACGACGAGACAGACCGACGGAGATAACATTGTGCGCGCGATCTTGCGACACAAACGAAACAGAATTCGATGTTACGTCTAGATCCGTCGAATGCGAGATATAAATACTATGAGCAAAGTTCGTCGATGTAAAGAAAAAATATTACACAAAGTCGTCGCTTATCGCTTATCGCGCACAGCTTCATTTTCGATTTAATTTACATCAGATTCTTATCGAGGAGGTTTACATCTTTTTTTTGCACAAAAAAATAAAAATTTTTTCATATTGTCCTCCTCGCTCAATTAGTTTGTCAAATTTGTTTAATTTCGAGTGCAATGAGCGACATCGGGCTAATTTAGCAATCGGCGCACGAATCTAATTAAAATTTAAGCCTCGCGTCTATGTTGCATCTACGTATTACGTAGAAAATAAGCCGAGAAAAAGATACGACGTCGCTTTATTAGTGTTAATTATTACATATAGGTATATGTGTGTGTATATTATAACATTGGTTCCATCTTCTCTGACCCAAAAAGAAGTCGGCGTCGCACACGTGACGAGATGTGTGAGAAAAATGTCAATTGTTAACAGTCTAAGTTCAGTCGCAAGTGAAGTAACTCGTGAACTCGTTTGTTAATTATCGCGATATCGATTCAACCAACTGGTACTGGTGGTACGAATGTACATTTGATCGTTTATCTGTGTGTGTGTCGCGTTTCATCTCGCGATAGAAGGATCAGTCACTCTCGGATAGGAATTACATGTCGTTGTTTTTAATGAACGCGCACGAAGATGATGAAAACCGTCTTACGGAGTATTTGTCATCGTATCCGACGACGCTTTAATTACCCGAGCTGTACGTGAGGGTCTTCACGTTGACCCGACCGGTAACGAGCCACATCATATGATTTCATATGCGTACGTTGTGTTGTGCGATCTTCTGAAAAAGTTCCGCGCTGCTCGCATTAATGAATGACTAATGGGCTTGACATCTGTTGCGCACGGACAATTTAAACTTGTTTACTATTAGTCAGAACACGACGCTTTCTGGAGACAGTTTTGACATCGAAATATTTACATGTCACAATATTTATAAATTCGATTTTATTCGATTTATTATTATTATATACCATGTATTCAAAACGGTTACAATTATTTTATTCAAATTTCCGTTTCTCTTTCTGTTTTCAAAAAAAAAAAAAAAAAAACAAAGAAAATTGAATATAAATAACTTGTGTGAATACTGCACGCGCGAGAATGTCTTCCGATCGGTAAGTTTCGCTTTAACTTATTGGCACAAGGCGTTTCACCGATTCACATTTATACGGAGCACGTCGCGATGTGATCTATACGTGAAGTTTTTCTAAATTTCCATATAAAAATTCTCTCCGTGACCCAGTATGCAGCCCGTTGCGTTTCTTCATATGTGACTCGCTTGTACCCGGTCTTAACGATTTTATCCCCTTTCTCTTTGGTCTCTTGCGAGTTTCTTCTCACATACGCGAGTTATCTAGATATTATTTTATTCGACGAATTACATCGTGTGCCAAACTTACGACAAGCAAGAAACAATTCTTTATGTTTGTGTGTTTTTCTTTATGTTCTTTTTTTAACCGCCAAAGTTTTTTTATCCAATTACGTAATCTATGCAAATTTATTTGTATATCGCGTTGTACGTGCAAACTTGCAGTTGGAAGAACATTGTTTGAAATATGTCTCTCTCTCTCTTTCTTTCTCTTGAACATTATCGTAAAATGCTTGTCGCGGATGCAACTTAATCATCTCGCGCGACGAAGTGCAAACGTTCGTCGTGTAAAAACGTTTAACGTTTTTCTCGCCGGCGTCAGCGAGATTTAAACCGCTGAACGAGCAAGAGTTTTACGGCCAATGTCCGGTGAAAACGAAACTGAAGTATCAAAGACAATTGGCATTCGCTTCACAGCCGAGTGACGCTTTTGATGTGTGTCCCGGACGCGCGTAACTGTGAAAAAAAAAAGCGCTTACATACTTTGAAAGGACTAAACGAGTTTAGTGAGTCACGTTCTCTGCCCGCATTGATTCGCAAGCAAATGCGGTACGCGTATACAGGGCCCGTAATGATTGCAACATTGGCGCATTGGTGCAACTTCAGCAATCAACTAGCGCGATCAAAAATTCGCGGAACAAGCGCAAACAGAGAGCAAGAAACGTGGTTTCTTCGCGTCTATTCTTCTTAGTTGTGAAAATCAGCTGAGATTGCAAGAAGCCGTCACACGTCACTAGCTTGTTTGCTCCTCGCTTCTTGCTGTTGAAAGGATTGCAAAAAAATAAATAAATTCGCGTTTGTTAATTAATCGCTCAATAAACAATGCGAATTTTCAAAAAGACAACAAACTACTGAGCCTTTGAATTACAAATATCTGACGTCTTGCATTAATCATTACGTACACGATGATAACGTCTCGTGGCGTCATAAATGTTTATGTCGTTGAACACATTGTCACGCACGTACTATATACTTACGGTCGTAAAAGTGCACGTTCCATATTTACATTCGCGACTACCGTATATGTAGCACACGTGTGAACGCAGAAAGATAAATGAAAAGATTTCTAGCGGTCATATTGTGTCAACGAAGAAAGAGACGGCGAAAACGCGGCGCCGTTCGCGGTTTGTATTCAACAACAACCGCGCGCGAGTTAATTGCACAATTAACAATCTCTGCAATCTCGACGATTTACGAGTCGTTCGGACACGCTTGATGAATAACGCGTGTCGTACGTTCAAAAAAAAAAATTGCGCGCGCCATATGTCCGACTATCGTGTTACGTGAACATGTGTGTATTTAGTTGTTACCGCGGTTACCTAAATAGAGATCGCGTGCGATTTTATATTATTACTTGAACTTTTTAACTTTAAATTTTGTTTTCTTTCTAAGTCGAGCAAGCGACTAAATTCATTAAAGAGTTATCGGTCACGCTTCGTAAATTTGATTTGCACGAACAAATGCAGATAAATCTGATAAGATTTTCTTCTTGTTTTCTCGCGTTTATTTGATCCTAGTTTTATTTAGACGTTAATTAACGTGTGCACTTTGCTCTCTTGTTTTTAATTAAATGTAACAGTGAGAATAAAGAGATGTAATTTTTCTCAGAAGAAATCTGAGAGAAATCTTCGTCTATTTTTTTTTCCTTTGGATTACTTTTACGCATCTTCCAATCGTAAACGTCGCTCTTGTTCCAAAATGTGTCGAACGTGGCAACGATACCCGCGTATCGAACTATCAACCCGCATACGGATTGTTCAATTTTAGATATTAAGTTCACACGGGAGAGAAAGAGAGCGAGGTTAACAGATAACGGATAAAACAATTAACAAATCGAGTGAATGTCAGCGCGATAGATTGTCGCGTAAGAGAACGCGCGTCGTGCGCGTTATCGCCAAGAGTTGTCCTCACATGTATTGATATGTGTATATATGTACATACAGTAGTTGCTTGTTTATCTTTGTCTATATATACATACGTAACGTTTTTCCCACGTTTGACTTAGTACTTTGTTTTTCCCGTGACTGAATAAGCTTTCCGAAAAATCATTTACTGTGTGACTCACTCGGTTGTGCAATTATTCGCGCGTGTAATCATTAAAAATGTTAGGTTTCATTGTTGAACACACATATGGTTTCTGGTTTGGATTTATATTTATTTTGTTGTATCGAAAAAATTATCGAACTTGTAATTTTTTAATGTAAGTTACACGAAGACACAAGCATCGTCCTTGAAGATGTCATTTGTGGTGTTACCTTGTTGAGAAGAGTGGGATTGTGCAGTTCGTCCAACGAGGGCCTGTGGGCTGCCTGGATGCTCATGATATTCCTGTAATTGTCTAATCTGGGCAGGGCTTCCCTGGTCATGTGTCTGAGGGACTTCCTGGTCTCCTGCTCGCCCAGAAGACTCGCTCGACCTTCGAGACTATCGACCCGGTTCACGTGAAATCTGGTCCTCCTCAGAGGATTCAATTCCACCGTCTCCGAGTCGGTGTCGTTGCCGTTTATTCCGTTTTCGTGTGCCATGTTTTTCTGCACTGTTCGTCGTTACCACTTGTTGTTTCCCGTTTGTTCGAGTGCGCGCGCGCTCGCGCAACAGCAACGGGAAAATAACGCGTATTGCGATTCAATGCACTTGATAGAGCTCTCTCGGGCTGGCTTGTATACAATGACCGATCAAACGGCAATCCAATTTCTCTCTCCTCTTTCCTCTTCGAGAATTTATCGATTCGTCAAAGCGAATGGCCGGTACACACCTGCCGACAAAATTTGATTGCTCGATTACATACATTTGTAATTGTTATTCTCTTTTCTTGAAAACGAAGAATTTAAATGTCGCTTTATTTAACGCATTACATCTGTATAAATCTAGATTAAAATATTTCGGAATGTGATATAAAAGAAATAAAACAGATGATACACAGAGATGTCAATTATGAGATAACGGATAATGAAATTCTGACTACACGGTGAATCAATGTCAGTTTTAGTCGCGACACGAGTTTGATTTTAAGATAAAGTTATTCTTGGAAACACATAACGCAGAGTTATTCTTGGAAAGAGACAATAATATATCGCAAAAATCACTTAAAGTTTAATATTTTTAATAATTAATCTTTTGACAATGCAAACATATTGTCGATAAAATTTATTTGTTACACCGCTAAAGATCAAACTTGCGCGGTCAGCGATACAGATTTATTCTTTTTCTTCATCTTCACATTTCCCATGTCACCCGGACAAAGAGAAAGAAAATCTGTTCTTTTAGGTGAAGTATTTTTAAAAAGTCCGTAGGAGGTTCGAGACAAGAAACTCGAGAGAGTTCAAGGTGAGAGGTCACAAGGTGGTGGAGACTTCGTTGACCTTGCCTACCGATCGCGTCAATTAAATAACGAGCGCTGTACGTGGGTGTACCAATTATGAGATTACCTCTGACCACGTAACGTCTCATCGCGATTATCTCTGGTCCCCGGGGTGGGTTAATGCACGAATTCAAGAGAAACTAAACTACGAAGTGCTTCGTCTTTTTATTATTTTTTTTTAAATCTAGTTTCCCACGCACGAATGTGTGTGACAGCGCTTTCCGGCAGCACACAGAGTTTCTATCAAATCGTCGTCATGTTCTTAATTACACCGAGAGGATCTACGCCACGTGCGCTTTCTCTAAACTCTCTTCTGAAACACTTTGAAAACGTAATCCTATAAATAATACAAATGTAAAAACGTATAAATTTTACAACAAATCCGACAGATCTTCATTCAAACGCAAAACAATTATAAATACGTATAATGCAAACTAACATATACATAATAATAATTCCATGTCATTAGAATAAATAAATACTTGCCAGAGACAAAAGTTTTTATATTGCAGAACAAATCGCGAAAAGAAGATTCGATAAAATAAAATTGTAAAACGGATCGATACCCGACTTGATCGTTATGCAATTAATTTTATTGCTTACACATAATTAATTATATTGCTTACTCTTTAGATCGATCTTGTTTTCGTGTCTAGTTATATCCTTTCATATGAAACGACATGTTCGCTACAAAAAATTGCGCAGTCACGATGTACAATATCGACTGGTTTGACATTGATCTGTATATAACATACAACAACGCACTCGACGGCGGCACACACATTCGAGAGTGGCTAATTAATTCATCAGATTCAGCCGATGACATTTTCATATGATGAATTGCGCGCGCGTGTGCGTTTTGCTAAAAGCCGGCGTTGAACATCAATGCAATCTCATTCATTGTGCTCTTCCCGCGATTATTTGCATCTCGCACTTTAACTGATCGACCGTGAATGAACCCATATCTTAATTAACAGCTAAGCAAACAATATACGTCGATCCTCGAAACGTTTTCTGCGTGCGCGAGATCGAACTGTTTGTCTTCGTCGATGGCGCCTTTTTATTAACGGTCGGATGCGCACGGTTGACAGCGAACGGATGCGGAATTATTGTTAGGAGCGTCGTTGTGTTTTAAGGCCGTCGTCGAGAGGCGTCCGCGAGACGACGGCCTCGCAGCACAAGATAAGTCGTCGGTAGTTAGTCGATTTATTCGGCGTATTGCACCAACGTATTGTCGCGTTACGCAGACGGTAACTCTAAACTCTTGGCGGTAGAAACACGCAGAAAACGAAATTCGCACAAAATATGAAAAATGAAATAAATGTCGCATAGATTTTTTTTTTTATTTTTGCGACGGATTGTACGAGAATGAGATATCTTGGAAATATACGATTCTTCGGGGAATTCGCGATCTCTCAGATTCGCAACGACAGACTCGTTTAGCCATTCTCTAGAGGACGCAGATGAGTTACTCATTAATTCGGGAAACCGGATCATCGAAAATGGGATTCCTTCGTGAGACGTGAAATTAGCGGTTCTTCCGACATGTTCTTAATACGGACGATTACTGATAAAATATGCGAATTGTTAAGACCTCCATTGTCGTATCCAAGATTGTGTGCAATTGATTTTCAAATCTCGTGGGATTTGACGACGAACCGCGAGGAATAACGTTTTCGAATTTCTTTGAAAATATCCTCTTCCGAAAAAGATCCTTGCGCAAGATTGAAAATCATTAAGTTTGTTGGCAAAGATAATTATCCAACAAGTATTTTTTTTTTTTTTTTTTTTATTAAATTTCAGTTCTTCTAATAAAAATTGAAAATTGAAAATTTAATGCATCAAACGGCCGTGTGAATGTGTACGAAGAAGGGCTTCAATGTGACATAACTGAATCCGCTAGAGAGTGGTTTAAACTGGTTTAAATCCGGATTCGAATCCGGTGCGGCATTTAATTAACTCTTCATTAAAACTGTTTGTGAGAGCGCACTCTTATATCCCGAATCGGCTATTATGTCGAGCTCGGCTCGCATCTGCAAACCAGTTTCAAATAGGCTCGAACGCGCATGTTATTCCACGAATAAAATATGTGCAACAACCGGTATATTACATACTGATTTATGCGCATGAGTTACACGAGAGAAAGAAAAAGAAAGTTGGAGAAAAAAATTTGAAAATTTCTACTGTCCAAAAAAAACTTGTACTTCCCAGACAACGTCTGAAAGACAGTTTGTCTGACAGGCAGCTGATATTTCTTAATCGCTTTTAGACGCCTTTTCCGGCCGATTTCTTCATATCTTTCGATAGCTATTCTCTGGATAACTTCCTCTGAGAACCAATAAGGAGAACCAATTTTGGGAGATATCTTCTAGATAAATTTATCGAAAACACTTATCTAAAAGTGAAAAAATTGGCTGTTAGACCAGCTAATTGCTGGGTTGCTGTCTGCAGCAATTTTGACCTTTTTTTTTATCAACAAGACACCGATAGAAAATCGCCGGTATTTTTGAATTCTAACAAGACGTTCCTGACATTTTGCGATATAAACCAGTTACATTATCTCTCTGTTCTTTCTTCCGGGAAAAGTGACAATGTGATGTGCCGCTGCTGTTCGTTATTTTCAGCCGTGATCTGCGAGCAATTTTCATTCCGCGACGCGACGTTAAAATCATAAAACTTTCATGAGGAAGTTCGAATTCCTTAATAGAAATTGGTCTATTATCTACGAAAACTGCAAACTACTCGACTTTAAAAAATTCGGAGAATTTCGAGAAAGTCTTTTTTTTTTAGGAAGAGAAACATACGCGTGGAAACGTTCGGGGAACTCAACGAAATCTGCTCTATTTGCGGTCATCGTCGTATTTGTAGCTGCCGCAGCCGCTTTTTGCTTCCTGTGGCATCACCGAGAATGAGATAAAGATCGCGAGCGATTCTACCGCGAAATTTCCAGTGATGGCTTCAAACCGATCAAATCCCTGTGTATTGTTATAACATGCACTTGACCGTAAATTATAACAACAATAACCTTTGATAAAGTTATATGCATCTTGAAAAAAAAAAAACTGACTAAACTTCTGACGCAACTTCTTCGCGTTTTCAACTGTGATTGAAATTGATTTGCTGTAAACAGAGATCGACACGATTATCTCCAGAGGTCTTTCCGGATAAAATTGTTGATTCTACATTTGAATCTATGCGAACGTGAATGTAGAAAATATTTGTATCACATCTTTAGAATCTTCGTAACAAATTATTTCGTGAATTCCAATTTGTCGACGAAGATGTAGATAAAAAAAAGATGGAAGAAGAATTGCGAGTCCAATATCGAAGTTTTATTCCTGAATCGATTTGATGCTATGTGCGATATGAGTGATTTTACAACAAAGAAACTTTGTATCGAACGCGAATGAGATTCGCAAAAAGTGAACAAAACATTCATTTAATCTTCGTTAGAGGCACATTTAACTCGGATGAGTCTGTTTTTTTTTTTATGCCGCGTCGAGGCACACGGACGCGAATTGTGATGCATTGTTGTATAGAAAACTTGAAACGCACGTGCGATTTCACCGAACATGTGTCTCTGCTACTTTTTCTTTTCTTTTCTTTTAAGGAAACTACCTTGTGTTGTCGTTCAACTTTCTACAATCAAAGGTCGTCCCGTCCTTTCTTTCGCTCGTTCAAAGATAGAATTTTTTAAACGAATGAATAGTGAAGGCTCGTGAAAATTCAAACTAAGAATGAAAAGGCCAATACGAGCCGTTCCCAGAATAGAATTTTTTCTTTACGAATAAAACCCAAGTATCTTTCTTTTTTAAACTTCGGCTCTTCGTACTTCAATAGAAAGTCACGATTCCTTAAATCTTGCTTTTTACAAACGTTTTTTACATGAGATAGGCCCTGTAATATATTTCCGGCCCTGCTTCAACACGCGTTCGCTATCGCACGCGACCGGCTTGTTCGCCTCGGCGAAATAAAAAAACCGCATTCTCGTCGCGAGTTCAACGTTTAAGCGCGTTTATCCGGGACTGGTCATCCGTCCGGACATCGTCATCGAAAGCGCATTTAATCACGTGTTAAAACTCGGAGATAGTTTGGAGGGGAAGAAAAAAAAGATCTGGAATAAATAGTAAAAAAAAACCAAAACAATTGGGAATCTTTCTTATCAAAATAAAAAAAAGAGAAAATTCACGACTGAAGTTACACTTAACGTGCAAACACGCGCAACATTTTAAATTCGGTTTGGGTTGTTTACCTTTTCGTTCGCGATAACTCTTAAAAGAAGAGCGTCCTGTGTGGGCGCGGATTCTGCATGTATGCACTCGACGTTATAAGTTTTTCGACTTTCCCATAACCTATCGCACCGTGAACGTGTCCCGTCCTCGCTGACAATAGATAATACGGTGTCCTTTTGGAGTTTATTCAGTCAGCGACGTTTTCCTCGAAAGCAACGTGACAATCATCTTGATCGCCGGTTGTAGAAGTCGCAATTTCTCTTTACTCGTGAGTTTTTCTCCTTTTACCACCGGCACCAGTCGCCGCACTAATACACGTGCTGTGCTTGCAGTGTTTGTAATACACTCGCGTGTACGTGGTGTTGCGCGAACACGTGCCGACTGACAACTCTCTGACTCTTTACGACAGACCGGCTGTATATACATAGAAGGACTCGCACCGTTTGTCTTTACGGTCGCACGTCCGAATCACACGAAATCCCGATTCCTACTGACGGATCGTCGAACGAACTCCCTTTACTTACGCTCTTCGGAGCGTATACTGTTCGCTCCGTAAGTAAGCGTAAAACGCGAATCGCCGGCCGGCAACAAACACACACACACACACACAAAACCAGTGCGACACGCAGTAAAGTGCACGGGAGCAGCGCACTCTGCTTACGCGTGCTGCAACTGAAAAACTTGTTTAAAATCCAATGATAACACATTCGTTATTTGTACAATTGATGACGCGCCGTAATTAATTATAATGATTTGTTTTTATTAATTATTATATTAGTGTAATTTATTATAAAATCGACGACGCGCGCGAATAGCGATATTTACTTTCCCTCTTGGCGATGCAGAAGGAATTAGGTGGATGTTATTTATATGTACACCTAGAATAGATACAAAAAAAAAAAAAAATTGGAATATTTTGTGTATGTATGTGTGTGTGTATGCATGTTTACGAATTGAGACAAATATTGTTAAATTTCAAAGCAAAAAATATAAAATTTTGTTCCAGATCTTAGTAGGTTCGATAGTAGGATGTTGAAGATGTAAATGGATGTTTGTTTACATACATTTGTTTTTGGAGAAAAAACATTTATATATTATCTGAGTAATATATAATATGTATTAGAGTACTTAACACACACATAGATATACATAGATATATATATATATAGATAGATATCTACATTTGAATTACTTATCTATCGCTTAACTGCTTTTAAATTTGTTGCGGCCAATGAGATAAAAATCTCAATCTAATGCCACTTATAAGAACACTTGAGACTTTAAGAATACTTAAACGATGACTCATCCCGCGAATATCTTGAACGTATCACACCTACGCGTGATTATGCGAAGACTTACGTGTTCGATCTTGCATCAACTTTGTACGTTACCGCTAACGTGCGCGCACTTGTTCTCGGGGTTTTTTGCCACATCTACATGCAGTTCTCGAAACGTCATACAATCCACGTGGACCGTAAATAATATATAAATTAACATTATTCCGTGTGATTTCTCACATTACTTAAAAATATAAAAACAGAAAAAATTAATGTTTAAAAATGAACGTGCAAATTAACGTTCTTTCTTCTTGATTTTGTATTCATATATATGTACATGCGAAATAAAATTGTTTTTTTACACACATCTTATTAAACATACAAAAAATTTAAACGTATTATTCGTATCACCTTCCGTTGTTTTTTGTTGTTCATGTCCGATTAATTGTCGTTAAAACCGCTGAACACGAGTTCGATTGCGGCCTGCACATCGCCGTTGGTAAACTGCAACGCCTGAATGTTCACCGTATCGTCTAGGAGACCTATTTCGTGCATTTGTCCCAATTGTCTGTCTAGATCGGTGAGCGGAGACGAGAACGGCGGTAATACGGGCGACAGGGAACCCACCGATACCGACGCGGATGTTTGTTGTGGATTCGAATTCGTTGCCAGCGCGGCTTGTCTCATCGCGTCCATAAACATCTGCGTCGTAATGACACCGGTGCTCTGGTTGCTGGCCGCGGGTTGATTGGCGCTGCTGGACGTCGAGGATGGCGCGTTGTCGTTCACGGGATGTGTAGCGAAGAACTGCGCGATGTCACGTGCCATTTCCTCTTCCAGAGTCATGTTGTCTACGCTGTAGGAACGCGCGGTAGTGGGTTGCAAGCTGGAGAGCGAGCTGCTGGAAGACCCGCTGGACGTTGCATTATGCGCTTCCTCATGCACAGCTGCTATTACGTTCTGCGCCGCATCGATTAACGTTGGATGCAATGCCGCGATTCTAAATACAAACAAAACATATACTTGAAAAAATCTTTTTTATATTAATACATATATATAGAAAAATATAATTTATAAAAAGTAGATGAATATATAAAAAGTTTTCTGAGAGAGATTCTTTTGACTAACTTTTTAACAGTATCAACATCCGTGAAGTGTGACATCAAATCAGGATCTTGTAATATGGCAATGGCAACAGCATCTTTGTGTAATCCAGGAGACGATAAGATAATATTGTCTACTACTTCTGGCCTTTTAATTATACGCTAAAACATTTAAAATTTTTTTATGTATACAATTTCTATACTTATAATAATGCACTGTATAATTAAAAAAAAATCAAAACACATATGTATATATAAAGAACAATTACATGCAGAGCGCTTCTGAAAGCAGGAGTCACATTGAAAGACTTGAACGCTATAGCTAGCTGCAAAATACAATCTTCTGATATATATTTCTTTGCTATTGGTGCTGCAAATTCTTCCCTTTGTAGCGCATGTATCATTGATCCGCTCTTCAGTCCGATAGATTCTACAGTTGCGTCATCTTCGAGTATGACTCCACAGTAAATAAAGTCTGACAAGAAAACAAATCACATAAGTTGATGCTCCTTTAATCAAATTCTTACACATTACACACACTTATGTTAAATATTTAATACACATACGAAGTTAATACTACATATTTTGATTCTATAAAAGATTTATAAGCGTTTAAAGCATGTGTCATTCTTCGAAAATTTGCAAGATTTTATATAATACTTTTTATATGTAAGAGTTAGAAGAATAAAACTAAAACTGTCAAAGAAGAAACAAACTCGAGTTCAAATACGAGTCCTCAAGTACAACGCTAGGTGATTTTACCTAAAGAATTTTTGGGTACGTTCCATTTCCGCGCAGCTTCTTGTTTCAATTCTTCCACTCTTGTTTTCAAAGTAATACCGTTCAACGTAATCGGCATCGCCATCTCCGAATTTATTTGCAGTCCGAGTAGTAGTTCCATAGTCATCATACTTAAACAAATTGGCACAATGCTGCACACAAGTGCTGTAAACTGTTAATTTATCAATTTTATTCTTTTCTATCTGCAAATCTTTGGAATATATATAAATTTCTTTCACGGAAAAGTATATTCTTCAGACACTACAAAGATACAACACAAATATCTAAAGATCAAAATAGATCGAGAGCATGACTTTTCCATGGTTTGGTTTGGTGCATTTAGGGTACGTTCCTACTTTGTTAACCAAAATCTATAGTACAAGTAACGTGAAATATAGTATTTTAGTAACCGAGGTAGGATTTTGGAACGTATCCCTGAGTGGTTCTTTACCATAGCAAAGAGAAGACTGAGAGCGATCAAGTCCAAAAAAAAATGTGTAATCGCTCTTCCGCTCTAAGCCAGCGCAATGTCCATGGGTGGTGCACATTGGCAACTACGTAGCCATGTTTATAAACGATTTGTCGGTACGTACGTTCGTGTTCAAACGGACATAGTTCTATTCCGTGCTATGTCCACAACGGTCACGTTTTTAAAGGTTTGGTTTGGTGCAGTTGTGGCTCAGTGGACCATTTGATTCACGTTTTTAAAGACTAGCACAACACAGGCGCGCGCTACGAACACGCTATTGTTATTTTTATTTAACGTGTTGTCAGTGAACACAACCTGTCACCGCGATGACAGATAGTATATACGTCTTATAAACCATATAATACACATATGAGAAATGTCAGAAATAACGCATGAAAATCAAAATCAAAAAATAGTGAGAGAGAGAAGTGGAAAAACAACACGTGACAGGAAAAAGGGTAAAAAAGAGAATATTATATATATTATATGTAATATTCTATATATAATACACACACATACGCATATATGTATATATATATATATGTACCGTAATCACGTGACCGAAGTCAGTACACCGCCGCGGTCGCGCGACCGAGGTCAGTGACTCCACCGCAGTCGCGTGACCGAGGTCATTGACTCCGCCCCCACCAAGGCCGCGCGCCCGCGGTCAGTGACCCCGCCCCCACCAAGGCCGCGCGCCCGCGGTCAGTGACCCCCCCCCACCAAGGCCGCGCGCCCGAGGTCAGTGACCCCCCCCCACCAAGGCCGCGCGGCCGAGGTCAGTGCCCCGCCAAGGCCGCGCGGCCGAGGTCAGTGACCCCGCCAAGGCCGCGCGGCCGAGGTCAATGACCCCGCCAAGGCCGCGCAACCGAGGTCAGTGACATTACTCTGTAGTATGTATATAATACATATAATACAATATAAAGTATAATATTATAAATATATAATAAATTATATGTATAATATGTGTATTATTTAATGTTATATATAATATAAATTACAGTCACGTTATTTTCACGTGTTGTTTTTTTACTCTTTCCTGTAGATATCGCACGGAATAGAACCATGTTCACGTTTGAACATAACGTATGTACCGACAAGTCGTTCGTGGATATGGCTACGTAGTTGCCAATGTGCACTATCCATTGCGCTGGCTTAAGGCGGAAAAGCGTAAACAGCAAAAGTGAACCGTGGCTGCTCTCAGTCTTCTCTGTGTTTTTAAATTGATATACATATATATTTAATGTATACATGTATATGTATATTCGCCGCCAAGTCTATCAAACCGCTATGCTGTGCGAGGTTGACAGTATGAGCGGCGCGATTTCTGACAGCTGACAGCGAAAGAGCGTCCCTATGATGCCAGGTGATACGCCACTCTGATTCCCAAGTTATAGATTGAATTTGAGCAGAGAGATGCAAGGCATTTGCGAGAACATTCGCACGGCGATCGAATACGGACGTACTGACATTATCAGGTCGCTTTTAGACGCGTGTACGTAAAATGTCGATATGTGCGATACTTTTTGTTGTGATGTAAATATGTGTTTTTATTGGTAAACACAAATATTACACATCAATTTTCTTGTATTATCATTATTATGTATGTCCAATTTTAAATTTTTTAATTTACGTTGGCTTGGTTTTTTTTCCAGGTGAAAATGGTAATGTAACGGATGGTATTACAAAAGATAAGATACTGAACCAACCGGTCTTGGAAGAAGGAACTTTTTTATCATACGCTTCTAAGGTTTGCAGTGTAGTCTTCTAATTTTGTGATTTTTTTGTATTATGATTTTTCTAGTTCTAATTTTTATGTCACAGACCAATCAAGCAGATATTGTGCGAACTCTCTTGAGCTGTGGTGCTGATCCAGCTGTTCAGAATGCAAATGGGCATAATGCAGTTGATGTTGCCTCAAGCGATGCAATAAGACGAATATACATAGAGGAACTCTTGCGAGCAACAGCTGCTTCTGAGTATGTAAATATTTTTACAATTGGTTTTGAGATGATCTCTCTTTAACACAACAAGATACATTAAGATGCATTGATTGTATCATTTGTGTTTTAATTGACATTACAAAGGACATTTTTTACAGAGTAGACAGAGTAGTGCAGTTGTTAGACGCAGGATTGGATGTTAATTCATGGGACTCGCCAGATAGTAAAAACACACCTTTGCACTGGGCAGCGTGTTATGGGAATAAAGAAATTATCACATGTTTACTTGGTAACACATGCATATTTTAGTTTCCATGTTGGATCTAACAATAATAACTTATTATTGGGATTTATTTGCATAGATAAGGGAGCCAATGTAAACGCTGAGAATGGCTGTGGCGCAACACCGTTACATGATGCGGTAAATCGCGGCAATGTGTCCATTTGTCAGGCATTGTTACAGGCTGGTGCGAATCCTCTCGTACGAGCTACCAAAGGGTGAGTTATTGTTGTCTTTTTCACGTGTGTATATAACAAGCGTACTAAAAAGCAATTTTTCTCTTTCAGAACATTCACAGGAAAAACACCGTACGATCTGTCCAGAAAGAAACAATCTTTACATTGTCTCGTGCAGAAGTTCGTGTCGAACTTTATGTTGAACGAGAACGAAACGATGCACAGTCCTGCAACGTCATACACAGAGACAAACTTTTGTCAGAAGAATCTCGTGAACAACATGAGCCAATTATCAATCGAATCTAATAAGTCTTCGGATCCGATGTACGATGTGCCTTTGCGTGATACGGGCAAGGAGAGTCCGAATAAATGTAGCGCCGACAAAGGAAGTATCTACAGTTTATTGTGGCCGCAACCAAAGGCTATAATTGAATTAAAAAACTTTACGGCGCCATTTATGGCCGGAAAAGAGCTTCTTATATCAATAATTCAGGTAACATTTGTATCTCTCTCAAAAATATCAGATATTTAATCTTATATCTAGTTTTGTATTGGTTTTATATTTTGTTGTTCTTAAGCGGATCCTACCGTGCGTGTGTATAAATGTAAGTACCAATTATTTTATAGGGCAGTGAATCTGTACATAGAATATTAGACGTATGGGAGGTCAGTAGAACTCATTTACTGGAACTGGGTCATGACGTGAAGATCGGCGAGGTGCAACCCAGTTGCAGCAAACTTCTCAACGACAATACAATAGAGTGTATCGTGAATAAGAGCTTATTTAATAACGCAGACGGCTATCAATTGCATATTACGCAAAACTCGGTCAAAGTTAGCGCCGGCAGTTTGGCGGGGTTGCATTATGCCGTCTGCACATTCGTACAGATTCTACGTCTGAGCAAGAACCAGAGTAGTTCGGAAGTAATCGAGATCGAGCCCGTTCTTATAAAAGACGAGCCAAAGTTCTCGCATCGCGCTATATTGTTGGATATTTCGCCCAGAGGACGCATACCGACCTTAGATTATCTGCTGCATACCATAGACTTGCTCTCGTCGTTTAAGATCTCGCATTTACACCTGTTCTCCAGACTCATACCTAACTGTGATTGGCAGCTTTGTTATTCGAAGTCCGAAATGGTGACTCTGGATAGATACTGCAGGTATGCTTTATAGATGATTACATCATCTATAAAGTTGAGTGAACAATTGCTAAAACCGACGAATTTTTTCAGAGATCGTCATTTAGACATAGTTCCGACACTAGATGTCGATTCTAACGTCGGTCAGCATCATCTGGCGCAGATGTGGCCTATATTTCAAGAATTGCTCGCAGTATTTCCTAGTTTAAATTACGTTCACGTCGGTCCGCGATTAGCCAGTTTATTAGTGCAGCCCGACAACTTCGATTTGAACGTATCTATCAGTGAAACAATCGAAACAGACATGTCGGAAGTATTCAAGTCGTATTCGTGTCTTCAAGAACTCTGGCATGTTCTCAACCTGAGCTCGAGCACGACTCTGTTATTGTGTTCCAACGGTTTACATTCCAAACCCGACTTTCACAATATTCCGAACAATATTATTCTCGTCGAGTATGGATTTCAGGTAACATTGAAGTTTCTCCAATAGTTTTTAGCGATGTATTTACAGCAAGATGAATATCTTGCACAAAATGCGCGCGACATTTAATAATATAAAAATCTGTTGCAGACTGATTATGATTTTTCTGAATGGACGGAAGCATTTAGGTTGGCGGGTGGCAATGTTCTGCCAAGTTCCGGCACAGCTAGTTATAATAGTTTAGCGGGATGTCCGGCGTCAACGTATGCCAACACAAGAAACGCGATAAAAACTTCTTTAGAACAGAACTCGATCGGAATTGTTGTCTCGCATTGGTCGGGCAGCCATCACCTCACACCACATCCTTTCGCGTGGATCGGTTATCTGGTAGCGGCTGGTTTAGCGTGGAATCCACTGACTGAAATAGATTTAGATCCCGACGATAATTATGATGTTCCTGAATTGTGTGCATCAGTTAGGTAACAATTGACTTTAATCGTTTTTTTTTTTTTTTTTTCATTTACGTTATTGTACATCGTATATCTAAAATGTTGAAGTTTGTTTTACAGGGAAAAATGTATTACAAAATTATTAGACATACACGTGTTTCAAGATTCGGAATATAAAATTGGTAGTGCGATATTGGAACTGGGACGTCTGGATACGCTGGTATTAACTTTAAGTAAAAATCAAGCTATTAAAGACCTACAACAAATACCCGATAATCGCGGATCCACATTATACAGACTGTTGACCGATCCGGATAACGTAAACTTGGAATATCTTTCGGCTGATCTGTTTGCCGTAAGTAAATTTATTTATTCAGTTCTGAAATATATGATAAGATACAATCTGTGTAACAGATGTGGAATGCTTTGCTCTTTGCGTATTTGCAGAAACTGACAAAGCAGATCAAGCGGATATCTCACTCCTTGTACGAGGCGAATCTATCTTCGAAGTTCGCATCGATGGAGATACAGGAACTGCAATTGACCTCTGATCTCATGTTGACTGCCTGTAAGATCGGCAGAACACTGATCGGAGTTGGCGTGAATCCGAACAGTAATATGGGCCTCGCGGTTATCAATCTGGGAGTGTGCAACTTGCCACCGATTTTCCGAACCGACATAGCAAACAAGATGTTGGCTCACATAGAGCAATACAAAGGGTCCTGGCTGCAAAGACACTTGCCACAGGGTCTTCAAAGCTCCTTGTTAGTCCTAACTAGCGCACTACATAGATTTGTGCCAGAAACGTAAATTTTTTTCTAACCAGATTTTATTTAAATCCAAGTATCCTGAGGAATATAAACGTTTAAAGATATTTCTGCCAATGTGTTTTTAGACTTTTGTATTGTTTATGATGGTTTAAAAAACCCGCGCATGTACATGCAAGAAATAAACTATAATATAACACGTGCAAGATTGTAGAGAAAATTTGAAGAGCAACTATGTTGAGAGCAATATGTACTTGTAACTTTGTATAATAGCGTATACAATATATATATCATATATTTGCTACAAGATATATCGTTTCTCGATGTCTGTCAAATAGCAAGAAGAAAAATAACAGCTTTGTTATAAAAACAATTTTGTTTAAGCGATATTATATAAAGAAAATGTTCCTTTTTTATCAAATACAAAAATATTGATTTAATTATTACGCTTATTGTCTATTGTATGATAATCTTATCAAGCCATTGTTATTGATATAAATAACTAAACATTGTTTACTTGAGTATATCATTTTATTTTCATACGGACGTATGTGCAAATGCAGATTTCAAAATTGTTTTGCATTGAACTCTAATGTACATATATATATATATTTTTTATAATACAGATATACACAGATTTGATACAATATCGTAACATCATACATATATATATATAAATATAAATATAAATTACATACAATAAATAAGTATCTTTCAATTTATGTAATATATAATTATTGCAATAAATAACTTGAAAAGTTTTTCATCGTACAGAAACACACATGGAAGCTTTATTTTTTATATACAATATTATCTTACATTATCTCAAAAGACTACATTATCTGAGGACTTGTGTTTTGCAGGGAACTAAACTCTCAGCATCTAATCTTCTAGCATAGTAGGAATTTGAGTTTAGGTTTAGGTGTGACTAAATTTTATGACACGGAACGTAATTATCTTACGAAGCAATAGAAGTGCGAACGATATTCTAAATACGCATGCCAAAACCGTTATTGCCATAAAGTGAAAAAAAAAAAACTCAACGCAACTCTACATTAATTGAAATTTGGGTTTTACAATTCTACGTTGAAATTGATTTCTATATTAGTACGCATATTTATGTAGCGGTTCTATTTTTGTTTATTGTTTATAGTGCTTTTCACATTTTTAACTTTTATTTAAATATTTTCCTTAAAAAAATATAAAGCTGAACATTTAAACAAACTTTTTGTTATCAATTGCGTTCATTTAACGATATAGCATCGTTGTTTATTAGATTGTTTTTGTTTTGTTGACTCCATCCACCCATTTCCAAATCTTGCTTGTGAAGCATTTCCCTCTCAAGCTTCTGTAGTCTGTAAAATTCATTGATTTCAAATTGATACTTGGGCGCCGTTATGCCAAAGAAGTTTGCCAAACACTCCCCAACATAATCGCAGCCGTCTAACATTTTCGAACTAATCGTTGTCGTCTGATGCCACGCCCATGGTAACCAATTCATATTTTTCTACAAAATAATATGTGTGTGTGCGTGTGTGTCATATTTACATATTCTAAAAACTAATTTTATGTGATCTAATTACAGTATCTATTTGCACTACGGATTTCTCAGGTTTTGGTGCGTCAATCTCATCTTCGGATGAATATTCCTCCAATATACCATCGGAAAATTGTAACACTCTTTTTGGTTTCTTGCTTAATTTATGTTTGCACTGTATATGAAAATATTGTTTAAAAAATTAAACAATTAAAGTACGTACAAACAAGTAATGTGCAATGGTTTATATAAACTTTACATAAAACTGTTCTACGTGTGAAAAAGTTTTGATGTAAACTAAGCTCTAATTAAATTATTTAATAATAAAGTATAAAAAAATAAATCTCAAACCAAACTACTAAGTGTATACATATACATATATAGAGAACGGGAAATAGAAATAATAAAAACTCACATTTATAATTTTCAGCATATGGTTTCTTATCGAAGTAATTTAATCGGTTGATCGATTTAAATGACATAAAAACTTATTTTAAAAAATGTTCTTTGCACAATTAAAGGTTAAGTGAGAGACAAAATAGTTTTCATATCTATATATCAGCATTACTTACCTGAGTTTCGGTGTCCGAGCTTTCTTGCAGCGCGACATCGCTTAGGTCGCAAGCGTCGTCCTTTTCGGCTGGCATTGTTGGTCGTATCTTGCAGTAAACAAAACCTTTTCGTCGGTTCTTGACAATCCTCGATAACGTGCTGAACAAGCTTCCCCTCTCCTTTTGCTCGGCATTTAAATGACTCGCTTGAAATGAACGATGACGAAAAGCAAACGATCGCGTCGACTGGCATCCTATTGGTAGTTTTTCCGTTACGTCGTCAAACGAAGACATGCTCGCAATGCGTAGAAAATTGTTTTGAAATATATCTCTTCTCTCGCACGCGAAAATTTCATCCTGCAATTGATTTTACGCGAATTCTTCTTTTCCTTTCTTTTTAATTCATTCGATGACTGCATCGTGCATGCGCAGATGCAAACGACATAAACGGCCGAGTAACGATAAGATTGGGTTGAAAAAAGAGATTTTTAAATAAATAACATTCCTTGTAGAAACAGATATAATAGTTTCCAATATTTACTTTGCGTGATAATCATAATCTTAATTTTCTTGAGAAGTAAAAAATGAGAAAGAGACAAGTAGGTAGTCTTATTTAAATGTAATGTGGTGTGTATATATACATATATATATACATATTGTGTAAAATGTGAGTGTTATAATTTCCGATTAAAACAATCTAATTAAACTATAATGATGCATAGTACTATTATAAAGAGAAAGAGAGAGAGAGAGAGAGAGAGAGAGAGAAAGAGAGAAAGAGAGAAGATAGTACAACGGTCGATAAAATCAACTGTATCATGGTTCGTATCGCTCTGAACTCTTATTGGTCGGCAGTTACGATCCTGAGTGAGAATCGACTCTCGATTGCTCGAGTTAAATCAGAATGAACATGACCGAACCCCATTCCGATAGCTGATGTCGCCCCATGGCGACGTCCCAGCGATCGACGATGGTCCCAGACTTCAGACCACATCAGAAATCCGTGTGAAATGCGACAGAGCGGTTGAACTGTGGATGAGCCGTGTCAGATCTTGAAGAGTGAAGTTTCTGCGGTGCCTTGTGTGCATTAATATCTGTGAGTTTTGCCATCGTTGTGGAGCGTCCACAACACGAACGGTCCTTTAAAAAACTATGTGAGCGCGAGTATCGTGTTTCGAGACTTTTGTCGCCCAAGTGACGAAGATTGATCACCGTCATCATGTTTCATCACGAGTACGAGAAACGGCTGGTGAAGCCGATCACAACCGGAATAACAGGCGGCGATGGCAGCCCGAATATCGTACCTAACAGTTACTTCTCGCCGTCCGCCTATTTCTCGCCCACAAAGACGTCAACGTGCAACAACAGCTACGACCGTTTTATACCCACCCGCTCAGGCAACAACTGGCAAACCACGTTTTCGATGATCAGCGAGAACAGCAGAAGCGGCCTGGTGGCGAAGAAGACTCGAGAAAACGGCGAGGGTAATCGCGACGGTATTGCGTACTCCTGTTTGCTAAAGAACGAACTGCTCGGCGCGAGCATAGAAGACGTCAAGTGCCCGTGCGAAGAACGCAGAGTGCTGTCACCGTTGGTAACCAAGAACCTATTCAAGTATACCACACCTACCAAGGATCGCAGTTTGCTCGATCAGAGCTCGCCGTATTCCTTGTCACCTCTCAGTGCTAAGAGTCAGAAATTACTGAGATCACCTAGAAAGGCAACTAGAAAGATTTCAAGAATACCCTTCAAAGTTCTAGATGCCCCAGAACTGCAGGATGACTTTTATCTGAATCTAGTTGACTGGTCTTCTCAGAATGTACTCAGTGTGGGTCTGGGAAGCTGTGTCTATTTATGGTCAGCATGCACCAGTCAAGTAACAAGATTATGTGACCTCTCTAATGACGGTAATAGTGTCACTTCTGTTGCCTGGAACGAACGTGGTAATCTGGTCGCGGTGGGCACGCATATGGGTTATATACAAGTGTGGGATGTTTCTGTCAACAAACAGGTAAGCAAGTTGCAAGGTCACAGCGCTCGAGTGGGAGCCTTGGCCTGGAACACGGAGGTTCTTTCATCCGGTAGCAGGGACAGACTTATTCTTCAAAGAGATGTCAGAATACCGTGCGTGGTCGGGGAACGACGTCTCAGTGCTCATCGACAAGAAGTGTGCGGACTGAAATGGTCCCCGGACAATCAGTATTTGGCATCAGGTGGCAACGACAACCGGCTGTATGTATGGAATCTGCACTCTCTATCGCCTGTTCAGACGTACACCGAACATCTGGCGGCCGTTAAGGCGATCGCCTGGTCGCCCCATCATCACGGATTGCTCGCATCAGGCGGTGGCACTGCCGATCGCTGCATTCGCTTCTGGAACACCCTGACTGGTCAACCCATGCAGTGCGTCGACACCGGTTCGCAGGTTTGCAATTTGGCGTGGAGCAAACACAGCTCGGAGCTAGTCAGCACTCACGGCTACTCGCAGAATCAGATCCTCGTGTGGAAATATCCGAGCCTGACGCAGGTGGCCAAACTCACGGGTCATTCGTACCGGGTGCTCTACCTGGCGATGTCGCCGGACGGCGAGGCAATTGTCACGGGCGCCGGCGACGAGACTCTCCGTTTCTGGAACGTCTTCAGCAAGGCACGCAGCCAGAAAGAGAACAAATCTGTTCTGAATTTGTTTACCAGTATTCGGTAAACAAATCGGATCGAATTGTAGACCGGAGAATCGAATTTTGTCTTTTTATTATGTACATACGCCTAACATATATACATCATTGTCACCCAAAAAAATAACAATGGCACTCTAAACAGATGATCATTATATATTATAATATATAATATATACGTAGAGAAACGTACTGATATATAGCTGCGCTGGTAATGTTAAAGAAAAGGATATTTAGAGAATGACAGGTCAGAATTTATATAGAGTTAAGAAACTGCGTGACATTCTCAACGTAGGATAAGTTTCGCGGTCTTGTCTTCTTACACGCAGCCTCTGCAATATAGATATGTACGTTGAGTATTTCGGTGTGCAATATTCGTTGTTTCGGTCTCTGGGTGAGAAAAGGATAGAGAAAAAAATTGTGTATCCCAGAGATTTATAGCTGCGAGGTACATTTTACACTTTGTATACACTTTATATATATATATATGTATGTATACACTTATTTTTATATATTGTCGCTACATGATCATGGCTGATTTTACAGAGTGTCCTGGGAATTTGTAAATGTAACATTACAGACGAATCTGGTGTCGATTTTTGTAAATTACGTTATATGGCATATCTTCGAATTGTGAGATTGAGCTTTTGAGACTTAAAATAATCATTAAAAAAAAACTATAAAAAATGTTAATTGTTATATACAAATCGAATCGTTGTTTAGATGGTGTTTTTATGTGAGTAGAAGATCCAAATTAAAAATCAATGATTACAATGTATCGAAATTGTTACAAATCGGTTTTTTGAAAGTAATCACGAAGGTGTGCATGTTTTTTTCCTAAACAAAAGTGTCGTCTAAGTAAGATCTTTTGCGAATACTGGATTTTCCTTCGTGTATATTTGAAATTATTGCGAATTGTTTCTAGAATTTAGAAGACTCAGATTTAACTTTCGAATCTCTTAAAATTGTTAATTATACTATATAAAATATATTTATATGCTATACATGTACTATATATACTATATATAATTTATTTAAATGTGTATATATTATATTATAGTGTTTAAGATTGAGTAAATTTCGGTTTTTTCAAGTAGCGCAGAATATATATGTAAGGTTTAATGACGACTGAAGCTTTTTCTCTCCAAAAAAATCTAGCCCAGAATTTTTCAAACATCTTCAATAAAACTTAATTCAGGACACTCTGTATAACGCCTTTGTGCGTTTTTTCATATTATATCTTGTACTATATAAATTGTGCTGCAACATATTTTGTGTACGATCTATATTTTTTTTTGCTGCACTTTTGATATATCTTCAAGAATTTCTACTCAATTCGTAGCGATAATGATGTATTTTGTAATTTTTTTTTTTTTTTTTTTGTAAGTTTTACGATTACCATATACCCCGTTTCGAGAACGTATTTGATCATTTGTAACTGTTTTTCTTTCGATATATACGTTCTGCGTATCCTCTCGGTGATATTTCCGGGCTGATAAATCGATGAACTCTCGGTGAAGAGAAGAACTGTTTAAGTCCTAAAAGAGGGCAATGTGTATCTTATATAAAAATTTTTTTACTGACTTTAAATAAAAGAACTATCGATGTGTGCACTCGATTTTGAATCGTATAATTCATATTAATTTAAAAAAAAAAAATTGCGTGTGCCTATATATTATTTATGTAACTTACGCTCGGAAAAAAAAAACTGTACAAATTTTGAGTTGATTTAATCTAGGCGCTCTATTAACAAAGAAAGATATATTTAATATATACGTACGTTTAAGATTAGACCTTAGTGTAACAAAGCAACGACATAGAAATATTAAATAAAGATATATATATATACATATATATTATAATCAGAAGGTGTGTAATCTTCAAATTGTTTTTTTGTTTTTACTATTTTGTTCACGAATCGCCATTTATATCGAATGTGAATGTAAAAAGTGATGTCGCGTTATATGCGCATTATGTTAGTAACATGGTTTACATATATACACAGACACACACATATATATATAATAGAATATAAAGTAAATAATAATAGAAAAGTAGATATGTAAAAAAAGTACACAATATATTTTTATATGTGTAAAAACACAATATGAACTATTACATATATCACACTTGTTACAGAAACGTCGGGATACGTTGAATAAATTCGAAGATGCTTACTTTGCTTTTTATATCGGAAAGATAACACGTCCCTCTAACGTTCCTAATTTTCTTTTTCCTAAAAACTGTTATCTCAAAAATTATTTTTTTATGATAAATTATTTTTTGTGTTATCCGAAACTGAAATACGATACAAACTAAACGAGACAAGTCAGACACAAAACGCTTTTGATCCGATTAAAGAGATATCGGGTTTAAAATCTTTTAACGCATTGTGTTAGCAAGAGCATAACATGTGATTTTTTCTAAAAAGATTTTGCATTGCACAAATCATTGCGCAGACAAAATAAATAGCGCTGCGAACCGAAACGTTAACGATAACTAAGTTGTTATTAGAAGTTTACAGACCAAGATAATGAAATTTTATCACGAGATCTCTTCGGTATCGGTTTGACATATATCGCTGTTTAACGAACGTTACGATCTGGTAATATATTGGTGTACTGTCTGGATTGGAATATCGGAGGTGATACGTGTTACGGAGCAGGAAAATACATGGCCAAGCAAAATTCAACAACGCGTATCCAGATGTTTCTGTATACGTTGTTAAGATTAAATGTGTACACACAGGCTTATGACGCTTCGTCACTTGATTCACAAACAACTATTACGAATCAGAGAAAGGCGCGTCGGAAGTGAAAACATTGCAAGTCATAGCACCATAATTCTCTGTACATACGTGCATCGCATGCGACAGGATTCACCTGGCACGTGTGTCAGAGGAAGTTTCCATGCGCTCAACTTCCGTTTCTTAAAAACAACAAAAAGTTTAAACTATAAGTGAGGATATTTTCTGTTAAATTTTTTTGCAGTTAAGACATAAAAATTCTTATTTTCTATATTGAAACAGTATGAAAGAAAAAATGTGCGCGTACGTGTAACAGCGAAATGAGAAATGTGTCAGATATAAGTTTGCAAAAGGAATAAAAGAATTATGAAAATTAAATATAATAAGAGTACGTATTATTAATTTTATCCACACTTCTCTTAGATGAAAAAAAAAAAAACTTAATTTACAATAAAATGTGTATAAAATAAAGTACGATGTGATCTTTCATTGGGGCTTGAGAGTTGGTGTCCCTATATGAATAAATACTGTACTTGGTATTTTTCTCTGGAGAAAGATTGGAGGATTTACCAGAAATATATAAAACTAATTTCATTTATTTATATATTTTCTTTTTTAAAAACCAAACTTGATTAATAATTGCGACATTAGTACGTATGCTTGTGTTCTCTTCGTAAAACAATTTAATTTGTATTTATCATCTAAACGCAATCGTTGATTCAGCGAAAACTAAATGAGAGATTGCATTTTCCATGTAGAAGACAATTTTCAAATAAACTATCAATTAAGTTAAAAAAAAATTACACGATTATATAAATTTTTTTGACTTGCGCTTATCTTTTCATTTTCTGATGTTTCATTTATGGCGCACAATGTGTACAGACTTTCAGGCCTTAGGTTCTTTTGATTTCTTCTTTTTCTTTTTTTTCTTTGGCTCGCCGAATGACTGCTCGTGTTGTGAATCCGTGCCTTCCATTGTAGTCTCTTGCTCTGTGCTCTGCGATAATAAGGACGAATCTATTTCTTCTTGTGATTTTTCTTGTAAAGAAGATTCACCCGCTGAACTGTGCTTCCTTTTTTTCTTTTTTACCAACGGACTTGGTGACAAAAACATCGATTCTGAACTCTCTTCTATTTTTTTCTTCTTCAATACATCATCTGACTTTTCTTGCTTATCACTACTAGACGATTCTCCTACAAGCTCCAAACTATGTTTCTTCTTCTTTTTTGGTTTGGACAACGACACATCTGCTTCTTTTTCTTCTTCTTTTACCTTTATTTCTGTGATAGACTCGCTTGCGTCTGATGTACGCTCCAAACTATGTTTCTTCTTCTTTTTTGTTTTAGACGACGCATCTGCTTCTTTTTCTTGTACTTTTACTTGCGTGCCAGAAGACTCGCCTGCATCTGATGTATGCTTCAAACTGTGTTTCTTTTCTTTTGTTTTGGACAATGACACATCAGCTTCTTCTTTTACTTCTACTTGCGTGCCGGAAGACTCACCTACGTCTGATGCACGTTCCAAACTATGTTTCTTTTTCTTTTTCGTTTTGGGCAACGACACATCAGCTTCTTCTTTTATCTCTACTTGTGAGCCAGAAGACTCGCTTGAGTCTGATGAACTGTGTTTCTTCTTCTTTTTTGTTTTGGACGACACATCGGCTTCTTCTTTTACTGTTACTTGCGTGCCTGAGGACTCGCCGGCGCTTGGTGCATGCTCCAAACTGTGTTTCTTAGTTTTCTTTTTTTTCTCTTCTGTTCTGTGTTCTTCCGTTGTTGATTCAAGCTTTGTCGGCAGAGTCGAATCAACGGACACAGAATACTGCATATGTTCTTGGTTGGAATGATATTTCTCAAACTTGGCTCTTGCTTTGACAGTGCCGCTTAACCTTGAGTTACGACGTGTCCCGTCTAAGAATCTTAGTCGCTGCTCCAATTTCTCTAAGTGTTTCTCTCCAAGTTCGGAGGATGTCTCTTCTCCCAACGCGTCGAATCTCGTTGCCAGAGCGGCTTTTGCTGCCAACATCCTGGACGCCTTGCCTTTATTCTTAACAGTCGTCGACGAAACCAAATGTGTGTGATAGATCAATCCGTACTTAGGCGTGTTCTTCCTCGCTTTAAGCGCACGGAAAAGCGCCTTTTCCGCGCCAAGAATCTGCAAAGTGGACGCTGGATGTTTGGCGAGATTTTTCAGCGAACCGGCCTTCGAGATTAGACGTGCACCGACAATATCGCCAACAAGAATCGTTAAATTTGGCGCCAAAGACATCATTCTCACTGTTAAGTATGATTTCAAATCGGCTCGATACTGATCGAGTTCTAATATTTCGCCACACAAGATCCTCATGTGTTCGGCATCGTACTCTGTGATCTCAGATCCCATAGAAGTCTCGGCGGCTTCTTTTACTTCTTTCAGAATGTCCTCCGATAGAAATTCCGATAGATCGCACGTAGTCACATTGTCGCGTAAACCCATGACCTTCATCGTCTTTATATATGACATATTATCCTTCACTATCTTACCCAATTCGGGAAAGTGCCATCCAAACCATTCGCGTGCTCTCATTATATAATTGTTTATTTGCTTGTCCAGATCGTCTAGTACGCATATCGACTGTATCACCATTGTGTCGATCTTCTCGGAGGAAAACTTTATCTTATATCTCGATAAACTATGCGCTAGACCTAATCTCATTGCTGTCATCTCTCTCTCATTTACGTTATCCAAAAAACTATGCAGTTGAAATCTAACACATCTCATTAACTCCTGGATCGGTGAGGTAGCAATGCAGGAGAAATTTAATTTTTCTGCGATGGCTTTGCCTAATTTTATATCAGCAACCGCCAATTTTTGTTTCTCGGAGTGCAGATTACATTTCTTAAGAGTCTTTTTTAACAACTTTGATAATTTACCTTCCAAAAGTGCTCTGCTAGCTTCTAAAGCTACAGTAGTATTGTCAAATCTTTCAAAATGCGTTAACTTTAATCTGTAAAAAACCAGAGTATTGAATAAGTTGTAATGATTAAATAATCACTCATGTAAAATAAAAACAATAAATACATAAAATACATAAAATAAACCAAACAAAAAACAGTAAAAAAATTTCATATTCTTAAAAAAAAAACTTTAATTTTAACTAAGAATGAAGAGGCCACTAAGAGCCATCTAAATAGGCCAATACGAGCCATTCCCAGGATGTTGTGCAGGAATAAGCGTGCATGTGTATATATATATACACATGTATGAAAATTCACATGTAAATTATTTTTACATGTGGGTTTTTTGAATTGAATTTTCAATTCATAAAATCATATAGGATGCTAGATTTGCATCTCGTATATGAAAGATCCCAAATACCCCCCTAACTAATTTTTTTTAATTTTAGGCATGTAAGTTTTAAGTGTTAATCTATTTAAAATGATATCAATAGCTTTTTTATGAACATCTAACAAGATACGCTTGTGTAATCTTGAACATACACACATACTTGTAACAGATGCTGTATCTAATGCTCTTATTAATTTTTTTAGATATAAATAAATTTTAAATTTAAAATAAGTTATAACATTTTGAATACAGTTCTAGAAATTTGTGTAAAAATTATAAACTTTCCACAAATCAAAGAAACAAATAATATTTACTTTTCTTTGAGGGCTTCTAAAGTGCTAAAGTCCGAATACACATTTTCTATTCTTTCGAGTCTTTCTTCATCGCCCAGAAACTGAAAGCAAAAAAAAGTTCTCTGTTTTCATCCAATCCACGTGAGAAACAAAACTGTATACACGCGCTTGGTATGTTCGCAGTGCAAATTGACCACGTGGTCTTCGACCGAGATCACACTTGCTTTAAATTAACGGACGTTGTAACGGATATTGTTGTTGTATTTTAATTATCAACAAATGTTATGCGTGTGAGCAGTCACATTTACTTCAATATCAAAAACAAACAACGGATGTTGAGGTAAACTTTTAACGCAAATATGATCCCGGCCATAACCAACGCGGCACCGCCGCGTAGCACGTGATAAATGTTAGGTTAAATATTTTTACGATCGTGATTTTTACCTTAAATATTGCGAATCCCGCCGCTGTTTCAAGAAGCAACAACATGTTTGCACGGTCTTTACAATCTCTCGCTCGTAATAATTATCTTTGTATAACCAGAGAGAATCCTAAGATCGGCCAGGCCGCTCGACGAATTCCTGTGGTAGCAGAGAGAAAAGCCTGAGAGCCGGTGTTCCCAGTTTTAAAACGCTTACAGCACGCTGCGATGGAAGGAATGCGCACAAAGCAGCAAGTAAATGCTTGCCGATGTTGTGCGCATCCCCTCCATTTGCTGCTGCACGGTTTGGTTTTAGTGCACTTGGGGTCGATTGTGTATCACGAAGTCTAGTGAAAATCATAAAAGTGAGCAAATTTACTAGTTGTTGACCAATAAGATCATAGATATTTTAGTAAATTTGCTCACCTTTGTACTTTTCACTACACTGCGTGATACACAATCGACCCCTTGTGGCTCTTGGACCTGTGAAGGAAGGTTAGTTCATACGCCATACTTGCTGCTGAATGCTGCAAGCGTCTCAAAATTGGCATTTCTGCTGAGAGCGGCCAGGTCCATAACGCCCGTTTTCTCCATCTCTGATTAACTTAATCGACTGATTATTCCATTGGAATTGCCAGTCGTATTAATCGTTTAGTTAAAATGGACCAATCACGACTGATACTTAATTGCCGATTAAGTTAATCGGAGATGGTGAAAACGGGCGTAAGAGTTTCTGCGATAGTTCTAGATAGTTTCTAGATAGTTTCTAGATCGCAGCACGGAAAAGAACCGTAGACGGTGTGTACGCACTGACAAGTCGCTCGTGGACGTGGCTGCGTAGTTCCAATGTGCACCACTCGTGGAGTTTACAAGCGCTAGTTTACAGGACGGTTAAGCTATTGCAGAAATTCTTACGGGCCGCTCTCAGGCTTCTCTCTGTTCACAGGTTAGGTCAGTTTAAAAAAAAAGTCAGGGAATGGCGTATGGACTACCCTTCACGGTCCAAGAAACTACAAGTGCACCAAATCTTTAAAAGAAGTCAGCTGTTCTTGAAAAGGTACATTATGTAATCTTAAAATACAATAAATATATTATTGTGATGCGTGTGTTACAAATAATGCTCGTGATAACGAGTAGCGTTTCTCTTTAATAACATTTTTTGATGTTGACATAGGTTTTGTTTTCATATATGTACACACGAAAATAGACGTTTAGCGTAATCAGCATTGACAACAAAATTGAGACAAATACAATCGATATTTATTTCAAGCTAAAATCTATACAGATATATCGTTTTCCGCAGAAGATGGGAGGTCACAGTCATCAGCCGTACAAGATACCCAGCCCTGACGTTTACAAGTTGGAGGATGTGCCGGAATTGCAACGTGTTCAGGAGAAGTTAGCTAAGAAAGGATTGAAGGATCCCTGGCTGAGAAATTACGTGTGGCGCTATAAAGGAACTGACACACCATTCAAACGTGGTCTTATAACTTTGACCAGAGGGTGGAAGCTCGGCGTGCCTGCATTTTTGATTACTATAGCCATTGAACAATATTTCGGGATTGACTACCATGGTGGCCACAATCATCACGAAGAAGGCCATCATTAACACACACTTGGACGTTAATGTCTTATGGTAAATAGTAGAAATATGTCATTGTCAAATACTATGTTACAAAGATACATCATAAACTTAAGTGTGACCTAAGTTTTATGAGAAAAATAAACATTACAATGTATAGAGATTTCTATAGATACATGTTCCTTTTTCAGTATAGTGTATGTATATAAAATTGATTTATTAAAAGCTTTGTTATAAATTAAATATTGCAAAATGTGGTATAGGAAGGTCAGTTTCGATTGATATTTGTGCAATTTTGTATTTTTACGGTTACATAAAAAATCTCTTATCTAACAATGACTTGTTGCAAAGATTTCTCTTTACATTACATGTGATAAGTATCACAAACAATTGCGACACCAGGACTGTTGCAACACAGGCGAGACTGTAGGAATTGAACAACGCCAGGAAAAACGCGAACACGGTAATTTCGAATGTTGCCAGCAACCATTCATTTCCATAGAGTACCACTCTGTTAAAGGAGTAATTGTTATCTGCAAATAAGTTTAAGTTGTTTGACTTGTACTATCAATGTATTTATTTGAAAATGTATGTAATTTTATTACCGATATAGAAAATGGATTTATCTCTGGCATCTACGAGAAATACATCGCACAGTTTCTCTAACAGGTTTTGCTCCTTGATTATGTAATCTTCGTTTTTCGAGCAATGATCTAGAAACTGAGTTAGAAACAATTTCATCTTCGATCTGGTTTCGGACAATTGTTCCCAGTTCATGGAAGACGCGTCGCTTTCTTTCAAAACACTCATATTTCCCTAAACAAAAATTTATATATATAAAACATTAAATATATATATATATATATATAATAAATAATTTAGTAACCGATATTTTGAACTTTATTAACGCGGTTTTGCGTACTTGGTCTTTTTGTTTCATAAGCTCGTCGTAAAGTGATTTGAACGACTGCGTCAACGACACTATAAAAGTCTGATCGGTCGTGCCAGGTACGAGACCTCTGTGCGCGCACAAGTTGTCCTCCTCTTTCTTCAGATCATTTATCAAAGTGAGAAGATCGGTGTCCGCGAATCCGTGCACTGATCTACATCACAAAGTAAATACGCGGTTATCACCGGGTTTCGTCATAATTTTGCGTGGTGTGGGAAAAAGAAACATTTTACCGTCCGTGAATGTAAAACCCGTAATAATCGTGCGCCAAGACGAACACGCTGATGTTCGCGATCGAGCACAGATCCACGAACTTCTGCAGTCTGTTTCGAACATATCTTTCGTAAAACGTGATGCGAATCAACCACTGCGCGAAATACACAGACACGTACACGAATGTGCTAATCGCGTATCGCAATGTGAAACTTGTCTTCTCTTCGGTGAATTTGCTTGCACCGCTCGATTTCGGCACCGCCAACATCCACGACTCTAAATCGAATATCTGAAATGCAATAATAAGTCTGTGTGAAAAACTTTTTTCATTCTTGTAATATAAAGAAAAAAATTATTTTTTTTTTTCGCGCGAAAGACCTGCAAGATGCACAGAGTGTAAATCGATTGCAACGCCACGTTTATTCTCCTTCTGGTTTGCAACTTGCACCATTCGTTCGCGACAAAGTACGTTCTCCAAATGCTAATTGGAAAATTGTGCACTCGCTCGCTCGTCTCCTGTAGAGGAGATCTTGCGAGCGAGTAGACGGAAGAAAATTTCGGCACGTATTTGTCGAACGAGGACTTGGACGCTTCGCTCGGGCTCGCGTTCCTGTTTGTTCGATGCAATCGTTTCTTCCGTTTGGACGCGATCACGTCGGACGTTATTCTCGACGATTTGTTCTCGTCCGAAAACCTGTTGGAATACAATTTTCGCAGAGAAGTGTGCGGCGAGTCGTACTTCGGTTGACTGTGTGTAGTTCTCGGTTGTTCCCAATCGATGAAAAATACGTTCAAGCCCCAATGCTGACAGACGAATCCCATCATCTCTACAATCTAAATTGAATCTTCTATGTACAATATTATTTTGTTCTTATTCTATTGTAATTTGATTAATTGTGTTTTTTTTTTTTTTTTTTTTAATAAAAAGCTGTGTTACGCCATTTTCACACTCACTTTAAAGCCGAACGCTACATTTATGTACGTTCGGATGTTCCTCTCAGTGTTCTCGTCGGGCAGCAGAACGTAAGGCACAGTTTGGCCCTTGTAAAAAGCAAACAGATACACGCACACGCCGATGCAAACGAAAGAAATTACACTCCCAACCGCGCCCATCGCGTAAATCAAAAACCACAGCAAAACTGTGATGCTCAGATTGCCGTTGTGATTACGCTTGTAATAATTCCACGCTCTGACGCCCGAAATTATCAGAGCCATTCCCGTCAGCACTCCGATAATTATCTGAAATAATTTTTTTAAAATATATTTCGATATTTGCAAAAACAAAGAAATCAATTCGGACGTAGAGAATATTTTTTAACGACTGTTATTTTTACCTCAATGTTGTAGTCTATATCGTTATCTTTCAACGTGAACGTAACTTTGTAATCGATCACAATGTCGGAAGTATCGTGCAAATCTTGTCGCGTCAGCTCGTCGTACTCCACGATCAGAAGAGGCGCAAAAATTCTACCGTGATCTTTTCCATTCTGAACGTTCACTCTGAAAAAAAAAACGAATTTCTGTTCTGCTCTCGACATTGCGCATGAAGATAACACCCGAGCAAACTTACAAGACCGTCAGAGATCTCATGTATCGAAGCACAGAGAGTTCCGACGACCTCGTGAATCCACTGCTCGTGGACAACGCCTTGAAGCCGCTGATGTTGTCGACCAGGAAGAACTTTCGCACCAATTGCTGGTGCGAGATTTCCTCAACATTCTGCGAAACAAACAAACACGTAAGTTTTACATTTGATTTGTTACTATAATTGTCATAAAAAAAAAAATGCAATTAATTTACCTCGTGATTTGTTGATCTCACGATCACAGGCAACGCGTGTATAAAGGACTTGTTGTCTTTCTTGAACATCAAGTAAGGAGACAGCAGTTGAACTTGCGCGTTCAACAGTTCGGCAGACGTGGTTCTGCACTTTTTGCTCAAATTCACACCAAACCTCACGTTCTTCAGAAGTTGACACGGCAGAACCGGTCTGTCAACGGATAAGAATTCGCCGTTCAATGCAAATCTCGCGATCGCGAAGTCGAGAACGCTACTCTGCAAAAAGTGACACAATAGAACAGCTAAAAATTAATTTCTACAAAGCGTATCAACAGGTGCATCTCACGCGCATATTCGTGATATACCGTACATTGTCTTCTCTTCTGAGGCTGTATCTCTGCGATATTTTTGTGTTATTCATTACCGCTACGGTGTCCTGTCTGTTGTAAAACAACCATACAGGCGCCCTGGGGATGTGCATGAAAAACATGCATGCTACGCTGTCGGTGTAGAGAGTCAAGGCGCATACGTTCGACAAGTGTTCACACGCCGTTCTATCTTTCCTCTGGAAAGAATTATTTTTTTTTTTTTTATGTGTATAAATGTATAATTTTTTTATATTATATTTTGATACTTTACATATAATTGTTAAGTTTCTCTAAGCTTTTTTTTGTTTTTAATTTATATATACCTTGCACAGATATACCGCTATTTGCAATTCGCTCCTCAAGTAATAACTGTCTACGTTCTCACTTTTGAACTTCATCAAGTACGTGCCTCTGATGTCGGGCCAGTCGGCGACGTCGTCCTTGCGCAGACAATAATTTTGTAATCTTACGTGCGTCGCGCTCGGACACGCGCAATTAACGTGTCCGTTGTGCTGACGGGTGTCGCAAGGCAAGCACTTGGAACAATCGGAAGACGGATACGTGCCTTGCACACATGTCACGCAAAGCACAGTGTCCAACGGAACACCGTTTATATTTCTGTCCACTGAATTTGATAAGACAATTTTTTTTAATAAGTTTTGTACTTCGGCGGCAAGAAATACAGAGATTTTTATTTAAAAAAAAAATTATTGTATTATTGTTTATCCGAGAAAATGGAATTTTATGAAAAACAATTACATTGTATCTGATCCGAGGAGCATCTGCACGTTGAATTTGCGCGCAGAATGCACTCCTTTCCATCGGCGGTCGCGGTCATATCGTAATCGCAGGCCACGCAAAGCGGATTGCCGTTTTCAAGACCGATCATCTTACTGAATTCGTCGCACACGCATCCGAGATCTGAGCAATCAGTGGCGATCAGATATACGCAACAAAAAAGTAAAGAGGATTGTTGAGATGAACTTACGATTTGCGGCCGGCACGAGATTCTCGCTGGCGTCGCAACGCGAGCAAGATAACGACACGGTGTCGAAATACTCGTCGTATTTGCACGAGTTCGGCTCCCGGTACTCGAGTACCTCATTGTTCGCGTTGAACGCGCTCGCGAACGACGTGAAAACGATCGCGATCGTCAGTGTTAGATGATCGCGACTACTTTGTGGGCGATTCATGTTTGTTTTTGCATCGCCCGACGCACGCGTTGCCATACCGACGTCGACGGCGGAAGTTAACCGACCACCCGGTATGTTCACGATTTCACCGGGTGTTCACGTAGCGCGCGGTTTCCACGGCAATTCGAACCATCATCGACAGGCAGCGGGGATAAGTAGGGATGGGGAATGACGTGCGGAGAGCGGGAAATAATTTGAGCGTCGCGACGGCCGTGGGAGTCGCGCCGCTACTTCCGAGGAAACAGCATCCTGAGAGATAACAAGTCGTGACGATTATCGTTTTTAGGTAAGGGCGCCTCGATTTTCGCGCCGCACTTGTAATACCGAAGTAAATCGATCGCGATCGTCGTTATTAAGATCGCGCGCACGGTCGCCGATAGTGCGCGAATTATATATTTTTTTGTTGCGTGGAGATCTGTCGTGAATTTGATTTCTTATTCAGTGCTTCGCACATACGCATACCGTGGTGTAATTGATTATACGCGCACGATCCAGAACAATTTTTTGTACACGTGGATTTTTCATTTTTGAGGTACATTTTTATGCTATTTTACCGTTGCGATTTTTTGTGTACAAGGTGTCGCATTTAAAAATGTTCAAGCATTGAGATCTGAAAAGAACGCACTTTAGAACTGATCACGTATATAGACAGAGAAAAAATAGATTCTTAAATCGTATAAATTCTCATCAAAACGTTCTTTCCTTGTGTTTCAGTCATGCGGGATAAATCCTTTCTGCGAAAGAAAATTCTTATCTAGATCAATCGAATTTATTGGGTTTTATATTTTATTGCATAACGGAGAGAATTTCATCGCGTATGTATCATTTGCATAGTGAACGCGAGATTAATAACATTCATTTTACGCCACTTGCGTTCTCAATCGGTTGGCGTCGTCGATGCAACGCTGAAAGATACGTGTCATGTATCGCATACCGATCATTACGAAATCATTAATTACGCGATTGTAGAGTTGGATGCGCCATAATTAAATCGTGCGCACATGTATATCGTATTTATTTATATTGTGCCGTAAAATCGTAGTGAATCGATTGCGCGCGGCCAGAATTACTATTTTGTAATCGATATCATCGTTTTTAAGCGCCGCCCAGCTAAATTTGGCGAACTTACGCAACAACAGCTAGAGAGAACGAACGCGATCTGACACCATGAGTGCCGGATTTTTCAATGGCCGAAAAATTCTGTTAAGTACAACCGTGAATTTTCTCCGTAAGAGAAAAATTCGCAGAAAAATCAGGGACATTATTTTTAGGATGTTCGCGCGCGCGTGAAATAATGTGAGACGTTACCAAAGAACTTATTAGCCGATTTAATCTCAGATCTAGAGAAACAGAAGTTATTTCATTGAGTGATTATTTTTTTTACAAAAAAATATTATATACATAAATTCTGATTAATTTTCTTATTGCGCCGAAGCATCGGGTCTTTCCACACGGGACGTGTGTTACGAGGGACATTCGATATCCCGCGCATAATGTAATTGACGCGCGTCGCAATTTGCGGCGCGATTTATTTAAATCCGCCGACGAATTCGGAGTTAAATAACGTGTGTACGCGAGGATATCTGACGGTTTCGCGTGTATGAGTCAGAATCTAAAACAGTTGGCATTATATCTATCGCGAGTCAACGCGTTACCGCATTTGTGCGCGGCCACACGTCTGGCTTGTCGCCGATCTGTTTCACTGCCACCGTGAACACCGTTTTCCACGACGACGGTGTCGCGTAAAACGCGTTTAAACTAGGTCCTGGGATAATTCATCCCTCGCCACATCGTCCCACTAATAGCGCGGGCCAAATTTTTGCGTGTATCGGCCGTAGTTACGTCGGTTTAACAACGTCGTAATTCCCGTTGGTGACGGTCGTGAGCGTACAGTCTTGATCGAAAGTGATCGCGACCGAACTTTTCAAAATTCACATGTGTCTAGCGTGTCCTTTTTGTTTTGCAAATTACGAAAAAAAGTAATTTTTAAAACAAAAAAGTCAAACAGTCTTGTGTGTGTAAAACGACATGTTGTAAAATCTCGAAAAACGAATCTCTTTGATTCGTGCTTTTACCTTGTCGTGACTCATTTGAACGCACATTCTGTGTCACAACAATTGCGATTTTATTTTTAACGTTCTCTCTATTGCCACATATTCGTCTGTCATTGGCCGAAAAACTGTCCGAGGTGTATTAACAATAGATACCTGGTTCTTCGGAGCAAGAGCGGCTCGCGTTGTTTCATTATTTGCGTGAAATAATCGAGAATCTTGACTTTATTTCATTTTCAATTATATTTTTCGTATATTTGAACTTTTTAATTATAATTTTTCTTTTCAATTTTATTGTAAATATAAAAAAGTTTTTTGATATTTAAATTGTGATCACAATTTTCTCTCATTGAAGTTTTGAACATAAAGAGGTGGACACAATAAAACAGAGTTTCTCTCTTTCTCTTGTACGCGACTTTGTTGAATGATTACGTTACTCCGAATCGTACAAACACGATGACTATATACCGCGTGTATAGTACGGGACGCCGGGAATGCATGAACGAGCGATTGAGTAACGAGCCGATAGTTTCTAAATCGTAGCCACTTTTCAAAGCGAATGCTCTCGCCAGACGCGCGTACACGCCAATTAAGTCGAGGAAACGATCTAATTGAAAGAAAAGTTACAGCTCGTCGTTTTTTGGCACGTGCGAGTAGACGGACAACGTATATCATCATCGGGAATGATATACATCTGCGTTTGTAATGTCATTTTCGCTGTTTATTCCGAACCGCGAATTTATTTTCAACGTGACGTGCGAAACGTAACGTTTATTTCGAACGCTATTGAATATATATTATTTCGACTACGTATTTATATATCGAGAATCTGTGAGCAAAAATGTTGTCCGTGTAATAAATACGCGTTGACATAAATTGCCGAAGCCACACGAATAGCCAACTGTCAAACTAATTCTGTCATCGCGTAATACGTATAGACATTATTGTTAACGTCACGTTACAATTCCAATTTTGAAAAAAAATTTCAAGATTTTGTGTGCCTTAATATTCAAAAATTTGATAATAAAAACTCGAGAAATTTTGCGCATCAAACTTTTTTTCTCTCTGAATTAATTTAATAAATTAATTGCAATTAAATTTACGATCAAATTTACTTCTCTCGCAAAATAATTAAAATCTTACAATTGTGAGAAATTAAGATACACACATTATTTTGTTTACTCGAGAAATTCTCCGCGCTTAGCGGCCCCCGGTAATTTAATAGCCGACGAAAATAAATCGTTCGACGTGTGTGTAAAACGTTCATTAGCTCGCGCGCGATAATAACTCTTTGTTACAGTGAGCACACGCATCCTCTTGATTTATAAATAATTTCAGAATAAATACGTGGGTAGAGGTCGAGGAACATGAATCTTCAACACGAGGCCGAAAACTCGCGAACGACGTTACTGACGCGAAGAGAAGAAACGTTGAAACATCACCCTATAAATGTCGACGTATCGCGTCGATTACGTTCGCGTATAATATTTCTCGTCATTGAAATAAAATTCGCCTCGTATATAAACACGTGGGAAAATTTGAAAAAAAAACTTTTATCAGTGTACTAAAAAAAAATATTTAATGCAATTAAGAATGATCGGTAATCGTTGTTCGAAGTTGCTCTGATTCCGATGAGGACGCGAATAATTAAAATCACACACTTGGATCGCGTGCGTGATTCCTTGACGCGAAAAACATAGATATGTTCGAAGAAAGGACTCTAGAGAGAAGACGAGCGAAAACAGGGATTCACACACGTCTCGTATTCGGGGAGACTGTAGCCCGGGCGGGTTTCACGTTGTGCGCCGTGCCAGTTCAGTTCACGGGCACCAAATTAGACGCGGGCTATTTTCGACCGATGTATAGTCGCTCGCTCCAGTTTGTTCCGACGTGATGACGAACCAAACCATCGGAAAGTGAGAGAGAGAACTTGCCGGACTTTTGTTATAGAACATATATTGGAAGCCACGTGGAGGATGTGAAGACGAGATGAGGAGAAGAGACTCAAGCCGTCACATGTTTTCCACACACGTTGGCAAAATAATTTTCAATATTATATTCTTCCCGCGTGGATGGAAAGCGTAACTGAACACATTCGTTCGAATTAAAGATCTTCTATAGTGTAACATTACCGCGCTGTCTGGTGATATTGTTCCAAAATTTAGAATCTTCTAAATCTGTTAAAACAGTTTTCAAATGTATACGTGTAGAACGTTATTTTTCATACGAACAATGCGACTAATTTGCAGATAGCAGGAAGTCGTCAGCCTTCCCCCGATCGAGATGTCGAGGCCAATCCTTAGCAGGCCGCGCACGTTCATCTACGGCAGCAACTACGACAAGGGCGAGTCCTATTACAAGCCCATGGTCGACCATCTGGACCGGAAGTACAGCGCGCGGCCGTTGTTCCCGGAGCCGAGAAACTCGATAGCCGACGAGATCGCGGCGCGCCGTGGCGACATCGGTAACCTGTTCAGTCGTTTTCCAAAGTGGTTTTGACGGAGTGTTGTAAAAAGACTTCCCACAGAGATCCTCCTCGAGAGTGATTGTCGACGAGGTTCGCTGAATAGATTTCGTTTTGCAAAATCAAAATACTTGAGAGAGAAACTCTTGTCTTCCCTTATCCGGCCCTTTGATCCACTTCCACGATTCGCATGATCAATCCACTCCTCGCGATGATAATGACGATGATGATGATGATGATGATGATAATGATATATTTATCGTCAACTGATTGCGTGCAAATCGGTCTTTTTACTGTCTCTTTGCCTGCAAGTCTGTAGTTTAGTCTGTGTTAATCCGCCCATTTGATGTATCATTTTGTTGAATAAATGTTTGGTTTCCCAAAGTAATGTACACACAGGCGAGTCTTGCTGTGATTATTGTATGTATCTTATACGCTTGGTTAAGACCAAGATCATCAGGACGAGATTGACGGTCGCAAGTGCCAGAGCTTCTTGGAGTATTGTCTCGTGTATCACAAACTTATTATACCTTCGCTCTCATGTCTCCACTGGACATCCACACGCATGTACAACACACGCACATTCATACCGACACGGACATCGGGTGAAGCGATTTGAGAAAAGCTGTTGCGCGTGCCTTCTCGCGCCAATATGTCTGCGCCAATAAAGTTGATCGTCCACACAAAGATTTGCCAACAAATTTTTATAAACCCACGACGAATAATTTAACTAATATCATTAATCAGAATCATTCAAAATTGTGAGGAACAGCAGAATGTCCAAGTTACGACATCGTTACAAGATGTCTCGGGCGAAGGATTGCAACTATTGAGAACATATCTCTTTTTGTTTTAATCAAACGACTATGTTTTTCTGTGAATGTAAAAATAATAAAAAACAAAAAAAACTTTTCTAAAATCCAAACAATTACATCGTACGTTGAGATTCAACAATTGAAAGAATAAAACACAACGTTATATCTGCTATAATTATATTTATGTAGGTATGTTTATTTGGGACACTCTGTACGTTCCTGACATAAGTAAGTAGATGTAATGGAGGAAAATGTGGATAAACAACGTGCTTGACGTTACATACAACTGCTAGTTTATTAGACGCGCCGATGGGAAGATTTTGTAGATTTGCCAGATTGTTAATGCGATGCGCATCCGAATTTATATCTGATCAAATGTGCCTAAAAATACGTGTGACTTGCGGTGTAAAGTTTATCCGGTCGACGTAAATTTTGTAAATGGTAAAATCGTGCTTTTTCACAAAATTTTTAAGAGGTGACACATATCTCTCTTGTACATTTTGTTTGCAATTGTATTTCTAATTGTATTTCTACTGTTGCATTTAACGTCGAGTTAATCATTTTTTTTAGCTTTAAAGCAAAATTATAACCAGTGTTAGAAACAGAGAGTTCTGAATTTCGCAGACGAAGAAAATTACGTCGATTTGAAAATATTTCCAAGTACGTTTCGATATTTATCCGCAGCACTAATGTGTGTGAAATAATATTTTCAATAAAAGATATCACAAACGAAACATTGTTTTCCTTATATTCCCTCTCGTCGCAATATCACTGGTTATAATTTTACATGTATTTCAAATACATAACAACTAAAATAAAATACAGATATTTAAACCGATAGAAAGATGTAACGACAGTAAGAGAATGAAAGTTCGCAACTTCGCTGCGTTCTCCGTCATTTTCTTCAGCCTGAATCATTCATCATCATTCATCAACTCTGATCTTCTCCAAGTTGAGAATCATCCGGCACAGAATCGTTTCTTGACGACACGCTCATCGTCTCACCGCGCTTATCATCGCTCATCTCATCCCCTATTCTTACCTTCACACAAAATCAACGCTCTTTTCTGATCGGTTTTTGCAGGCACGCGCGATCCCGGTCCCCGCACCGGTTCCCTCGGCCGAGACCTTGACCTCGACCTCGAACCTAACCGCGCTTCCCAACTACCGCCCCTGCCCGACCCCCTGCTAGCCCCAGAAGACGAGGATACCATGTACGACAGCCGCGGGCAGCGTATCCGTCGCCAATTAGGTGACGATTTCGCGGAAGAGGTGGCGGCGACGACGCGCCGCTTCCGGGCCCGGATAGCGGCGATGGGTATCGAGAACGAGCTCGAGGCCTCGACCGCCGCGAACCAGGCGAAGAAGAGCTCCGCCGAGCTCTTGGAGAACGCGGTGACCGCCAGGAAGGGTGCCGCCAGAGCGGCGCTCGAAGAAGCCGAGAGCACTTTCAAGAGGCGCTCCAAGCTCTTCGACGAGATCGAGCGCGCCGACGAGGGTAAACCGGCGTTCACCAGGTGGACCAAGCTGATCAACGAAGACGACGATCTGGTGCCGGCCAGCGCCGCCGCCAGTCGAGCCAAGCAGACGAAAGCGCGTCTCCACGACCTTGAGTCGGAAATGGAGGAGCTCGCCGAGAGACAAGCCAAGAGGGAACGCAGAGCGGCTGCCCTCAAGGCGCTAGTCAACGAGACCGCTGCAGCAGTCAACGAGGACGTTGTTCAACAATCGACCGTCAGCAAGAAGGTGTCGATGCGCAGCACCGAACGCTCGGAGAAGCACGTCAACTTCTAAGCGAAGCTTCCCGTGCGATCTATCTTAATTAATTAAAACACGACGGTGTTTTACAGCCGATGTATTGCACACGTTCGAGAATTTCATTGAGAGAGAGAGAAAGAGAGAGAGAATTTTATTCCGGTCAAAGAGTTGCAACAGTTGAAAAATTTTTCGAACATATTGAAATTATTTTGTTATTAAATTATGTTAAAGACAAAATTTATATAAATTATTAATTTTATTTATTTTCGTTCTTCATCGCGGTGCAATACAACAACCGCTTGCTGTAAGACACTATTGTAAACTTTAAATAAATATAGAATTTTTTTCTCGGTGTATACGCCATTCTGTGTTTCACTTGCGCGGTCGCGTTTGCCTTCTTGGCGATCGTGCAATTACATCTCGCTGATTTGTTTTCGCGAAAGGAACGTACGTCAACCGCGTTAACGGTAGATATTTTATTGTCTCTCGAAGCGCTTATGTTTTAAGGTAATGCGCGTACGTTCATTTCGCGTTGCTACACACAATTACAAATGTATCGTATGAATATATTATTTTTTTTTGTCTGTGCGAGAGAGATCCTCATCTTTCGAAAATATGTTTAAATCGCAATTTTAGTTCTGTGTCCGTTCAGAAGAATCGAATGTTACAACTTGTCGTTTTAACAGTAATTATTTTTGTATATTGCAAATCTGCGTGTAAGACAAACTAATTTAATAGACGCGTTACACCGTTGCTCAAGATTTGATTGTATTTTCGGACGATATTTCTCGCGCATCGTGATTTTTCGCTTCTTCGCTCCTCGAGTTTGAGCGAGCTTAAGTGTTGATTGTTCCTATAACGAGAATTATATTTAAGTATCAGAAAGTATCCTCACGTATATAAAAGAACTTTTTGTCGATAGCATGATGTTGTGAAGAAACTAAATGATTTTTGTTTTATTTACGAGAACACAGAAAAAAAATTCTTAATCGTACGACTTTCAAAACAGAAAGCTTAAACAAATTCCTCACCAGAATCACTGTGCAATGTATGTTCTTTCTTATTTATGAATAAATCTCGTTTGAAAACCGTTCTCGGAAAATTGGTGACACGTTTGTGTATTAAATATTTTCTTAGTTTTCTCTTTGTTACATTGTTGTGTCTTTTATGTGCCTCGCCCTTCACCCTTTTCCACATTTTCCGCATGCGCAAGACTTTTTTTATTAGCCGCATAGAAACTGAAGGTAAGAATTTATTTTATAACTGAAATCCCAGATATAATATTAAATTAATTACTTTCAATTTTTTTACTTCATTACTCTTTCATTTTGATTTAAAAAATTACATTGTATTTTACACTATTTTTAAGATAATCAAAATTACTTTTATAATTAATTAATGATTTACAATCAAAGGTCACGAACTACAATAGTTTTCTCCGTCAGCGAGCGCATTTTAAACATTTATATAAAACATATAACAATCTTAATACAATTTTATACTAACATTTTTTTAGGCTCTCGTAATCCATCGGGGAATCATGAGGATCCCTACGATGAGTTGGATTTTCTGATTGACGGGTACGGTCGGCCGATTCAAGAAGATCCTTATGAGGACGATTTCGTGATGACCCATCGTCGTTTTAAGGAACGTGCAGCCGCCGCGTTTGAAGAGGATATGGCGGAATTGAGACGCAAGCGACGGGATATGCAGGTTAAATTAAGCAAAAATAATAACTGCGAATCGATTTCAAGTTTTAATCGTTCGATGTCGCAGTATATAAGTTTTTCACCTTATTCGAGAGAATCGTCTTCTTTGCAGGATCGCATCTTCGATGTGATCGATTTGAACGCCGAGATCGAGAAGGCGAAGTGCACGTTGGAGGCTGCCGATGTCGCGTTTCAGCGACACGCGACCAAGTTCGACAACCAGAACAATGACGAGGAGCAGACGGCGATGCTGACGCAGAAGCTCGACAAAACGCGCAAGATCGCCAACGTCGATCTGACGCCGGAAAAACCGAAGCCCAAAACTTTCTTCATTAAACTGCCCACGATGCAGGCCGAAGAAACGGAAGCTGTTCAACCCGTTTCTAAGTCGGGAAAGCGTGTGATCAACTCGTTGATCGGCACCAACGAGATCGTCGATCCGATGGAGGCTATTATGTTGCAGCCGATAAAGCGGAAACTTATGAAGAGAAAGAAGAGCGTTTCGTTTTAAAAGAATGTTCTGTCGAATTGCTGCATACAGTTTTTTTAGATGTGTAAAATTTAAAGATTTTGAAGAAAAATATTCTTGAGAAACTTTCGTGAAAACAATTTGAGAAAACATTTATCAATAATTTTTCAACTAAATTTACAAACCAAAAAGTTTAAAAAATAACGTTTCTGCTTTTATAATTGTGTATTGAAAATCAACTCCGTATCTTGTAATAGAGAGAGAGAGAGAGACACAAAAATAGCTATGTAATTTTTAATAAATATAAGTGCTAAATAAAGTTACATAATTGAAAGTAATGACAAAAAATATTTACATGAAACGTGACATGAAAATATTGATAAAAATACGCGCAAATCGAGACGCCTCGGGAGTTTTCACAGAATTTTCTGATATTTCAAGCTGTAATAAGCGCGAGTATGATAGCTGTAATGTCTGGATTTGAGATCCATGTTGGTGATGTACTTCATGTCTGCCGATCGCTTGATGCTCTTGTCCTTGTTCTTCTGGTCGTACGTTCTCATAGCTCTTTCCGCCCATTCCTGAGCTCTGGGTGGTTCACGATACAAACCCTTCTGTCTTTGATTCAGATAATCGATCACGTCGTCATAATAGTTTTTCCTGTGAGAGTACAGATTAGAAAACTCAGAGAATATATATATCGATAGACGATCATTTTTTAAACGAAACAACTTAAACAAACTTTTCAATTCGACTCGTATACCTGTAATTGTAAAGATACGTGTAGTTGAGGAATAGCGGTCGGACCCAATGGTGATTGTAATGAGGCGGCTCGAGTTTCTCTAACTTTAGAACCGGCTTGTCGGAAACCGCACCTTCGGCGGGTGCTTCACCCTCTGCAGTCGCACCTTCTGTCGCGGCAGCGGGTTCCTCAATGTCCCATGATGCGGGTTCGTCGTCCCACATGGTTTCGAACGCGTGTTCACTTCGTTATCAAGCCTACATGAGCACATTACCGGTGTTGTTACACCGAATAATAATTAAGACATGTTTCTCTTCGTAAAAAGAAAAATCTTCGTTTCTCCCTCTTCTCTCTCTTCCTTTTCCTAATTTCAGTTTTAATCAGAAATTTCTTAGAGTTGCACGATGCTTCCTATATTGTCTAAGTATCGCTGTTTGAAAGTACGTGATCGAACGACTTGGTCGATTTAATTTTCAATAGGATATATTTAGCCGATCGGATATATGCACGCCGTGTGAAGAAACAGGTCATCGGAAGACACAACAAACCGTTTGGCTAACGTATCAATTGGTATTCGTGGCGAAACTAAATGTCATACCAATTTTCGAGTCGCGTTTGAATATTTTGGGCATCGTAGACTTGCTTGTTAAAAATCGTCTCGAGTACGTCAATTTTTTTTTAATACGACGCGAAGAAAAAGCAAAATAATAATTATTTTTACGTGACAAGATCGTAATTTGTGCAAAGTATAATTTTTTCCTATGTAAGATTTTTTTAAGACATCGAGACAATAACTGAAAAAAAAAAAGATATAAAAATTGTGAAAAAACTCGCTACACAAAAGATTTTACAGAAACAATAGCAGAAGATCTTCGCGCGCACAAGATTATCTTCACAATTTTTTTTCCCGATACACTCTTCGAAATCTCGGTTGAGGATGCGATGCGGTACCTGCGGTATGATGCCCTACGCTCCTCGCTCTGCGCTCGTGCGTACTGCAACAAAGTCACCCTTTCGCGCGCCGCGGACTCGTCACTCCTGGTGAAATCTTGCGTTGTTTCGCTTTTATTTTAGCTTGCGACACCTTCAGCACCCCGCTCGTCCCTTCGAAGGTGCGAGCTCCTGATAAATAGAGAGGGGGCAATTTGGCACGCAATCTGCGATAATTATTGGTGTGCGAATAGCTCCTTTTCTCTCCCGCCTCACAAAAGTGCATTCGCACGTGCGTCGACAATTAGTCGCTGTTTCGTCGCTGTGAGAGAGAAGTAGAGGAAGAAAGAGAGAAAGAGAAAGATATATTATTCGTTTGTCCTCGCGCCATTTAATGAGCATAATGACATTGAAAAAACAACGGTGATTTCTTCGCGCAAGGTCAATCGATAAACATTAAAAATTCGTATACTGATCATTTTATATATTTAATTTTTAAACGTTTTAACGCGAAATCTAAATCAATAATCTAAATCTAATTGTACTGCATGAAAGTGTGTTTTTGCATGTTATACTTGTGAATATAAATATATACATATCTTAAAGATGTATAAATTTAATATCGCATTTCTCGAATGGTTTTCACACAAATCGCATCGCTCTCGAATTCTTATAAATTTTCTGCGCAAGTAGATATACAAAATTAAAACGGCACAAAAATCTGACGCACACGATTAATTATTCCTATTTATAAATCAATTGTGGTGATCTTGAAGATATATCATCGAATGACGCGGCATATTTTACTCCGTAACGATATCATTGACATCGTACCCTGGTTTACTTACTATAAATCACGCGAATTTTTATCTCGCGAGAAACAATCAGACGCGCGTATGAACTTGAAATATATCTATATGTATGTACGTATATTTGCAACAACGCAATGCAAATGCACAACGAGATTATGTACTTAATAAATAAAAAATAATTTTCAAGGTTTTTTGTTAGAGAGTGTATAAAAAAATCTACTAACATTTAATCTCTAATGACACTTTTTCTTTCGCTACATCGCGTCAGCTATCTCTTCTGCGTACTTTATGGCAACACAGACGTCCATCGCACGTGCGACAGCGTACCTAACCTTCTCTTCTAAGCGTCTCAAAGTTAATCAAAGTCAACCGATAGAGTGATAATTTTGCGATTGCAACGTAATTCAAATTACGCTCGATTGAAATCAACATGACAATATGATTTTGCCAGTAACAATGCTACAACGAACCTTACCTGGCAAAACGTTGCCTTGTTTCGCTCGTGTGTTCTTCAATCGGTTGAACAACTCTTCCGACGGTGCTTCTACAAAAAGCGAAACGGACAACGGTTCATCGAACGTAGAGAAGTTGCAAGATGAGCATCCCGCGATCGACATCGAAACTTCCTCGGGTGAGGAGAATGTGGCTCGTCTCGTGAAAGAAGCTGCCACTTACAGCGATGCCGCGGACACAAATTGGGCGACGAGTCCTTATCCTGCTGGCGCTCCGACCCTTCTCGAGGAGGAAAACGCGAAACCAAAGATCGATCCTTCGGACAAGTGTGTGGTGCTCTTTCCTGGACAAGGCACTATTAAAGTCGGTCAAGTGCGGAAATACCTCCTCTTTCCTCAAGCTAAAGAACTATTCGAGATGGCTAATGAGATCCTCAATTACAATCTGCTGAAGCTGTGTCTAGAGGGCCCGCAAGAAAAACTCAATCAGACGCGATTCAATCAGCCGGCCACTGTTGTGACTTCTTTGGCCGGTTTGGAGAGGCTCAGGGAAGAAAGACCCAGAGTGTTCGAGACTTGCACGGCAACCGCTGGATACAGTATAGGAGAACTGACTTCTCTGATCTTCTCGGGAGTTTTCACTTTTGAAGAAGGTCTCAGACTGGTCTCTATCAGAGGTGTAGCTATGCAGTACGCGTCAGAAAAATCGTCTCAGGGAATGCTCTCGGTTTATTGTACTCCTCAGGCTAAGATATCTCAAGCATGTAAAGACGCTATAAACTGGGCACAAGATAATGGTGTGGAGGATCCGGTTTGCCAGTAAGAATCCACTTTCTGCATTTATAAATTATGTGATTTTATGCGATATGTACATGATATGTTTTTTTTTACAGAGTTGCGGTATATTTATACACTCAGGCGAAGATATTGGCTGGGAATACTGAGGCTCTCAATTACATAGAAAAGAATGCGGAGAAATACGGACTTAAAAAAGTAGTTAGATTGCCGGTATCGGGAGCGTTCCATACGAAACTGATGGAGCCTGCGCTCAAATCTTTCGGCAAATTCCTCAGCACGATGACGCTAAACGAACCTAGGTGTCAAGTTTATTCTAATTACAAAGGACACACTTATGGCAATCTAACACTAGTTAAAAAATATCTGATTAAACAAATTGTGTCGCCTGTGAGATGGGAGCAAACCATGCAGTTGTTGTACAACAGAGCTCCGGGAAAAGCCTTTCCGCGAACGTTTGACGTAGGATCGGGTGGAAGAATGGCGACAATCTTAAAGTTAGTTAACGCGAAAGCGCACGACCATTGTATATCTGTCTGACATGTTCTAATAAAATATAAAAAATATCTCACGTTTTTTATGAGAATAAAACGGATAAGAAAGAGTTCTCTAAAAGTTATGAGCTGTTTTGTACAAATTTTTTCTAAAAGTTTATTCTTCATAAAAAAAAGATAGACATTTCAATTCTTCTCATAAAATCTTTCTCAGTACAAACACATAGCGTAACAATGACGCTCTAAATATAAATCGAACTTACAAAATGATTACAGTCAGATAGTGTCGAGTCGATAAAATCATGTCTTTCAGCATCAAAACAAATAAAAATCGCAAGAACTTATCATGAAACAACACAAAATTAAGAAATAAGATTCTAAAGACGTCGACAACATACTAAACATCAATTATATAATATATATCTGTTTTTATTGAGAAGTAAGGTAAAAAACACATCCCACAAATGCCGTTAAAAATACAGTTTGGCCGGTATTATACGTTAGACACTAATTTGTCACATTTTCGATTGTTCGAGTTTGTCGGATTCCGTGAGAAATTCTGTTATTAGTTTATTAGTCTCTTCGGGGTATCTCAAGTGAAGATTGTGCGAACCTTTGGGAATGACCAATCTAACACAGAAAAAGTTGAGATATAATGTCGAGGATTATCTTTAATTGACTTATCAAGTCTATTAAAATACTACCTCGAGTTAGGTATTTTCTCCTTTAAGTAGATCGGATGTTCAGGTAGGACCAACGAGTCTTTCTCTCCATGAATAATCAATGTTGGACACTTTATCTTCGGTAATTCCTCTTTGCACAAGTCACCGTCTTTCTTTTTGTACAATCCTATCATTGCGTCCACCCAGTCGGACCAGGTCTTTTGGAAATACTCCTTACCGTAGGCTTCTATCATAGGATCTCTCATTTTCGGCGACCACGTTTCGATGTTTCTGATATCTGGACAATATTATATACTGTTTTTCTCAAATTTCAGATAAATGTTTTTTAAAGATAACTTAATACTTTTTTTTGTATGATTTTTAAGACATTGCAAAAAGTTCAGATTATTGTACCGTCATATATTTTTGTTTCGTCCGGGTGTATGTACGCGTTTGCGCCAAGGACAACCGTCTTTCTGATGCTGTCGGGATATTTCGCAGCGAGTATCAATGACGTGATACCGCCGTCGCTCCAACCGACCAGCGAGAATATCGAATAGCCCAAAGTTTTCATCAGATTGTGAGCGTACACAGCATCACGGTAAAAAAAATCGTCCGGAAAAGTTCGGTCGGGTGGTCGCGATTTTCCGTAACCCGGTGGATCCCACGCAACTATCGTCAGCTTGTCGGCATCCATAGTCTCGATCTGCGGCTTCCAATCGGTCCATATTGTTCCTGAAATGCAGCAGTTTGATAAGCAATAAATAATTTGTTTATTAAATAGTTTTTTGTTCTAAACTGAAATCGACAGCTCTGATCACATCATTCTTTTGTCTTTTCGTATCAAATGCGAAAAGAAAATGATTTGCTCAGAAGCAAAACTGTAACGTTATCTTGACTGCAGTCCAGAAATATTTAAACATTTTTCAAAAATCATCGAAAGCGTGTTCCAAAAGATGGTTCGAATGTAACCGCAAGTCAAAGATCACGTTCGATAGATGGCAGCAAGTTGTAGAAGAAAACTCATTGTCATTTGTTCGATTTTTTTTGAGAAATTATCGCGTAACATATTTTTGCTCACCCAATGCGCCCGGTAGCAACAACACCGGATGATCGCCTTTGCCGACTCGGACGTAATTGATTTCTTTGTCGTCCACCTTGATCTTCCGTTCCTATTGAACAAAACTAATTTATTTTCACGGAATACATCGAGACGTAAACCGGTACGCATATTTGTTTACGCTGTTTTTTATGTACCTCCACTTTACGAGTCTCGCTCGACATCGTCGTCAACAATCTTCTGGACCACGGGAACGCGCTTTCGGACTTGGCGACTCTGTACAGTGCGTGCGCGAAGCGACCGCACGTTTTACTTGCTCTTGACAACATTTCCACTAACTATATACGTACTACGTATATCCACTGTATACCAACTAACCGACAGTTGGAATACCTGCGATGATGTACCAGAAACACCACGCGAAAGTGCACTGCTCGTATACGGTGAGACGCGATATGATTTCTCTGTTTTGTACGTAATATGTGGAGCGATTGATAAATATCCGAAACGATACATTTAGATAGCAACAATAATATTAAGTTATTAAGTACGTAAAGACTTGACAAATTTATATGTTTATAAATATATATATATATATATATATATTTATTTATAAATATAGAGTTATTAAATATGTAAAACTTGACAAATTTATGTTTATAAATATATATATATACATATATTTGTCAAATTTTTCATACTAATGACTTAATATCACATTACTAACAATTTTTATATTTTAGAAGAACGCTTGATGCTGTAAATGGCACTTTATCCGTCACTTAAACACTATGCACGATAATGAGTCAGCGTTTGACATTTGTTTTTCTGATCGATGAAACTTGTCACAACAGCAATGTGATATTGCTGTCTGTTATATGTGCGTCGTCGTTTCGGAAACTTATCAATCGCCTCGTCAAGAGGCGTAGATAAACTCAATAAACTGTAATGAAAACGTTGGCCTTGTTTCATATCAGAAATGTCAATTTGTTTATCAATGTCTAGACTATTTTCAGTTATCTTATACTCAATACAAATATTTTCAATATTGTATTTTTATGACATAAAGCATTTTTAAAAATACTCACAATATGCAAGTCACAGTAACAAGAATTATGTAATTTGTTACAAAAAAAAAAAAGAAAAAAAAAGAAAACGTAGAATTAAAACAGCAAGCGATGAAAACATGCGTTTGTTGTGTATCTTACGCGCGCACACATACACACAGTTATGATCATTAAAATATTTATTCTGGAATTGTACAATAATGGAGTAAAAATGAGAAAAAAAAATACGTTAAGTGTATACGATCGATGGCAGTTATGATTGAAAGATATACAATATACGTTTTCTACATGGCAAATAAATAAATTATAGTCCTTGCGCAACTGCCTTGATTAGTCAGTGATTATGTGAATTTGTCTTACGATTCTTACAAAAGTTTCCTACAAAAAATTTTGCGGGATACTAAATACTAAAAATACAATATTCGCGTAATTCGCAAAGAATGTAGTCAATGCATTTAGGAGAGAAAGAAATCCGAATTACATTTACCAGTGATCGACGAGATTTTTAAGAGAAAAGTGCATAAAATCCGGATCAATCTTACACTTAATCATAATCTTATGATAGAAGTAACATTAAATGATTCGAAATGGATTATATGGCTTATCATGAATCATCTTGATTATGTTTGTTTTGCGCTCGATCCCTGTTGTATTCTTCCAGACGTTTCTTGTATTTTGTTTGATTATTCCACATCTCTGCTGCCTCAGGATTAAGTGGACTTTCATTGTTAGGTTCTATAATGAAGACGACGATTGATACTGACTCTCTCACTCTCTCTCACACACACACACATATGTATACGTAGATATTAAGGACTTACCTCCAAGAAGGGACTGTATCGAAAGTAAAATAGTGCGTACGTCATACAGTGCGCTCCATTTGTCTTTCAGTATGTCCAAACAAATGTTCCCATTGGTATCTACATTTGGATGAAAGCAAGGTGTCAGAAAGCGGACTACAGGAGCACTATATGGATAACTGGGTGGAAATTCCAATGTTAACTTGTAGGTAAGATCAGCGTATACCTGTAACATAGCAAGAGTTTGCATTAAAATCTTGAAGACATGTGTATTTTTTTTAAATCCAGTACAAGTGATTGGACAATCTTACTGTATCTCTTGGTCCTCTGATAGTCCCGATCCAACTGAATAAATTTTCTCCATCTGGAAAGGCAGATACTCCCTGCTCACAATTTGTCATCAGTACCATAAGCTCCTTTTGCAACCTGAGCGAAAACGTAAACACAATGATAAAATGAATTTTCACGAAATACACATAGGTAGAATAAAAATTGAAAAATTAAACTATAAAAATCAAATTTTATAAAACACAGAAAAAATTATTCGGTCACCATTTGTGTTCCGTAATAACAATAACATTCCGCAACATTAGGTTATGTGACTGATGCCAAATAAATCTCGGATTTCCAGATCAATAACACCCGCAAAAGATCTCACGAAACTGCGCGCAACTCGGTCCAATGAGAAAAACGAGATAATTCATGTGGTACAAAAAACGAATCCCAGAATGGATTCTTCTCGACTCTGGCGTACCGTTTGCTGACTGCGTGATTGTCCTTCGGCAAGCTTTGCTTCTCCTCGGCGGCTTTGGTCGGCGTGTTTTGCGTGGAGCTGAACGGATTCACATTCTGTGCCATCCTGAGACAGTGCGACAACGTCTCAGGATCTTTATCGCGTCTTGAAAAAATCCGAAAGAATCTCACCGACGTTTGGAAACAGGAAAAGTCCCCCGCGGAGCGAAGAAAGAAACCCTTCGACTCGCCGATCACAACAACGCGACGGAAATTTGAACGCGCGTTACTGCTCGTTTCGAAAACATCGAGCAACAAAACAGCTGTTGTTGCGCCGGAGTGGCGGCGCGTCGCGCGGATTTTGTGGACTTGTCTCTATACCGCTCTCGTTGGTCGTCGCACGACTTCCACAATCGCATATTTTTCATTCCGCGAAGATTTTTTTTTTTAATTACAAACCGCGCTGATACCGAGAAAAAGTGAAAGTTTTCGTTCCGTGTCCGTTCGATCCGACACTGGATACAATCGCGTGTTTCCCCGGTGATCGTTAACCTTGTGCAGGTTCTTGGTTATAAATCGGACTAGATTGTGATTCACTCCGTGAATTATATCGTTCTCGAACGTTCCGAGGACGCATCCGGAGAAAATGCGACGAGATAAGCTTTTTATGAAACACAGATAAAGCCCGTCAGGACAACGTCATCGTATAAATATCGTGTGAAAAAAAACACCTGGATAATTGGGGATATGCGTTTTGTGTTGTTCAATATCAATTGCCCGGCATCGAAGGCATTGAGAAACATATTGCGTACACAGTTTTGCAAAAGTCAACTCGTGCCGAGCGAACGACGAAAAGCTATGTAATGGAATTTGATGATGAAAGCAAAATCCGGTGATACGGGAACGGCTCAGGTATGGCAGGAGCAGCGCAAGGCACACCGGAGTCGGATACCGGGAGTTTCGAGTGTTTCCGAAACTACACAGCACCGGAGGTGTTCGTGCAAGGCCTAGCCGGTATTGTTGATCAGCAGGATGTGGAGTCCATGATACGCGCTCAAAAACAGATGTAAGTTTCTACGCGGTTTTTAATACTATTATACCCGCGTACTTTTATTTTCTTGTCGTTACTTGTAGAATTTCGTTTACGTTTTGTTGCAGGTTGCAGAGGTTTGAGAAAACCAACGAGATGCTGACCAACTGCAATCAGCTGTCGGTGAACAGACTCAAGACAGCCGGTAACGAATTCAAAAAGCACACGGCTCTTCTGATAGAAATGAAGAAAGATCTGGATTACATTTTTAAGAGAATCCGTTTAGTGAAAAACAAACTGAGTCAACAATATCCGCAGGCGTTCAACGGTGATTAATTACATGAAAGAGTAGCTTTACACACGGTGACAAGTATCGAACAAAAAAATATAATATTTCTATTTGCAAATGTCACGCAGAGGCTGTAAGGAGCAGTTTGGCGGAAGAAGTGATCGTGGAGGACGTCGATTGTCCGGTGAAACCACTCGAACCGGAGATCGTGCCGTTGCCATCCGCCCCAGTTCAAAGTGCCGATCGAGATCCCGATTCAGATGGTAATGAAATCTCCACTAAAAGTCATATCGCTAAAGAATAAAATCTCCCGATTCTCGTCTCGATCAGATATGTGTGTGTGTGTTTAAATGTGAAAAAAAAAAAAAAAAATTACCTGTGGAACTCACGGACGATTAAATTCAGGTAACGCATCAGATTTCTAATATGTCTATATTGAGAATGAGTCAGAGTGTGTCCATATATTGCTTTGTTGTGAGAAACTAAAGAGACCTGTTTAGTCAGAACCAATTGTTTGAATATTGAAACGATTTTATTGTTGTGAAAAATCTATATGTAAGTACAACATTATATATAAGTGTGTGTATATATATATATGTATCATATATATATATATATATATATGATACATATATATATATATATACACACATGAATGCATAAAAAACTATTTTAAAGAGGATATTTCTATTAGAAATTGATGTTAATAAAAAAGCAACTAGGATATCTCGCTTTTCTTATAAGATTGCGCTTTTACCTGACGTCATGTGCATTTTCTCTCACGAGAGAGAATGATCAGTACAAAAAAAAAAACTCGCTGTAAAGAAGGTATATCGATTGCATCGAGGCGACTCGAGGTTTCTCGATTATTTTGATTATCACTCGCATGTAAGAAACGAATCATCGCGTGTTACTCTGAGCAAGTTCGCAGTGATTACGAAGTAAGCTTCCTTACCAATTTGGGTCGTTGAAAAAATCACGGACTGTACGTGTAATTTTTTTTTTTTTTTTTTTTTTAATCACAAGTCGGCAAGAGACAACAGTGTCCGATCTCGTCCGCTTCCGGACACTCGCGGACGTACGGAAGCTTACTGTTTTCAAGTATTCCTCTCTGCACTACTACACGTTATTCACCAATTTGTCGCGTAAGTATGTACATATCGCAACACACGCTTTCGATGTATGTACGAGTCGATATTTACTGCTTCTTCCAAAGTGCATATTAAACGGAAGCTTGTTCATGTGTTATCATAGAGTGCATTATTGTAAATAAAAAAGAAAAAAGAAAGAAAGAAAAGGTAGTTCGCGCGTTGTCACTACCTCGTCCGCACCGAGTCATCTCCGTTCCACGCTGCTCCGTGTTACGTAGGTACGTCTGCAACAGATTTACAATCGAGATCACTCGAGAATCAGTCTCCACGATGTTGTACAAGTTTGTTTTCGTCAATAAAGTTTCGCTAGGGATACACACACACATACACAAGCTTGAAAAGGATTGAATTTAAGTCGCGACCACGCATATCTTCACGACACGTGTATCTTAGAAGCATGACGATCTCATTCCTTCAAAGGTATTGAAGTTCCGTTGTATGCGCACTCTCGATGTGTAAGATATAATGCGATCGACATTGTAAAGACGTTTTGATCCGGTCAGAGAGCAAACAAATATATGTGATTGTTGTTTATTCTCATTTCCGTATTACACGCTCTGCGATTTCTGTCTCACCCCCCTCCGAATTCTGTCCCTCTTCCTTTTTTACAAAACAAAAGAAATTGCTCACAGCGATAATCAGGCAGAAGACTAATGACTTGACTTCCATTGTTGGTGTGCAGTGCCGGTCGAGGAGTTTCAGTTCGCGAAGCTGCGCAAACGGCGAATAAAGAGTAACGACAGTTCGTCGACGGAGAGCAACAACGATCAGAGTAACGTCGACTCGTCGCCCTGCACATCTGACACCGGTTGAAAGAAAGCCCGTGATAAATCTAGAGAAAAAGATTGAAAGAGAGAGAGAGAGCGAAAGAGAGACTGAGAGACTGAGAGACTGAGAGAGAGCGAGAGATGAGTGAAAACTGCGAATCGGACTCACATGCAAACCGGCCCACTTCGACTGTAGCTTGCGGACATACGAGAGAAAGAGAAAGAGAAAGAGCTAATGAATCAATCATAGTGTCGGCGGAAAAAAGCTCAGAATCTCAATCTCGATATCACGCACACACGCCGTATCTCGATGTCATTGATGTTAAGCTGCGGAGCTTTGTGAGTACTCTGTCAATGTGAAGAAAACAAATTAATAATTTTCTGTAAAAATAAATATATTCTTTTGTATGTGCAATGTGTACGATATATAGAGCGGTGTTGTGATCAATTTCATATACGCGGCGGATACTGCGAGCGATCCGACGCGTCATGAAGAAAGAACAGAAAGAGAGAGAGAGAGTGACGTTGTTCTCTCACAAGCCGGACAAACCTGAGAGGAAGAGGAAGAGAGAGAGAGAGAGAGAGAAAGAGAGATCCTTAATTCGCGGAGTCGAGTCGAGAATCGCCGGGGGCCACACACCACCTGGGGCGTTTCATTAGCGAGGACGCAGCCGTCGCCGTCGTTGAAATATTTCACTCGTCCGGCCGGCAAAGGTGGCGCCGAGATTAATGCGAATGCTTTTCACGGCTGCATCCGTGCGCGCGGTGCCGCTTTCTCGCTATACTTAGCCCGTCGCGCGCGTCCGGAGAGACGCAAAGATTCACGTGACTTCTTTCGGCGTGTTAATTCAGGAGGAAAGAGACACTCGATGTGTCCACCGCACGTGTTCGCCGCAACCGCGCGTCGACGACGTTTGTTTCGACGAAAGGCGACGGACTCGCGGGGCCCGGTCGGACGTGAGTTATGATATCTTCTTCTCCTCCTCCCGCTCCTCTTCCTCTCTCGGACGGTCGGCGCTAATTTTAGGAAAGAACAGCGAGATCATGAAAGAGAGACGACAAGCGGTCGTTCGAATGAAAATTTGTATCTTTTGTATATTGCCGTCTGAGAATCGCGATCGACGTTATTTCGCGCGCGCGATTCGCCGAAAGCGCTTCTTCCGTTTCGAAGTTTATTTCGGAATCTCTCGCGCGCGTCAGTCCCGCGAATTGTAAAAAAAAAAAAAGAAAAAAGAAAAAAAAATGTTTTCACTTCGCGTAACAGCTCTTTTATGAAGATTTAAAAATAATCGCGAGAGAAAAATTAGAACTCTGTTTTTTTCGCTCAAGGTTCATTTTTTTGCAGATACTCTCGCCGCAATTATTACAAATATTTACTCCGCGCGGAGAATCGTTACTTTTTCCTCTCCCGTCCCTCCCAAAGTTCCTTCGGCGAAGCGGCGTAATCGGCGCGCCACGCCACTATAACCGCTGCGCGACGCGTCGTAATAATTATTTACCGGATTAACGGGAATCCGACCTGGGAGCTGTTACACGGGCGGAGCGCGAATCGCCCGGTTTTGCGAATGTTAATTTTTCTTCTACCGTTTGTTATCGCGCCCGGCGTGAAATATTGTTAGGAATCGATTCTCTGCGGCTCTGCTTTCTACCATCGATGGTTTGTGCTACAACACACATTCACACACGTGAACGGACGTAACGCGCGCGTGCATCACGCACGTACACACATACGCACGTGCGGGAGTGCGACGCACCCTTTTGCGCGCCGCTGCGAAGACGCCAGTCGTCGCGATGCCAGAAACCAGCTGCGCCTCAGCTGTTTTCTATCCATTCCGTCTTTGCTCCCTTTTTCCTGGCGACGATTGGACACGCCGAAATAAAACCCTAGGTAGATGCGACATGCGCGTATATATTCACTTCTCCGCATAGAATTTATTTAGAACACTTGCGTACAACCAGGCGGACAAGCATGCGTTTCTTATACGTTAAAACGCGCGATGCGTCACACGTTGTTTGTACACTGTGATCGGATTTTTATGGAAAAAATTCAATAAAACTGTTTGTTTTTTTTTTTTAAGAATAATTGGATTTTGGTTGTAAGCGTTAAACGACAGTTCAGAATTTCTTTTCGCACGCTTCGTTAATATATCCTTAATCAACAACACCACAAACTCCTCAAAAAGTTTTTCCGTTTACGACATTCAGTAAAATTGTTGTAAAATAGAAATTTCCTCAAGACAAATAACTTATTACAAAAATGTTTTCCTTTGTAATAAACATAAATTTGTTTTTTTTTTTTTTTTTTTATCAAAACGTCGTGAAGAATCCAAAATTCTCGTTTTGAAAATCACATTTTGCTTGTGTCATCTTTATATTTAGCTCTTACTGCGTTTATTTGTTTACTTAACAGTATCGACGACGTTAAGAATGAATTGAGAACAAGAGACAGTTTTATTGACAAGTCTGCAAAGATCAATATTTTCCATTATTATCAATATTTTGTTTTTCAACACTAACACAAAGATCTCTTTAGTATCCTTTAGTTGTTAGAGAAATAAGACCATTAAGAAAGCTGAATGGACACGGTAATTCGAATTTAACGTGTATTATAATTTACAAATTTACAAAATTTTATTCGACTTATTTCTCTAATTTTATTTTATTTAGACCTGTGCGCTTTTAAAAATTCAGACTTCTCTCATTTCCTCAGCGAACAATTTAACCTGAAAAAAAAAAAAACTTTTTTTCCGCCTCGTTTCTTCCAGATTACGACACTCGCGCATTAGAGAGATATAAGATACGCAAATGAGGTGTGAAATGCTCGGGCGTGGGGTTTATCGCACGCATTATTGGACCGTTTCCGCTCTTTAAAGTCTCACGCGGGGCTGCATGCCCGTGCTGTGTGTGCCCGAGCTCAATTCATTTGCGCAGACCGCTATTGCGGATATTGCACGCGCGTGCTAAACGGGAAGAATGCATCTCGCGCCGGGAGTAAAGGAGGACGACGGTGAGACTAAAAGGGGGAGTGAGTGGAGGGGTGGAGGCGCGCGGGATGGTTAACTACGCTCCCGATAAAACGCGGAAACAGCTGTTTAATCTTATCCGGTCCACCTGCGCCGCGCGCTCGATATTTACTTTCATTCTTCCAGCGGTGGCGCGGCGCGTCGCATGCAGCACGCGTCTTTTGTTGACACAAGCATAACAAAGCTTGTTTCCACCCGCGTGTGCAGCCGCATGTGCGCGCCACCGCGAAGCAATTTCGAACGCGGCGCAAATTCGGCAACTACGTTATCCCAGCCGCCAGTCTCCCGCGTTATTTGATCTTTTTTTTTTTTGTGGTTTACGGGATTTTTACATATAAACTCGGGTTTTCCTTTTAAAATATTTAAGAGCGAGAAGAAGAAGTGTTTATACACGGATATTCTCGGTGGATAGTTTGCATTAAAAATCACCCAACGTTACACGGGCGCCGAAAATGGGAAAGAAAACGTGAAAGACGTCGGAGAACAGCACGAAAGAGAAAAAATAGAACGAGAGAAAGAGAAAAACCGATGGTGTTTCTGAAGGCCGCGATATTCTCGTTCCCTTTTACGCGCGCGTTACGTTTCAGTTGACGCGCACGGGACACAAACCGGTGCGCGAGCGACCGATGCAAAGTAATACAAAAGCGTGCCCGGAACACGCCCGCTAAACTCGTCGGTGAGTGTCACCGCCAGCAACTTGGGATTGAACTTTTCCAAGGAGCCGGGAAGAAAAGCCGCGGAAAGAGAGGACGGCGACCGGAAGAAGCAAGCAGAGCAAAGCTCCCGGGAAAGGAACGATTAAAATCTCTCACTCTCCCTCTTCGCCCGCCCGTCCGCCCGTTCCCCAGGACTTCCCGACTTCAGCGCGCGCTTTTCTACCTCCTTAATAAAACGCGGTTGCGCGTATAGATGTTTCCCTTTCCGTGTCGAGATATATATGTATATATATGTGTGTGTGTGTGTGTATAATATGTACAGAGAACTGGATTTCTCTGGAATTTTTTACAGGTGCGTTTCTACTCTGGCGTCCAGATGTTGAGGTACCTGATGTCATCTTTACTCCCGTTTTCAGTGTGTTTTTGTTTTTTTTTTTTTTCACACACGGACACATGCGCGCAAAGTGTCCGCTTTGCTTAATCGCGGCGCTTATGGCGCCCAGATGTGAAGTACATAGTACACAGACTCCCTTTCTCATAATCGTCGCGAGTTATCTCGGCGCAAACGTACGTAAAGTAGTAGAAGACCCAAGAAACATATCTAGATACTGTCACATCACATATGTTTCTTTTTGTATCATTGATACCGCGCACGTAAACGTGTGCGAAAGAATTTCTCTCTCAGGCGCTAAAGTGTAAGGAAAACATATCACTCGTTCGTAATATTTGTATTCTTCGGCGATAAAGCGACTCTTCTCCGTCGCTCTCGCCTCCTCGGTTGACGCTTTTTTTTCTCTCCGGCGTATATGTGTACGGAGAGCGACAGAGCGGCGAGAGCTTTGTAAAATCGGCGGATGCCGCGCGCTCGGCCTCTCCCTCGCCGGAGGAGTGACTTCGTGCTATTGACATCCGCTTCTCGTGGTATCGACATCCCGGTACATGCCCGCTCCGCGCCGGGAGCACGATCTCGCGTCACTTCCAGAGTGCGAGAGCGCGCGAGAGAGAGAGAGAGAGACAGAGAGAGAGAGAGAAGGAAAGAAAATGTGCGAGAGATGCGAGAGAGGGTGCACCGAGAGGAGAGGAGGAGCGAAAGGGGTGCAAACCGATCGGTCGGGACGATCGCTGGCTCTGCGTCGGTGTAATTTTCGCACTCGTGCAAAATTACACCGTGCGCCGTGGCGCCGATAAGTCGTAAATTACGCGCGCGTAGGTCGGACGATCGTGTAAAACGCGGCCGCGGTCGGACCTGCGATTGACGCCATCACCCGCGCTTAAACTTACGGCCGTACGTCGAATAAATCGGAATTAACGTTTAATCACGTACGTCCGCTCCGCGCTGCCGGACTTGGTAATTGGGTCTCGAAATTACGGATTTCGCAAGCGGCCTCGCAAAATCGCGCAAACACGGCTCGTTCTCCATTCTGTCACCAACGAAGTTGGTTGATTAGTCGCTTCACGTGTCGATCCTCTACGCATCAGGTTCTTCTCAGGCGTTTCTCTCTCTCTCTAGGATTTTGCAGCTTTCATTTTTGCGTCACTCGCGAGAATGTGATTTGAACGCTCCGCATTATGTCTTGAATTTCAATCTGTTTTTTTTATGCAAAATATGCGTATTATTTATGTCTGTTTATGTAAACATCACAATTAATTGACGTCGTCATGATTTATTAAACAGCACGCGTGTACCTGTTTTGCATCGCGTCACTTATGCCACATATTTATTTCAAAGTCGGTGAATATCGGAACGAAGACGAGCGGTGCGTTTGACATAATGTGGTAGTTTTCAAAAATTGAAATTGACAAAACCTTCTTATTTTCGCGAGAGAACAAAAAAATGTAAAATTATTACACACATACATTTTTTGTGTAGAGGAGGCGATTTGAATTAAATTGTATATAAATTTTTCCAACTTTGGATTTCCAATTGTATACATTTTTCCAACTTTCACGAAAGTTTTCCATCGATTACTTAAATTATTTCAATCATTCTTTCGTCCCGTCAGTAAGTCACGTCGAGTATAATTTATTCGACGGAATTTTAATATCGATCCCTCCTGCTTAACGCACGCCCGTTATTCTGCTAGAAAATATTGGTTTGTAATTAAACGAGTTTCGAAGATAGAAAGAGAGAGAAAGAGAGAGAGAGAGAGAACTTCATCTACGGAGTTTGAGAAAGCGTCGATTCACGTCAGCGCCAGTTGACATAAGATTTCTTCTACTTCGACTAATATCTCTCGCAGTAAACGGCAGAATTATTCAAGTCAGAGACGATTTTATCACAAAATATTTTAATTAATTGCATTATTATCATTCCAAAATATTGTGCCTTGAAACAGCTTTCCTTAAAATTTTAATTTCAATATTATCAAATTTTTCAAAACACGCATATATTAGAAAGTTTGCAAAAAAGTAATTGTTTATATATTCAAATTATCTGAAACAATCTATCTTATAAAAATAATCAAAAACTTCTTCGCGAGCAAATGGAAGGATTTGCGAGGCTTTCGTGCAATGGACGCGAGGATCGATCGAGCTCTCGCAACCGGTTTACCGAAGCTATTTAGTCGGCGCAAACTTGACGATCACGCGTGCAGAATTACGCGGTGAAGACTCCCATACGTAACGTCTGTATCACGTCAAATGATTTGCTATTCACGCGCGCGGCTCCGACCGTCTCCGCCGCCGCCACGGCCGAGGGAAACTTAGATTACTTCGTCGACTAATCCGTGCGCTACCCCCGCGCGCTAATTCGACGTCGAAACTCGCGGACGTCGCGTCATACCTGAAGCGGTTCGATAAATTACTCACGTCGTCCATCCAATTACCGGCGACCTGCCATGCAGGCTCGCCTCGTCATTCACGGTGACTGCGGCACCGAGTTTGCTCAATTCTTGCTGCCTGTTTTGCGTTTGTCTCGGGATCCGCGATCAGCATAACATTTTACACGGGGGCGCAACCCAGTTTGCGCCTGTAACTTGCGGACACATTTCGAACATCTTTCACAGAGAGCGTACGTGTATTTTTGTTTATTCGGAAAACATGTAAATTAAATCATGATGAGCTTTATATCGTCGCGTTGCGAATAAAGGCTCTCTAATGAAGGCGCCGGCATCGGCTCATTTCTTGAGCCCGACGTGGCACCTGATCGCGTGCAGACTCCTCTCCCCGGAATCTCGCGTCAGCGCGCGTACGCACAAGTGTGTACGTGGCGATGACAGGGTGGCGTGACGGAGTGCTAATAATACGTATAATAGGTCGCCGATGTGGTGTGTGCGCGCGAATTCGTGCCGATAGACGAGAGAGCGCGCGCGCGCGCGCGCGCACAATCTCACCGTCGACACGTATGCACACGTGTCATCCTGAAGAGACACAAGTGCATGCACGTGTCCGTGCATTCGGAAATGTTAAGTCGAGTGAGTGTCGCGCGATAAGTTCAAGTTGGAAGAATTTTTTTTTATTTTTTTAATACATCGTGCGTGATCTGTTTTTAAACCGAAGTTAATATTAAAAATTTCCACTAACGAAACTTCTGAAATTTATATAACAAAAAAGAAGAGATTTTGTACGCGCGCAAAGTAATTTATTCCTTTTTATTTTCCAATAAAAATCTCTTCATTTACTTCGTACCATTTCTATAATTATGTAAATAACCACGGAATGTTTACTAAATCAATAATGAGTCTCGGAAGTTCTGTGTGAATTGTATGTGTGTGTGGATCGATCGATCCAGGATGGCCGGACGTCAAAGCGAGGTTGAGAACGGTCGCGATGACACGTCTTCCGCGTCCTCTACGAGGACAGCCGGCGCGATTGTGGGTCGACGAGCATTTCTTGTCAGTGCCCGAGTACGGAAATCGGTCACAGGTCGGTGCTCTCGCGGACACGGCTTGCTCGAAATCGAGACAGCCGGTCCCGTTCGATGGTGGGAAATTGAGGAACGTCGTCTCGCGACTTTGACAGCTTCTCTTCCTTTATTGTGGTAAGAGAGAAAGGTATAAACAATGATTATATCGAGTGCTTGATTAATCTAAAATCCAAGTTTTTACACAAAAATTATTACAATTGCGCCATTATATATTTTCTGTAAATTTTATATTTTTTTTGTAAAAGGTTTTTGCTAAAAGAAAATCACATTTTAGTGCTGATTTGATCAAAACTTTCGTTTCGCGTTGTTATCTCTGGGTTCTCGCGAGTGCCAATTTACGTATACACGCAGATTTGCGAACTTTTATGATCGTGCCGAGGTTGTCACGGCGATTTCGTGCAACGGCGGTGATCGATGTCGCGCGTCGCTAAAAGCGGAGCGATAAAGGAGCGGGCGCAGGATTCAAAGTGCCGAGGTGAGGTGAGGCCGCACCTCCTCCCCCCTGTCTCCCACGGGTGTTGAGCGCGGTGCGCGCGAGGGCACGGGAGGCCAAGCTATTTCTCAGCTTCAGCGGCAGAGCCTTTCTTCGCGGGAATATATCGACACGTCAGGAGCACACTGGCCCGTTTACAATATCGCGTATAGGAACGTGCGCGCGCCTACATTCCGGCTGTCTCGCACCTCATCGGCGAGAAACATCGTTCCCCGATGATTCCGCATCGATCCGCAGCCCGTGGATCGTCACGAAAACGTCGGAAAACTCGAAAGGTAGATAAAGCTCTGAAAAGCAGTTTTTTTTTTTTTTTTTTAATGCAATTAAACAATTGCGTCACAAAACACACACGTTGTGACACTGCTTGTTATTAGGCGTAAAATATTTTTCAAGTTTTTCAAAAAATCGTCGTGCAATTGTAAAAATCTCCAAAAACAAAAAAAAAAAAAAACCAAACGAAAAGAAAACAAATCCGAGAGAGAAGACACGCGCTTTTTTTCACGAGCAAAAGCTCGTCGTTCGAAGTATAAATTTTCGACATGTGGAATTCATTCCTATCCTCGTACACAATCAAATCCCCGCTGGATCGTTTCAATCGTGTAATCCGCGCAGAATCCGCGAATTTTGCGCGGGGGTCGTATCGGGTGCCGCATAGTAGACATCGTAACCGACCTGAAATAACTTTGCCAGGTGCCTCGCGAATTGTTTCTATTATATCAGCGCGTGCACGTCGTCGGTGGGGGGATCATCGCCGATGCCGAATTTCGCGGAGGAGGAAAAGGCATTCGCCGGGTTAAGGCCGGCCGGAGGTTGCGTGGTGGAGGGCAAACCACCGTCGCTCTTCGCCTCCTCCGCCACCGGCTGGCTGGCTGGCGTCGTCCTTTCGGTTCTCCAGCGAGACTCTCAGTTGGCCGTCGACTGCCGTTCGTGCGTCGCGTTTACTCGCGTTGCTCCGTCGTCTCATAGTCTTCACAGAGTTGTTCGACGTCGCTTCGTCGAGCGTTCTGTTTATTTCGCGATTTTGAAAGGCGCGTTTTAAATCAAGCGACCTTTAAAATCTCCTCAAAAATCGTGTCCCAATCATTTTTCTCGTCTTCACAGAATTTTTCTCTCCGGCGCGCATTTTCCGCGTCGAAGTTCGTCCTCTCGTTAGCGCGCGTTCGTGAATAAATTAATAACGCGCGTATTCGCGGCGATTTGGCGCGCGCTTATCTTCTCTCGACCGGCGCCGAAAATCGGAGCGCGATAAGGGAGCGCATTTCCGCACGATGAGGCGCAACGTCGGCGCTCGCTCGCGAGAGCATCTGCCGCGCTCGTGAAAGCCCGCGCCGATCGTGAGACACTGTGACTCCGCGATCGACAGCCCGAGAACCGCCTGGATTTTCTCTCGCACTGGCTTGTAATCCGACACTTGAACATCGATCAGACAGGAGGTGAGGATCCGCTACAGTTTATTATCTGCCACTCGAATACTCTTGAGCAATGCGTTTTGTTTTTTTTTTTTTAGAACTTGCGATAGTTTATCGAGACGTATATAAAGTATATAAAGTGAGGATAGATGTGTTACAACATTTTTATGAAATTTAGAAATATTTTTTAGAGTAAGCAATAAATTAAAACCGGAGACAATTTTGTTTTTACTTTTAATCTAACAATTTCGCTTAATTTTATTATCTCATTTTTTCGCGTAAAAAAGCATATGTGGTTTGTACGATAAGATCGCGACATATACAGATATAGATATATATATATATATATATATAAATTATTTATAATGTCAACAGTTTTGCGTTTAAGATGAATTGCATGTGCACATGTTTCCTTTAGACACATGTCTTACACACATGTGGGACAATATTATAAATGGCTCGGCGTGTGGCAGTATGTGCATTATGTACATTAATCTGCATCTGTATTTTTACAACGCGGGGATATTATTTTATTGTTTGATTATGTACATACGTGTGTGTACACGAGAAAGAGCGAAATTCTCGGAGTGACAGGCTTGTGCATATAAAAATAACGAAAACTAAACAAAAAAAAAAAAAAAAACCAAAAAAGAAGACACGTAGAAATAACTGCACGTGGCCATATGTCTGTAAAGTTCGCGTTACGAAGCTACGAGGCTCGTAACGTTGGGAACGTGATAACTAGGAAATCGCGTGCAGCACAAAACTACTGTCATTTCAGCAGTCGCTAGCATAACGTTACGACCACGCGCTGCAATTTTCGGCCTACCAAAAAAAAAAAACTCCTCACGTGTACAATTCCGCTGTTGTTGCCGATCAATTCCGGCTATTAGTCCGGAAATACCATATCTTTTGACCTTTTCGTTTTTCATCGATGCGATTTACGTGACGACGTCGAACTGCCACGTCTTTTCCACTTAAACAGAAAAAAATCGCGAACTATTCGATTCTCTCATATCGATTACAATGTCGACTTAAAAGCTCTCACAAAAATTGCTATCATGTACAGAATAAAAAAAAAAAAAAAAAAACAATTCTTTCCGGTCTGAGAAAATTAAAACAACAATATCGACGACGAAGAACGATAGAATTTTTGCGCGTAAAATTTTACGGGAATTTTCCCATTTCATCGATTAAATCGGGCGAATCGTGTAATCGCTCGCAATACCTACCAGCTATCGCGAATATATCGTCGGGAGAATTTACCGTGCCAAACAGCGGAGAATCGAGTTACCGAAGCGCAAAGAGTACGTATGTAACGCCGCACGTAGCAGGGGATGGGGGATGGATGAATCGCCGCGGGGCGAAGACTGCCGCGGGGGTAGGAAACTTGGAGTTTTCTTCGACGCGGGGGCGCGCACAACGGAAGATAAGGACCGAACAGCGCGCGACGAAAACCCCTGTCAGGTGCATCCTTTCGCACGGTGTTCGCCAATAATCGGTTCCCCCGGTGGCGTGTAGCGCACGTCACGATTAACTACCGCGGCGCGCTTACGAATTCGTACACCACCGAATGCGCGCCTCTGCGATGTTCGCGCGCACCGCACCGTCTGTCGATCTTTGCGCGCGTCTCATCCCCCGCGAGGCATTGCCGCGACTCCTCTCTTCCCTCTCTCCCGATTTGTGTCACTTACACCGCATGAATAGCGCAGCTGTCGTCTCATCTGAGAGAGTACCACCTTGTACTTTCAGTCATTGCATCACAAATTGTAATGCAGAAGTTCGATATATTCGCAAAATACGTCGAAAATCAATAAAAAAATCAATACATATGTATTTTGCGAGCGCGCGTTATTGTGAACAATGCGTATAAATGTATAAACAAAAAAAAAAAAATTGATTTCTGCTCTTCGCGTTGAAGTCGCACGTTCGGGATCGAGAACTTCGCTCGAAACTGAAAATCCGCGTCAGACGCGGAATCTGGAGTGTAAGGAACTCTCTTTCTCTCTCTCTCCGGCTCCGCTTACCGACGAAGCTCGTTAAAACGAGCAGTCGAGATCTCGTTCGCGAGATGTGTGACCCTTTCTCTCCCTCCGACGAAGGTATCGCGTGCGCTTCGTGTGTACACGTTTCGCGGACAAGGAGGAACGTACGCGTGCACCGGTACATACGCCAGTCGGTGCGGCGTGTTATACCGAAGTATTATATCGATTAACTGTTGGCAACAGAAGAGAGGCGGAGGAAAGCTTGTCAGGGGCTGCGGCGTGGCTTTGGCTTTCCTATATTATTAATCTTTCTCTTTCTGCCTCCCTTCCGCGCTCTTCCTCGTGCTCTCGTTTCTCTCTCGCTCGGTCCTTTGCGCGTTCTCTCTTTATCTCTCTGTCTCTCTCTCTCTCTCTCTTGCTCTCTTTCTCTTTCTATCTTTCTCGTGGCCCACCCTGGCGGTTGCCTTCCGCTTTCGCCTCTCGTCTCGACCCCTCGCACAAACCCCCGGCAAGCTCTGTCTGCCGCCGCTGCTCCGCTCGACCTGCCATATACGCGTCCGTCGAGTCAGTCAGGTGTTGCGGGCAGCTTCCGCGCTTCAAAGAGAATCAAGAGTTACGGCTCCGAGAGAGGAGAGAGAGCTATATAACGGAGGTCGAGTCTCTCTACGGTGCCTTCCGGTCGTCCCTTGCGTTGCGTATCACACACACACACACACACATACAGCTTGCGGTACCGTTTGCGAATTGCCTTTCTCCAAGTGGCGTGTAATTTGTGCGTGTTTTCGGTAAATTTCGCAATTTGAGAAACACCAAACTGACAAAGAACAAATTAATTTGTGAAAATATGTAAAAATTTCGTTCGCGCAACTGTTTAAAAAACATATATATGAGACGTTTATGTACTTAATAATTGACGCGAGAAGAGAGATGAGTTGTCGAAACGATATTTCGCACATATAATTTCTCGATTTATTTTTTTCCTCTCTCACACACGTTAACATCGCTATAAGCATTTCTTTCTCTCTCTCTCTCTCTGTTCTCGCTTGTTTTTAATTTCTTCCCTCAAGTGTGAGGGTTTCCGCGATCGAAAAATTGCCAGGTACACAAGATTCGAGTGGAATTGTAGCTGTCGAAATTTTTGTCGACAATAATCCGCGGATGATTGAATCGCGCGAGCGGTTTATATAGGAGGATGCGCGCAAGAGAGCGAAACACGGAGATTCATACCTCGCTGGCCTATAGAAATGGCGGCAATTGTATCGGCGGTATATGTATACTGGCGGTGTTACCTATTCGCGCACGTAAACGTTTAACAGCGTAGTTAACCACGTGTCTGACAATTTTCGCTGACACTGACGAACCGGCCGCGCCACTGGCGCACCTGCGAACGCCATTCGATATTTTCGCTGGATGTATTAAGTATCGATCGATCGATTGTTGCGTCAGTCACCTAGATGGGTTCCGCTTGCAATTAGAAAAATTGAACCACGTGTGCTGCTTGTGTGTAATTCTGAAAATTTATATAAAATTAGAATATTTTCACAAATTTCGTTTTATCTTGTTTTTAAATGTAATTTTGTAAAAAAAAAAGGTTTATCGTTAATATATTTTGCTTAAAAATATATTTTACAAGGCTCGTCACAAGGTTTGCAAAATATATTAATAAACATTTAATATTGAACATAATAATTGGAAACAATTTATAACTAAATTACACTTTCAAATTAAAAATTTTTTAATTAAAAAATTTCAAAATTAATTTGAATAATAAATGTGTTTTGCCATGCCAATTATAAATATACATAAAATCGTCAAAACCACCAAATTCATATTTATGATAATTCTACGACATGACTGTGACGGTTACGAAACCGAAATTGCCCGAAATTTGGGCTTAATTATCAGCGAGAAATGACGTGCAATTATATATGCGCTCTGCAATTTGTTGACTGTTATTGCCAGTATTTGATGACAAGATCTGTATATGTTATTTCGTTTCGAACACCGACAAATACACATCGGAATATATATACATATATTTTCTCGTAAACTGTAACACGCATTTGCAGTGCAGTTTTGTTGATATATGACACATTAACTGAAAAAAAAAAAATAATAATCATTAGAAATCGCGGATAACAACGGATTTAAAGGACAAAAGTGTGTAGATGCAAGATGACGAGCCTTGATAAACCAGTCGCGGTTGATTAATTATCTACGCGCGCGATGACGCGACGTTTCCTCGATTATCTCCTCGTTAGTCCCGGTGGAAAAAGTTCGTCCATTTATCGCGCGTTTGTGTCCCGCTAACCCGATACATCCCGTAAATAGAACAAATTATTTCGTTAATTGAATATGCGCCAATCTACCCTTTTTGCGGAACTACAGACGGAGAGAAGAGAGGGGGAAAATCTTGAAAAATGTGGTCAATACACATACATGTGTTTTTGATTATACAAAAGATGTGTGTGTGTGTCGCTTTATGTTTCAGGATGACGCGCTGGAAAGTTGCGCGAATAAAAGAGTTAATTGCAAATATCGGAACAATATTCGGCGCCGCGAAATATTTTTATTTTCGCGTTTTAGCATTTCATAATTTTCCCTGGCGCGCGCGCCGCTCTCCGCGCGCGGCCGCCGTTCCGGTTTAACGCCAAGTGTGTATACAACGCGGCCGGGAACGTCAAAAGCGGGTATAACTGCGACGTACCTGCGCATGACATCTTTGTAATGAAACCAAGCAGAACCTCCGCGAAGTAAAGCTTCGATACCATTAACGATGTAACGGTTTCACGTCGGTTCCAAAGAGCGAAGCGTACTATTTACCGTTTCGTTCTCTCTCCTTCTCTCTGTATTTTTGAACTTCGTAATTTGCAATGTTGATCGATCACTTGTTGTACAGTATTTCGTCAAGTTAAATCAAATTTGGACGACATCCAAACGGACGAGAGAGCGCGAATGAGATAAAAACCACAAGTAAATCACAGAACGAGATGACGTCGTCCTTTGCGCGCGACTTGTGTCTTTATCCTAAAAATCCCA